CGATGGGTTATGAAGCTGTTTTCCACAGATGTCCTGTATATACGCGTGCATGCATACTTCTCCATATGCCTCAAAATGGCACTGCAGTTAATGGTGGAGGAACTGTAACCGTCGTTGCCCTCCTATTAACGTCTCAGCTCGTTCTATGGCGTGCAAGACCTGCCTCCGTTCGAGCATTGATTTGTATTGTACATACAGTGGATGTTTCAGAAAATGTGTGGCAGTAGTTATTGTGGCAGTAGCAGGCGCCAAGATGGCGAGGTGTTAACTACCTCGCCTGGTATACAGGAGATTGTGTGTTCTATCCCGTCCCTGATGCCTGCGTATTTGGAGTTTGCGTCCGGTTTTTCCCTCCACATTTAGAATCAACATACGTTTAGAGTATATCCACGTGATACGCCACTTCATTGGGCTATTCTGAAAAAGGGCTAAAAACAAGTTTTGCGTGGGCCTTACCTGGTCAAATAAAACTAGCTTAGTTTTTGTTAAGTATGCATGGCTAGGAGATGGGGGAAAATGAAATTAAAATTAATAAAAAATAAAAACAATAAAATCACGACGTTTCGGAGGCAACACAAGCTTCCGTCTTCAGGTGAAACTGTCAAAGCAAAACATCTGTATCACGATACTGTGACAGTTTCACCTGAAGACGGAAGCTTGTGTCGTGATTTTATTGTTTTTATTTTTTATTAATTTAAATTTCATTTTTTACCTACGTGACTTTACCGAAAGAACTAAGAGTATGAATCCTTGCAGTCACGAAAGCTTCAAATCTAGAATTAGGAGATGGGAACTTTGAGTGTCGCGTCACGCTCTGGAATGTTCTGGGGGTTTTCTCTGGCCACTCCCGTTTCCTCCCACATGGAATTGTCCAAACATCCAAATGCAGGATCCTCCTGAAAACAGAGTCTTCAGACTTTGTCAAGCTGTCCGATGTCAGTAATTGGCACTGTACACATTGCTCCAAATCAAAAAGGCTCTGCGAAATTTACGCCTACAGCTTGAAATCTCCACGCGCGCGAATCATTTCGGCACCTTTTTTGACGTTTGTGTGTCACGTCTATCGTTTGCATCGGTGGCTTTAGCCCTCGCTTTCACCCCCCCACCTCCCCCTTGGCGATTTTAGTTTGTTGGCTATCGGTGTTGAAGCTTGAGACGACACATGGAGCTTTCGCTCGGCTCTGCTCCACCCAGTGGCTCTCTTCCTCAGCCACGCACGAAGAGGGGGGAGGCAATGCCTCTAGGCGATGCATTTCGCGAGCGGTCGGCAAACATCACTCCCCACGGGGCTCTTGCGATTGTCGTGCTGCGATTAGCTCGTTTATGGGCGATGCAATAAAACAAACCACACAGCGCAAGTGTCGGTATCCCCATGCCGGCTCGCGGTGGTAAAATGGAAATGGGCCGAAGTGAAATATCAGATCGGAGTGAAGCTTCCTGGGAATTTCCAATTGTTCTCCTTTGTTTGGGCGTGCGAAGGAAACAATGGGTCGGCTCAGCTGTTGTGAGGCTCATCGGGATCGTGAACACGCGTTTAGTTCTAGAAGAGGGGGAGGGGGAAGGGCGGGGTGTCTTCAGAAAAACATGTTCCTGTAAGAAAACAATATAAGCAAGTTACAAGATCGCCTTGCCAGCACGAATATTTGCTTGTCCATCCATCGTACTACTTGGCAAAGAGATGATGAACTCTTCTTGGTTCTTTCGGTAAAGTCACGTAGAATGGAAATAATAAAATAATAAAAATAAAACATAATAAAATAATTCTCACGACGTTTCGGCCACAACGCAAGCAGCCGTCCTCAGGTGAAGAACACGTCTTCTCGACAGACATGTTCTTCACCTGAAGACGGCTGCTTACGTTGTGGCCGAAACGTCGTGAGAATTATTTTATTATTTTTATTATTTTATTACTTCCCTTCTACGTGACTTTACCGAAAGAACCAAGAAGATGAATCCCTGCAGTCACGAAAGCTTTAAATCGAAAGATTATGAACTGTTTGAGAGGATTAGGCTGAGCAGATATCGCAAAACGGTGTTTTCAAACCGCCGTGGGACCTGGGGGAAGACTGACGGATCACGGAGGGCCACCCTGGACGGGAGATGTGTTTTTGTTTCGCGCCGCCCCCTTTAGAAATGCGCTCGTGAAATTCTTGCCGCACAAAAGCGTGGACTGAGTGGACTGAGGGTTTTGTAGCTGTGTGCTTCGTATCCCTTCTTCTTCTTTTCCTTATCCGCGGAACACACGTTTGCCTCGAAAGCTTGTTTTTTCTTCCGTGGCTCTGTTAAGGAAATTAATTGTTCCGGTCGATAGTGCTTTGTGGTCACTCGACCATGCTTTGCACTCTAAGTTGACCCCCACCCTAACCAGGTTTGAACGTAATCAAAACTTTGGAGACCCAAACCACCACGGCGGCCTCTTTTATTTGTCATCAAAAGGTCATCGTATTCATTTTAGAAGCGATCAACGTGGGCGGAATTTGTGTCCCTTGGGTGTGACCAGCGGGAACAACTGACGACCCTGCTAATTAACGGAAGTTGTGAGCTTCAAAGGGAATCGCTGGCCATTCTCTCGTGATACGAGGATCTCGAGGGTGGGATTGATTAATGGGTGGGAAATTGCAAAAGAGAGGGTATTTTAAGATGGGTTTACGGGGGGTGGATGTTGTTTGAGACAGGTACATCCACACGGGTATTGTGCCATCGACAGACCCCCACCTAACTCATCCCCACCAGCATATTCCTTCCTCAGAGGACCAGTCGAAACCAGTCCGAACACAGGGATGTGAATTGTTGTGAGGTCGTTAAGTTTGATGGGAGAGATATACTTGCTTTCTTGTTCCTTTTGAATCGCTACTCTCTGCCCCCCGCCCCCGCCCCTCCATTATCTGCAGCCCCTCCCTGTGCCCTCCAGGTTTCCTGTGGGAGCTTGTTTGCTTGGTAAATAAGGGCATGGACAAACACAGCGAGAGCCACTCTGGGGACTTATCCCATTAGTCCTCCAGAAATGCCGAGGACTTCCCGGATACATTTTCACATCCGATTGAGCAGGAAGTCTTCCCGGTTTTTTTTTTTTGGGGGGGGGGGGGGTCTTCCTTTTCGGCCGCGACTGGATTAGGAGGGATTGTATCTCGCAATGGGGGATGTTGCAACTGTGAGTGACACCTTCTAAATTTGTTTTTTTCTTTCTGGAAGATTTGCTGGTTTATCCAGGATGTTTCTGTATCAAGTGGGCGATACAGTAATTTTGCTGTGACGGTGCCACCTGAAGACGGAAGCTTGTGTTGCCTCCGAAACGTCGTGATTTAATACATTTTTTATACATTTTTACCTACGTGACTTTACCGAGTATGGACCCTTGCAGTCACGAAAACTTAAAATCTAGAATAAATGAGTGAAAGCAATGTAATGAGAATATGAAGAGGGAAAAGTAATGGCGGCGGTTAGTTGTTTAATTCCCACTGTATTTGAAATGTATGAATGCTTCCCTCTTATCCACATGATGCATTTGACACTTTTTAGTACAGCATTTTGAGATGCAGTTGCAATTTAGATGCACTCTACATCCACATTGTATTGTACGCAATTTTCATAAAATACTCTTTACCTCTTTATAATGTTGGTACATGGTCATAACATCACGATCAACGTTCATTAACGACAAGGTGTAAGGAACGTTTGCTATTGGTGTTGTGTGCGACCAAAAAATAGAACCTGGGTCACCAGCATCATTACGCAGCGCACGTCACATACGCCCTGGTTTATCCGGGATGTTTCTGTTGCGCGTCGTCGCTTTAAGATGTTCTCTGTTCATATTTTGTTTGTTGCGGTTGCACCCGACTCAAGAGCCGCATGGCTATATCAAATAAAGGAAATTTGAAAACTTGAAACAAAACAACCACAACCGGCATACTCCACCAAGTACAGTGATGTCACCGCACGGGACATGGGGTGCCACAGCGGCGAGATGTCAACTCCCTCGCCTGGTATGCAGGAGGTCGTGGGTTCGATCCCGACCCTGACGCCTACTGATTATTTGGAGTTTGCGTGTCCTACCCAGAGTGGCGTACATTTTTCTCTGGGTCCTCCGGTTTTTCCCTCCACGTAAAAAAAAATGCGCGTTCAGAGTATTTGGCTACAATACATTTCCACGTGAGATGCCATTTCGTTGAGCTATCATTTGTGGCCAGGTCACTCATATAGCTCAGTGTGTCTTAAATGGTAAAATAAAAATACATAGTTTAGTAGATTAGTTTCACTTGTGCCAATCTAGGTGCACATTTAGGCCACGTGAATTGCTGAAGGCTTGCTGGCAAGAGTTCACGGGGCAGAGACTCAGGTGTTTTAGAATTACTCACAGAGATGACTGTCAGAATCACCACCTGTCCGTCCTTCTTGCTATGCCAACTTACTAATTGTTGTGGGCAGCATATGGTCGAGGGGGGCAGCTGCCCATTGCCAAGTATATATTGGGCATCTGTGAAAAGAGCTTTGTAGCTTATGGGATTCCTCCAGTATAAATACAGATTCTGATTCTGTTTCAGGAGCTTCTTCCACGACCATCCTCCAGAGGCTGATCTTGGCACTGCACGCAAATAGACTTGCCCCCACTGATCACTCTCACTCACACAGGCTCACACTAATAAAAAAAAAGGTACATTTAGTGTTCACACTAATCATAGTGCACGTAGGCACGTATAGTCTGGTAGTAGGAGTCAATGTTGCTATTTGGTGTAACCAAATGAAGTAAATTGTGAGTTATTTTTCAAATTTGACAAATGCAGACTGGCAAATGTGTCCTATTCTTTGAAACATATCATCACGGGACCTTTAACGTCTGCCGTGCAGCAGGTCGCGCGTATTTTACGGGCTTATACACCCGCAGTATTAACCGGAGTGGCCGCCGGTCTCGAACCGACAAACCACTGCAACCAACGGCCAAAAAGCTCCACCGCCCGGCCGCGTCGCCGCCCGCTCCTCACCGCGACAGTGGCCGTGCCCAGGTGTTCCAGGTGGCGTACGTGATCGTGAAGGCGGCCAACTCCCCACGGCCCGGGAACTGGATCCTGGAGCGCTCTCTGGACGGCGCCACTTACCGTCCATGGCAGTACTACTCCGTGAGCGACAGCGAGTGCCTGACCCGCTACGGCATCACGCCCACCGTCGGCAACCCCGTGTACCGGCGGGACGACGAGGTCATCTGCACGTCCTACTACTCCAGGCTGGTGCCCCTTGAGAATGGCGAGGTGAGGTGCGCCCCACTGACCCCCACTGAACCCCACCGACCCCACCATCCCCCACCGACCCCACCGACCGCACTGACCCCCACTGACCCCCTCGACCCCACCGACCCCACCGACCCTCACCGACCCCCACCGACCGCACTGACCCCCACTGACCCCCTCGACCCCACCGACCCCCTCGACCCCCACCGACCCCCACTGACCCCCACCGACCGCACTGACCCCCACTGACCCCCTCGACCCCACCGACCCCCTCGACCCCCACCGACCCCCACTGACCCCCACTGACCGCACTGACCCCCACTGACCCCCTCGACCCCACCGACCCCCTCGACCCCCACCGACCCCCACTGACCCCCACCGACCGCACTGAACCCCACTGACCCCCTCGACCCCACCGACCCCACCGAACCCCACTGACCCCCTCGACCCCCTCGACCCCACCGACCCCCACTAACCCCCTCGACTCCACCGAACCCCACCGACCCCACCGACCGAGCGGTTGGTCGTCGATTCGGCGCTTGGAAACTGTGCCCGGTTTGAACATTGTTGGTACTTGGTAAATGCCATCGTGCTTTTCTGTTGCTATTCTTCGTAGTGGTATTATTAATGTTGCATACTAAGCATGTCATCTTGCATTTTTACATATAAAGTTGTTAATTTACTCATTCTTAAATTGTTTTCCAAATTGGTTGGTTATGTATACCCCGCCCTTCTACAACGTCTTCACTTATCCAATAATATAGATTTGCTTACTCTGCTAGTTTTAACGTTTTGCTTAATTCACGGAAACTTGTGTAAAGACTGACAGACTGATATATAACAGCTGGTTAACACTTCCACAGGTTTCACAAAATTACTGACGAGTGGGTCATGGAGTGGAATGGGAATTGGGAGACCTAAGAGATTTATTGAGCATCTGTTAAACATTTCGGCGAAAGCCACAGACGTGAAAGAGTCTATTAATCGTTTTAATTTTTTTTTTATCTGGCTCGGGGTAAGTTAAATGCGCTGAGCTTAATGCAAAAGGTTAGAGGCTGAGATTCATGAGTTCAGATATTTAGAATGTTTCAGGAAACGCACACGAATTTAAGAGCTGAATCGGCTTTGGTGAAGGTGCAATGAAGGTCAAATTGTTGGAATAGCTAATGGTTAAATCTTACAAATATTTGCAACAAAAATTCCTCTATCATTGAAATATACCACGCTGTGGAGCAAAAGGTTAGATATTTACTCGCTTCCTGTGACCGTTCATCAGGATTGCAGTATAACATTTCTGATCGATTTAAGTGTGCGGATGGGTGATTAAGAATCATAGGTTTAAAACATCGAGGGGTTTGCAGACAGGTTTGGGCTCGGAGAACACTTGCAAGGCAACGGTGGTGGTGGTAATGGGATATGGGAGAGCGGCAAGTAAAATAAGATTAATGAAAACCAAGACGATAATAAAACACGGTAACTTAAAATCCGTCAAGCGTTATTAAAATTGATTACTTTGGATCGAATCTCATTTCACAGGGGTGCATTTTAAAGCGCACCTTCCGAAAGCTTAATGCATCCCTTTATTTGAAGCGAGAACAATGTCTGGCGCTGTTTTATGGTCTTAGAAAAGCAAAGAAGAAAACAGAGGGCCATTCTCTATCCACTGTTGGCGAAAGTGTTCCCATTTTGGCAGCATCGACTCTGAACCTGCATAGTCATCAACCAACTGATTCCTGCAAGTCGTTGTGTCGAGGTGTGTGTAGATATATGTAATCACGTTGCACGATGTATGTACGATAGTGCAGTACAATGTCATATATACGACTACGCTGGGGACTGAGGTATAGGGGGATATGTGAAATGGTGAGATTTGTGAATATCTATACGACACGAGAGTTACACCACCATGCACAAATGGGTCACTCGCCAAAATAAAGCACAGACTGTTTTAAACGTTGGGGAAAGCTTTCATGTACTGTGGAAGTGAGAAAGATGCATGCAAGGTTTTAAGAATGCATTTACTGCGTGCGATAAAAGATCGGATTCGGCAATATCTGCGGAAAATGCCCATTGCACCATGCACGAACGCTGCGCTGGGCGCAGGTGGTTCATTGGCCAGGGTGGATTTGTGACGGTCCGATATGGAACGCTGCACCGCGCACACCGGTCGAATCCCATCGGCTGAATGCGCGTGGAAATGATGACAGATCCACACGTCGCTGATTAACGGGCGGCCGAGCTCGGACGACCCCTCGCCGAAGCTGCTGGACTTCACGTCCGCGCGCTACATCCGCCTGCGGCTCCAGCGGATCCGCACGCTCAACGCCGACCTCATGACCCTGAGCCACCGCGACCCACGGGAGGTCGACCCCATTGTGACGCGACGGGTGAGCGGATGCCACCACGGCACAGAACACGCGCTCGCCGCTTACTCCAGCTTCAATCCTCTGCCTTTTGTGTCGATCCGCTGTTTGATGACGCCTTTCCCCACGGTGTGGCGGTCATGGGCGGGGGAGGTGCTTTGTTTGACCATCCTTCACCACGCTAGTCACTGTTGGTTTTGTAGATAGGGTGGGGGAGGGGACAGGACTGTTTGAGGTAATGCTCGCCAGGAATCAAACTCGGGCAGCCGGGTTCATAGCACAGTCTGCTTACTAACTGCGCCACCGCTCAACGGGAGGATCACTCACTCTTTGATTAACATCGACTCACATGCGCTTAGCAGATAAGGTACAGATTCTGAGGATCAGGGTTAACGGTTCGTCATCGTAAACGGTTGCGAACATCCACTGCTGGACGAAGGCCTCCCCATGTTGTTGCCACCACTTCGTAATTTCATTGCCATAATCCATCTCGCTAAGTGGCTACATTTCATCGTTCCTTCTCCACCGTGATGGGGCACGTTCCCTCCTTTGGCTGCTATTCCGTTACCAGGCTTGTTCATTGGCCATCCCCCCTCCTGGCGATGTGTCCCCTGCCCCCAAGCCCATTTATTTCTGTTGTAACAGTCAACACGCAATCTCTATAATCGCACCTTTGATTGGCATGGTTGGCTACATACGAAGAAGTTCAGTATACATTGTGATTGTTTTCCAGATTCACGTGTTCCTTTTTCTGTCCATTTCAATCCCAGCATGCATCTCTTTCCATCGTTTTTGGCATACTTTCCAGTTTTGATCCGGTTTCATCAGTGTCCATAGTTCCAATCCATGAGTCCTAGAAGGCCATTTGCACTGATTGGACAAATCCTCGTGATGCACATTAGTTTGGTTTTCTTATCAAATCAATGTTTACAAACACTAAAATGTACTCTCACTTGCCTCTTTATTTCATTATTTTAATCAAGTCCACATTAACTTGAGAATAGGTTTTGCCCCTTTTTTCTGCCAATAAAACAGGTGTTGAGATGTTAAAACACCAAACCGAAACCTTTTATAAGGAATCATGTCTGCATTAACCACAATACTTGTGGTCAGAATGCAAACAAAAAACATACTCCAATTTAACTTTTTATATGTATTAACTTCTGAACATATTTTATTTTTTTGATCAATAGAGGATGTCAATAGAGGTATCATCCATGATTAAATAATTGTTATTCTACTGCAGTTTAAACTGCATGCTGGAAATTCTGGTACCATTCTTTATATACTGAAGATGTGTGCCAAAAACATGCAAAGGTTGAGCGATCTTCAGCAGCACAGACCAGGAGCATTTAAAATGTTGTTGACTACTTGAAGACTCCCAGATGATGAGATGTTAACTACCTCGCCTGGTATGCAGGAAGTCGTGGGTTCAATCCCAACCCTGACGCCTGTATATTTGAAGTTTGTGTGTTCTCCCTGTGGTCACGTGGAATTGTCTCCGGGTCCTATGGGTTTTCCCTCCACATTTAGAATCAACGTGTGCTTTAGAGTATTTGGCGGCTATAAATTTCCACGTGATAAGCCACTTCGTTGAGCTCTCATTTGTGACCAGGTCCTTTCTATCTAAAAGAAAGAGCTATATAGCTCAGTGGGCCCTACCTGATAAAATAAAATAAAAAACTTTAAACTGTTTTGTTTCTCCCTCTGTCAAATATCAATACAATGTGTATCTCCAATACGACAGCAGACACGGGGGGAGGTTTAGACTAAGGGAGGACAACTCTTCACGGGGAATGGAACCCAGGAACTTCTGTCTGTGAGGAACATGTGTTGCCAACCTGTAGCCCACCGTGAGTGTACGTTCAACGTGCTGCAGTAACGTAATGAGCGTGGGGGCAGGGGGTGCCTTGCCCTTCCACCCCCCCCCCCCCCCCCATGGCAAAAGCTACGAGTTTGGGCCCCCTGGTCAACCACCATGAGATATCTATTCAACAACAGTGTAAAAGAACAAACTGATTTTTATACTCTTTGGTTCTTTCGGTAAAGTCACGTAGGTATACAATAAAATAAATCACGACGTTTCGGGCGCAACACAAGCGTCCGTCATCAGGTGGGAAAGCACTTATTTTATTTTACACCTACGTGACTTTACCAAAATAACCAAAGGATATGGATTCCTGCAGTCACGAAAGCTTCAAATCAAGATTAAACTGATTTCTGCGAAGACAGAGCGCCCCTGCATTTCAGACGCTGTCTTTCCGACAGCCCTGTTCTTCACCTGAGTCTGTCTTTCCGACAGACCTGTTCTTCACCTGAGTCTGTCTTTCCGACAGCCCTGTTCTTCACCTGAGGACGGCTGCTTGCGTTGTGGCCGAAACGTCGTGATAATTTTATTTTATTATGTTTTATTTTTATTATTTGAGTATTTCTCTTCTACGTGACTTTACCGAAAGAACCAAGAAGATGAGCCCCTGCAGCGTTAAATGTTCGATACCGCGAGCGCAATGATGGCAGGAGAAGGCACGAAATGTAAACATAATAGGCTCGGTGTGACCGTGCGTGACGAGTCAAACACTGGTGCCCCCACCTCACTGTTTGCCGCACTCCCCGACCTCATAATGAAGTCATGCCACTGATGCGCCTCTTGTTTGTGTCTTCTTCCCGCTGACAGTACTACTATTCCATAAAGGACATCTCCGTTGGGGGGATGTGCATCTGCTCTGGGCACGCCAGCACCTGTCCTTGGAACGAGGACACACAGGTCTCGCTTGAAGCAAACACAGATGACATCATAGCGTAGGGGAGTAGGCGCAAAATCGTTCGGTCAGCGGCCAGGTGCAGTCACAAAACAGCCCTTCTATCGGATAGGGTTACCATTGTGCTGTGCGCCCCCGTGTGATTGTTTACTAAGCCATTTCCACGGGGTGTCACTGGGACCCTTTAATCAATTGCACTTCGTTCACAATTGCCCAAACAATTGCCATGCACGTGGTAGGTGGCAATAATCCCTTCAAGTGGTTTTTTTTTTCGATTGCTGAGCGGCTTGCTGGCACAGGATGAGGCATGTTTGCTCAAATTTACGGGCTGGGGTAAGATTGCCTGCTGGCCTGCTCTCTTAATGATAATTGCAGCTTTTAGAACTAGCAGGTGCTAGACGATGTTTTGGCTTCCAGAGCATTGTGTCTGCAATAGCAGGTGCCATTTCATGCTTTATTCTAATGCAAAATAGACGCGTGTACACCCCAGACATTTTTTTCAACCTCACAAGGCATGTAATTTGAAGATAACTTTTGTGTAAAGGAAACATGTTATTATCGCGTGTGCGCTTCTCGCAGACTCGGTTGAACACACTTAATGTCTGGTCGGACAGTAATCACCACCTACCACTTTAAATGTCACAGAGGACATGTGACTGGTCCTGGATAATCATATTGTTTTAACTGCCTTCAGTGTAATCTGCATATTCTGATCATTATTGTGTTGTTGTCACGTACCGAGATAAGGTTTAACTTTAACAGGACACAGTTTTGTCTGCTTATCTACGTTGTTCTTTATATTCTCCACAACGACACTATTTTTAGTTACGTTTTACAAAATGCCGAAATAGGACCCACATCTCAGAGAGGGCTCTTGCCTGTGACATCTGGCAGGTCACCAGCATTGCTTCAATGAATACTGACTGCTGATGAGTCGATGTTTGATAACACTGGTCAACAAAAACAAAAAAAAATTTCTGGCCTGGACTTTTGCAGCTGTTTTAGACTAATTTAAGGGTGCTGATTCCAAATCTGGTCTCAGATTTGCTCTATCACGTCTCATTTTCATGCTATCGGCATACCCCATTTTCATTGATTTTACCAGAAATTAACTCTGTCACTTATGATTGCAAGTTGTTGCGAGTCAGTGACTGCTTTAGTGTTAAAATATGGTGCTGTATTTTTAGGATAGTGTGTTTAGAATATCATTTTATGTAGATATCCACATTTATTTAATATTTTCTGTTACAGTTTTTATTGAAAATACAATATTTGATATCTCAAAAACCTGATATGATAGACAAAAACTGATGCCAGATTTGGAATCAGCACCCCAAAATTACCTTAAAACCGTTGGAATACCTTGCGCCAGAAAAAGTGTGTTGACCAGTGTTATTGGTTTTTTACCCTTTTATCTGGCAACAAAACTTACACCTTTTTTTACACAAAAAAGGTGTCAGTTTTTTTTTACAAAAAAGGTGTCAGTTTTGTTGCCAGATAAAAGGGTAAAAAACCAATTATCATATTTTGCTACTGGCAAAGGAGGTTCCAATGGCGAGTCTCTGTTTGTCAAAATTCGTCCAGAGTTTGCACTCAACGAATGCTGGTGAAATTAATGATCACAGAAGAGCTCGATACAAGAATCGAGGCATTGTTACTCGGCTAATATATTTGTGTAACTTGTGATGAAAACTGTTATTGATTTGCAGTTATAGTATACAGAACCACTGCTTTCAATGTGGCTTTACTACCCTATAGCCCAAATTAGTGATTGTAGAGCAATCACACTCTTCATGGTCTGATATTTGCATTTTGAATATAAGGACAATATACAAATCAACTGTGAGTCGTCAATAAAATTAGAGTCTTAGGCACACAATGCACACATTGACTCGTGTGTAACATTTTATTACACTTCATGAAAATGGCATGCAAGTGATATCGCATTATTAAATAGAGGCTCTTGGAGTAAACCAAATAAGTTGTAAAAAATCAAATAAAATACAAACGACTTTGGAAAGTAACCGCGAGACTATTAATAATCTAAAGTCGTAACGAATCACGAATCTTGAAAAAAAAAATTGAATCGCCGAGGAGCCATAAACCGTCATTACGCGCCTGCTGGCAGACGGCGGCGGTCTGAATTGTTCGTTCGTGCAATGCGTCTATCTGTGTGTCCGTAACTCTGCACAGAAAATGGAGTGTCAGTGCGAGCACAACACGTGTGGGGAGAACTGCCAGCGCTGCTGCCCCGGCTACAACCAGCGGCGCTGGAGGCCCGGCACCATCAACAATGGCAACACCTGCGAAAGTGCGTCCCCCGTGTATCCCTGTGTCCCCGCGTGGTCCTTGTGTCTGTGTGACCCCCTCGTGTTCTTGTGGCCCCCTCGTCCCCGTGGCCAGTGATAGACTGGGACTAAAAATCGGCCCAGGCATTTGTAAACACACCGGCCCCCAAATTCGGGCTATGGACAATTTTGCATTTATTTAAATGGCCTGCGACGTGACATTCACGTGATTTTTGCTGCGTGCTATCTCATTGGCTCATTTGGGCTGGGTCCAAAAAAATTATTGGGACAGTGAGGAAAAATATTTGGAGCTGCCAGATATAGGACTTAATGCCAACTGAGAGCGTAATATCTGGAGCTGCCAGATATAGGACTTAATGCCAACTGAGAGCGTAAATAAGCAATGAAGCGTACACATTAGAGGTAATGAAGAAAAATTGACTTCGATCATAATGGCAATTTCCCCACACAGACCGGCCCACCATCTCTCGAAATGGACCGGCATTTGCTCCGACTGCCCTATGGCCAGTCCATGTCCGTATCCCCTGCTCACGATCGCATTCGGCCGGAGCCACACAGGGCAATCAAACTTCGTGGCCCAAGCTATATAGCCACCCATGTGCAGAGCCTTCCCCTCATGTCCCATGTTGTACCTGGTATGGCCTATCATCTTCTTGGTTCTTTCAGTAAAGTCACGTAGAAGGGAAATAATAAAAGAATAAAAATAAAACATAATAAAATAATTCTCACGACGTTTCGGCCACAACGCAAGCAGCCGTCCTCAGGTGAAGAACAGGTCTGTTGGAAAGACTGTTCTTCAACTGAGGACGGCTGCTTGCGTTGTGGCCGAAACGTCGTGAGAATTATTTTATTGTGTTTTATTTTTATTATTTTATTATTTCCCTTCTACGTGACTTTACCGAAAGAACCAAGAAGATGAATCCCTGCAGTCACGAAAGCTTTAAATCGAAAAATGGTATGGCCTAGATATAAGCGATATGTCGACACGACCAATAGATCTGCCTTGTCTCTTGAGTCCAAGGGAGAAGGTTGGTAGCCATGCTGGGAAGGTGCACTTTAAAAAAGAAAATCTCAATATTTGTTGAAATGTACAAACTTAACAACAGCTGTTAAACTAACCACTGAACGTGTATATTCGAGTTATAATATAGCAGCTATACATTCTCGCCTGCAACCCTCTTCTTGGAAGCGCGTGATTACTGCAGTTATTACAACCACGGGAGTAATCGGGGTGACCGCTAGATTCGAACCGTGCAACAAGCGGTGAACGCGCCACCGCTAGGGCCCGTGTCATCGCTCAGAGGTGGACGGAGGTGGTGGGGGAAGGAGGGGGGGGGTTGGTTTATGAACCCTGCCCATTGTTTTATTTGCCACGCCACAAAATCAAACCGCCGATCTCTGGAGCGCAAGTCCAGTGTGGTAACCATGGCAAAGGAGGTTGTATAATGGTGATAAAATTACTGTCCAAAACCAATTTACTTCGCGATGAATTGTGTTGGTCATGAGGAGTTCTTCTTTGACCATATTTCACCGGGCTAGCTGCTGGTGAAGGGGCAAACCGGAACTCGTTCAGATATCCTTCGCCAGTGATTTTATCAGTGACCGGAAACATTTCATGCGATGTCGCCAGCATTGCTGGATGCAGTGCCCCAGACGATACAGTGGTCAGTGCCGGATGAAGCTAAGTGCGGGGTCTGTAGCACGTGTTATCAAGGGGCCCTAAATAAATAAAAAAACACGTAATTATTAAAACACACGTGTTTTTTTACTTGTATAGTAAAGTAATTGTATTTTTTTATTTTCTATACAGCCGGATAATACGACAAATCGCGAACCTGAAACACCCAGTCGTTCATAAAAGTTGAAGGCAGCATAGTACTATAATAATATAGCAAGTGCAGAATCACTGGAACGGAATTGATAGCTTGAAAGCATTTTGCGCGGGGCCCTTGAAAGTGCGGGGCCCGTAGTTTGCGTAGCTACTTTTGCGACAAGGATAATTCGGCACTGACAGTGGTTGCATTCGTTCATTGAAATTTAATTTCTCCATCAGTCTGCTGCAAATTATATGCTGCAAATTATATGCTGCCAACAAAATATCCACAATCTATTTACGCGAGTCTTCTGCTAAGCAATGAAATACTTTTCGGGGGGGAGGGGGAAGAGGATGTCGGGGTTGTTAACCGATTGTGTGAAAATTCGGGCTCCTGTGACTAAAGTTTGAGATCCACTGGCTTAACGGAGACAATGGCCTTTCTCTTGTTTCCGTGCTTTCCGAGTGTCGTCATGTGCACACTCTCCGGGATTTATCTCGACGAGCTCGTGACCACCCCTAAGCCCACTTCAGGTGTCGCTTCCACAGCCGGCAGGAACCGCGTTGGTTGAGGTAGTGGCTCGCTCCTGGCGGTAGAGAGAGAGAGAGCGCCAGCATCCCCATCGCCGCCCTGGTAGGCGAAACTGATCCCAGAACCAGGCCCCCCTGGCTCATCACCTGATCCGTGATGCACACTTTTAGGGCTGGGCGATTAGTCTCGATGTCACGGGGTGCTACATAACAGCGAAACGCTCGCCCGCTCGCTCGCTCCGGCGCGTCGCACATCTCGCCCGGTAGTTATCCAGTCCCCAGGCGAAGCATGGAAGTACATTAATGATTGTGTAGAGAAGTTCCCACGGACACACTCGGAGACAGAGGTAAGTTAAGGTCTTTCGCCAGGGTTTATTAAAGCTGTTACAATAACACACCAGGGTACACAACTCCCAGGGGCTAGGGGTCCTACTCTGACTCCGGGTCCCAGCCGGCTAGCTCCGGTCTCTCTCTCTCGTGTCGGATCGTGGACTCTGCCGACTCCACCGAGCGGAGAGAGAAGCACCTCTACAGCTACCACCGGCTTCTCCCCAGACTCCCTATTCGATCCCTCTCTCTACCCCTGGTTCCCTCTTCACCCTGCTTACTCTACCCGTTCCCACAGTGACCCGCTTACGTCACGGGGTCTCCCTTAAGTACCCTAGGAGACGTGACGTCATCGCACTGAACGGCACACCTGACGTCACGTTCCCATTTTACTCCTATACATTTGTAATGTGAAGGGCAACAATGATTACCCAATGTTGGGCACTTAGGAGACCAGTGCTGCTGGGAAGCTGCATTCACTGTATGCGCCTAATGATGGCGAGGGAACAAAACAAAGCAATGACGTCCTCGGCCATTGCATGGCAGTAAATCCATTCACTTGACCATCTCACCTGCGTCAAGGAAAGCCTGAGGCAGAACCAGTAGTGCCTGAAAACTGGAGTCACGAACTGCTTCCCCGCCGTGTGTTCGGTTTAATCTTCGTGAAGTTAGAACTTTACGACTTTAGCGGCACAAGTAAGCAATTGTAGGGCTGTACCTATTTACTAGGGCTGAACGATTTGGGGAAAATATCTAATTGCAATTTTTCTGACAGATATTGCGATTGCGATTTGATTTGCGATTACATTTGTTTAAGTCACGCTTCAGTTCAACATTCACTGTGTAATAGATTTAAAACATGTGATGGAGCATTACAACGTGATACCATCAAAATATGAACTGCTCTATATATTCTAATGCAAGGATGATATCCTAAAACATACGAATTGCTTCCAACATGTCTTTATTAAAATGTTTAAATTGAAATAGAACAATCGAACGTAGAACAATTGTTAAGTAAAATAAATAAAGTAATCAGATTACAAAAATAAAACAATTCCAATGGGAAAGCAACAGGACTTTTCAACTCGCAAAAAAGCCGCAGCCTTTGTGCGACTTCCTCATCGCATTGTTTCAATATTGCGATTTCGACTTGAAATCGATGAATCGTTCAGCACGAGGCGTACCGCCACCGAGTAACCAACCACTGTGTTGACAGAGTGCAACTGCCACGGCAAGGCTGAAGACTGCTACTACGACGCAGAGGTTGACCGCGCCAACCGAAGCCTCAGCATCCACGGCCGCTTCTCCGGCGGCGGCGTCTGCATCAACTGCAGCGCCAACACGGCCGGCACCAACTGCGAGACTTGCCGCGACGGCTTCTACCGGCCCACGGGGGTACGCGGGTTACAAAGACAAAAGATCCCCCCGTATAGCCTTAACAGACTGCCGGGGCAAGTGCTGTTAGCGAGCGCCTATGAAGGCCGGCACGGCACACGACGTGGTGGGTGGCCAACACCACGCCCGGCCGCCTTTGTCTCCCCGGTGGCGGTGCTTGCACACACCGCACCAGGTACTCATTTGAGGCTGAGTCGACCTAGGGGAGGCCCAGGATCGGTTCAGATAATCGTCACTGATGTTGGCCGTGAGCACACACGCACACACGCGCGTATACACGCGTCACGGAAAACAGTCACATGCGGTGTTGTTCGTTCACGACCCCGGCCATGTGGATCAGCGGTAGAGTGAGCGGCTCGCACGTCGGAGTGGGGGTTGTGAGTTCACATCCCGCTTGGGGGGGTTGACTCGGGTCAATCGTCCTTTTCCTCGAGTCGATAATCGAGGGCCACTTTTGCGGGGGAAGTTAACCGTAGTTTTGCTCTGTGGATATACATGCCCCCATCATAGGAATGTGGAATTTACACCAGAGCTGTCACCGGATGATGAGCACCGCCTCGATGCTCATTTGAGCACGAGCTCAGTTTGACTTCAGTATTGTTAAGAAACATTATTTATCCGCGTGTCGTCTGTCCGTCACAACTTACTCGAGTTTTTGTTGTTATGCAGAGGTGAGTGAGCGCTCATTCTAATTGGAAGAAACCAGGGACCTTTGCTATGTATAACAGATGGCCTTTAATAGACACGAAAAAAAAGTTAATGAAAACTTTTCACTGCTAATCTTACCCAGGTTTTAAGTGTAACAATGCTTCAGAGCACTCATGCAATGTGATTTGATAATAGTTTAGAAAAATTATTCACACCGACTGTAGGATTAGCTGGCACTACGTTGCAAATACGAAGTGTATTGATTGTAAACATCCCTGTGTTTTAGCATGGCTGACTATACACGGGTTCTCTCTACATTTTAAGTTAAATCTACGTTTATTATGTCCATCCCCTAAGGCAGTAATGCCGGAGAGCTGGGTTTTAAACTCTCCTGGCTTCTAACCTTTGCCCTCAAGCCTTTAACCTCGAAACCCAAAGCCTTACCCCCCCCCCCCCCGTACTCTAATCCTTGCTCCACATGCACTCCTTCCTCGGCCTCTAATCCGAAGCCACAGTAACTATAAATAACCAATGACTTACCTCCATGAAGATAGAATTAGCAGCCATTATATTTTAGATGCAGTGTCTAAAAACGAGAGAAGTAATTCATCGTAGTGTATAAAAACAACAATTTTTTAGAGCTCTTTGTCAATCTAGCTGCTGGAAGAAGGCCTCATTATGCACTGTGCCCACTCAAGGTCGCTTTGTGAGCATACTTCACCATGCTGGTCTGTGATAGGGTGGTGAAGAGTGGGTAATGGGTTGGATATTGCTTGCCACTCACTTTAGGCATGGCCCAACTGTGCTACCGCTTCAGCCATGAACTTAATTCGTATTGGTATATTATTAAGTAGAATATTCAGTTCAACAACCATGTTTGACCGAGCCGTCAACCGATGTTAATCTTAAATGTGCGCTCCATGCTATGACTGCATTAAGGTCACTCGGCATCTACATTGTGACCCGCAGGTCAGTGTGGGCCTGGCGTCAGTTAATGCTGCTTTTGTCTGTGTGTGTGTGTCCAGGTGTTGCCAGACGACCCATACCCCTGCCGCTTGTGCCAGTGTGATCCGCAAGGGTCTCTCAGCCAAGTGTGCATTAAAGATGAAAAGCATGCCGATCCCGAGAGAGGTGGAAGAGAATTTAACAATTAAAAAAACATCACACACACACATACACTCACATGAACCGTTATACAGTGACCAACACACAGACATTTGGAAACACTTCATATATACAGTTTTAACTCGCTTCATGCGGTAGATGTGTTCCAAAAAATATAGTACGAAAGATTAAATTAACGAAACGGCTGTCTGCCGAGTAGCGCACACAGTACCGCACAACGTTGTCCCACGTCTGACCGCATAGCCGCGTATGAGCGAATTCAAACCGCATATCGCGAATTGTGGGTAGAAATAGGTGAGTAACATATGTGCGGAATGGCACAAAGCGAAGCCGCGTAGAGCGAGGGAAACCTGAACTTATCTTGAGGGTCTGTCTGAAGTTACTGACCTGGCTATCACACTGGAATGACCAATGAAGCTAGAGATCTATTAATTTATGTCGCATGAGAAGCCTTCATTTCAGAATTTCTATCAGAATCAGAATCTTTATTTAGACTGGAGGAGTCTAGTCTTCGCTGTCGTGTCACTCAACAAGCGCGATATCCGGTGAAGGTGAAGGCGCCTGACTTCCAATGTTTGTTGTGAGCGTGGCATTTGCAATATTGCACTCATTGCCTTAATTGAATTAAATAATAATTTTAAAACAATCCACGCAAATGCTCAGCAGCACGTTGATATAACTTCATTAGATAATGACCCTGATTGTGCTGGTAATGTCTGTGACCACACCATCCTGCATGCGCTTGATCTCATCAGATATCAGAAACTAAGCAGTGTTGACCCTGGTTGGTACTTGCATGGAAGACCGCCAGGGAATACCAGGATTGGTAAAAACTGTTGGAACTATGAAACCACTTATTTTATTTTACCAGTTAAGGCCCACAGAGCTATACAGCTCTTTTTAAATCCTTTATATTAAGTTCACTTGCTTGCTTGCTTGCACGCTTACGACCGTGCAAATCTTTCGGTCGTTTTTTAACCCACTTCCCGTGATCCAATCCAGCTGACATTTTGCACACAGACTCGTTGTGCGTGACAATTTATTTTCGTGAAAATTTTTTTCAAAAATGTTCCACTTTTTAGGAAAAAAAAAATTTCATATTTAATTTAAAATACCAATGTGATAAAAATGAAACTCTTATTCAAGATAAACAGAAATGAATAATAAAATAAAACCGATGCCACGCATATAAAGGATTTATAGTGAAAAACTTTGTTTTTACGTGTTAATTTTTTTCAGAAGTAACCTAGCCACAAATGATAGCTCGGTGAAGTGGGTTGTTTTTAAAATTTATTGCAGCCAAATACACGGGGAGAGAAAACATGCAAACTCCAAATATACAGCAGGCGTCAGGGTCGCAATCGAACCCACGACCTCCTGTATACCACGCGAGGTAGTTAACATCTCGCCACTATGGCACCCCTTGTAGGCTTGGGCTCTGAGCTGGCCAGGAGAAACATGACAGAAAATGATTTTGAATCTTTGTGAAGTGTTTCTTCTTGGTATACGTGGGGGTTATTTATTTATTTTAACAAATACGATTTTCCTTTCACATGCCACATTCATTGGTGTAATTGGCCAAATACCCTAATACAGGAAAAACATTTTTTAAATAGTCTTGATTTTGCGGTGATTTTTTCCCGGGTGAACACATGATATTATGATTACTTTCATGCCGTATTCGTATCATACCGTATGTTGACCTTCTTTCAGTCTGTACGTAGCCAACCGTGCTGGGAGGGGGGGGAGGACAGCAAGCTAAACACAAGCATTAGCAATGATGCTCAATTGCCAAGCAAGTGTAGAATAAATGCCTTTTTCCTTTTCTCTTTCCCCACCCACACTTGTGCCTCACCTCCCCCCCCCCCTCCCCCCCACGTTAGACCTGTCACCTGGGCAGTGTCTCTGCAGGCCTGGCTTTGCCGGCAAGCGCTGTGAGCGGTGTGCCTTTGCCTATCGCGGATACCCCAACTGCGAGCCCTGCCTCTGCAGCATGGCAGGAAGCACGAATGATGACCCCTGCAGCGAGCCCTGTGTGTGCAAGGTGAGATGATCGTGGATCACAGCCGATGGATGGGATGGAGGCAGAAGCCAACGTCATTCCACGGGCAGAGGTCATCGGTGCCGGTATCAAATGAACTTCATTGGGGGAGGGGGGGGGGGGGGGAAGGCACATAGCAAACATCACCCTCCTACTCGTCGACTGTTATAAATTCGTAAGTCTCTGCTGCATGTACCTTGTCCCACAAAGGGGCAGCTGCCACTGGGGGTGTCCCCTGAACTAGAGTAGCAGTAGCTTATTGGAGATGACATTGCGATATAATGTTTTTTGAGTTGCTGGTGCAATTAAGTGCTCTGTAGATGCAACTCCTTATCTTGGACATACCGAAGATGTCCTATCTAGTTGTATATGTCATGTATATCTAGGAGTGTGTTTTAAGCTGAAGTAAAGGGTCAACCAGCTATCATTGGATGGGCTCCAGCTTCAACATGGAATTCTTTGAGACCCTCTAAAACCCCCCAGTGACAATTGGCAATTTCATGCTTTTCTTGGACGTTTGCTGCTATTCACAAAGTAAACATTCAGGAACGCGTGTGCGTCTCCTGTGTGTGTGTGTGTTTTAACAGCAGGAGTGTAGCGGTTAGCGTGCTGCACTACAAACCCGGCGACCCGAATTTGATTCTCGATCTCATGGCCAATGCCGGTGACGATTATCCGAACCGTTTCTGGGCCCCCCCGAGGTCGGCTTCGCCTTAAATGGTGCGATGTATAAACATCGCCACTTGGTAGACAAAGGCGGCCGGGCATGGCACTGGCCACCCACACCCTCGTGTGCCATGCCGGCCTTCATAGGCGCTCGCTAACAGCACTTGACCCAACAGTCTGTTACGGTTATATTAGCGGTAGTCTTTGTTTTTTATATTCTTAGGTTTTTTCGGTAAAGTCACGTAGGTAAAAAATTAAAATTTTAATTTAATAAAAGTAAAATAAAAATAAAATAAAAATCACGACGTTTCGGAGGCAACACAAGCTTCCGTCTTCAGGTGGAACCGTCACAGCACGATTGCTGTTTCAAGTAACTTGCCTCTGAAACGTCGTGATTTTTATTTTATTTTTATTTTACTTTTATTAATTTGAATTTGAATTTTTTCCTACGTGACTTTACCAAAAAAACCTAAGAATATGAATCCTTGCAGTCACGAAAACTTCAAATCTAGGAGTCTTTGTTATTTGTTTTAACAGCTTTGTTACTTGAATATCCAGCCGGAAACTACGATAATTGTTACGTCATTTCTGGATCAAGCCTCAACTCTCATTGGAATGGTCAAAATGCGCTCACCAGTCGGTTTCGTCGCTGGCCCGTCCCAGGAGCATGTGGAGGGTGAGCACTGCGACCGCTGCAGGGCCGGCTTCTACGACCTGCGGCCAAGAAACCCGCGCGGCTGCTCCGCGTGCTTCTGCTTCGGCCTCTCCAGCTCGTGCCAGAGCCTGCCATGGGGCATCACTCGGGTAAGCACTCGCTCGAGTACGCTGCGATGCAAAGGTGATGATCATAACGGTGGCAACTTCTCCAGCACGAAAACATGGCAGGCCGCCACTACGAGGGCACTGGGTTTGTTTCAATGGATACTCTTAGGGGTGCATTGCACATGGTAGGAGATGTGGCATTCCTATTTAATGTCGGCATTTAGCATCGTTGTTTCTGAAGAGGTCCCTGTGATAAAATTGCCCTGAATGCGCCTGATGCCATCGGATCTCAGAAACGAAGCGGAATTTACCTGGTTAGAAGTTTGGGTGGGCTAGGTGTTGCAGCTGCAGGTCTGTGTGGTAGCCCCGATATGGCAATGCTGAGTGTCACTCCCTTTCGATTTAAAGCTTTCGTGACTGCAGGGATTCATCTTCTTGGTTCTTTCGGTAAAGTCACGTAGAAGGGAAATAATAAAATAATAAAAATAAAACATAATAAAATACAATTCTCACGACGTTTCGGCCACAACGCAAGCAGCCGTCCTCAGGTGAAGAACAGGTCTGTCAGAAAGACAGCGTCTGACGCGTCCACTCGAGCAGTCTGTCGGAAAGACAGCGTCTGACGCGTCTTCCCGACAGACCTGTTCTTCACCTGAGGACGGCTGCTTGCATTGTGGCCGAAACGTCGTGAGAATAATTTTATTATGTTTTATTATTTTGTTACTTCCCTTTTACGTGACTTTACCGAAAGAACCAAGAAGATGTCACTCCCTTGTTGTGTAGGTTCCTGTAAGGGCACTCGTGAATGGTATTGGCCAAACATTCCAGGGTAAAGATCCTCCTGCAAAAGACCCTTGAGACTCGGCTAAGTTTTTCTGCGTAAATAATCGGCATTATCATTGTCATTGGATACTCGCACTTTACCCCACCACAAGGTACTTGCCAATTGACCCACAGCAGTACATCACAATTCCTGAAAGGTCGATAGAGTTTACGGTAAGATAAAGAAACTGTCACTGTTTTAATTACATCGACTGGCAATTCACACCGTGAACCATTGCACATCTTTACGCTTTTAGCCTCGCCACTCGAGCAGCTGTAATTATATTGAGGTCCGCCGAGACGTACAGATCTTAAGAGCGAGCCGAGATGATAACACTTCACGGCAGCTTGTCGGACGGGAAGAAGGTCAATAGCTGTCCCCCACCAAAACAAAGGCTACGCCACAATTCTCTCTCTGTATGGGAAGCACGTCACATGGGACACCATGGTCAGATTCCTCCTCTCCCTCCCTCCCTCCCGACCACTGTGACTACTGGCCACGTGTGCAGGTGGTGGACATGCGCGGCTGGCGCGTCACAGACCGGCAGGGACTGCGCAAGGTGAAAACCTTCCTGGAGGTGGACCAGGTCGCCGTCAGGAACGCGGACGTGCGCCGCACACTGCCGGCATTGTACTACTGGCTGGCCCCCGCTTCCTACCTGGGCAACAAGGTACCGCGGTGTTTGCAGACCCCCCCCACCCACCACCTCCCCCCAACCCCCACCTCTCGCCCCCCCCCACCCACCACCTCCCCCCTACCCCCACCTCTCGCCCCCCCCCCACCCACCACCTTCCCCCTACCCCCACCTCTTGCCCCTCCTCCCGCCCCCCGAATACGCCCCTCCCGTTCCTGTCTGCTGCACCGTGCATTGCGCAGTTCGTTGCAAAGACAAAGGTCCCCCATCGATGTTCTTTGGTTCTTTCGGTAAAGTCACGTAGATGGAAAATAAAAATAAATAAAAAATATTATTTTTTATAATCGCCTGATGACGACCGTGTTGCGATCGAAACGTCGTGAGTTTTTGGTTTCTTATGAATTATTTATTATTATTATTTTATTATTTTCCATCTACGTGACTTTGCCGAAAGAACCAAAGAATATGAATTCCTGCAGTCACGAAAGTTGTAAGTCAAAATTGAATCCCCCATCTCGCCTTGAACTGAGTGTTAAAGCAAGCTGTTAGCGAGCACCTAATGAAGGCAAACACGGCGCACAAGAGGGTGTGGGAGGGAGCCATCGTCACTCACTTCCCAGTGCCACACCAGATAGAGTGCTCGTTAAAAGTTGTATTCAGCTATGTTTTCAACTTTCGGAATAATTCATCTAAACCATTCAACATTCATTTAAAGGGTCCTGTGCATGATTAAGAAATTACAACAACAAACACAGCATAAGCATGCACCTAACGCTTCAAATTAATATTGGTCCTCGGTCAAAAGGTTGATTTAGCCTGTCTGGGCCAATATTAATGTGAAGGGTTTCATGAATGATCACGTTTTGGGTTTTCGTTTCCTATCTTAATTACCCATGCATCTAAACCCTTACTGCTAACATTGGCACCAACGTCCCGAATCAACCTCCGTACTGCCGTGCAGCTCTGGGCTCGCTCTGTACACGGCACTCCGCGTGGGCGAGTGTCCACATGGCGCCTTTGTCCAACACCTCGGCCCGGCACGGATCATTAGTCTGCGGCGGTGGCATTTTGGTTTTCGTTATCACGTAGCGCAAGTGCTGTCTGCGGCTCGGTCATTTTTATTCCCTTCCCCTGCAGCGTTATCTCTCGCGTCCTCGCTCTCGCTCCGTCGCTCGTCACCTCCCTCCTCCCCCACCCCGCTTGGTTTCCCATTCGCCGCACGTTGTCTCGAGTGCGCTAATAAATTAACCCTCGACTTTACTGCTTTTGGAGAAGAACATCGCCTTGTCGCGCGCGTCCCGCCGCGGAATGAATTCCGTCGCGCTTTCGTACGGCGCCGTGAGCAGCGCGAGCGTTGACGGCACGAGAAATTCGGCCTGTGACAAGGCGTGCTCTCTCTAATGCCGCAGAGCAGCTGTGGAGGTAAAAAAAAATACAAAAGAAATCGTACAAAGTCGCCATTGTTTGGCTCGATTTGAATGTCTGTCCAGGTAGTCACAGTCAACAGGGTTAAGAATGACAGTCCGGTAATGGAGTGTCATTGTAATGGTATAGGCTCATCGAATAGCTCATTACAAGGCAAAATAAAAAATGAACCATATTACATTTTATATACAATCAAATCCATATATGTTTAGGTATTCCAACTTTGTTACTATATATTTGTAGAAATGCATAGTTTTGGCTTCACAGAGCCGCACCCTATTTAGAATCGCTCTCGGTACCCGATGGAAATCGCACAAACTTGCCACATTTGATCATTGGCCAAACCTCATGAAGGAAATATCCACATCAAGACATGCGGCGGCTCTGTGGCAGGTAACATGGGAACAATGGCGGCGTGGACAAAGATACAAAGACAAAGATCCCCCAGTATAGCCTTCAAAGACTGTTGGGGCAAGTGCTGTTAGCGAGCACCTATGAAGGCCGGAAGGGCACACGAGGGGGTGGGTGGCCAGCACCACGCCCGGCCGCCTTTGTCTCCCTTGTGGCGATGTTTTTCGACACATCTCACCAGGTACTCAATTGAGGCCGAGTCGACCTATGGGAAGCCCAGGATCGGTTCAGATAATTGCGACTGACGTTGGCTGTGTGAGCGGGAATCAAACTGGGGTCGCCGGGTTCGTAGCGCAATGCTCCATACGCGCAAAGATACAGCCCCTTGTCATTCACCCGATTTTGACCTGACTCATTTCACCATTATGTGCACTTCACGGACACTCGTTTATTTTCCTCGTCTATTTGCTCCTTACTGTCGTATTATATCCCCCCTCCCCCACTTTTTTCCCCCATGGTTCTCAACCATCCCTTGGTGAGCTCTCCAGCTCTTAAATTTCGATTTAAAGCTTTCGTGACTGCAGGGATTCATCTTCTTGGTTCTTTCGGTAAAGTCACGTAGAAGGGAAGTAATAAAATAATAAAAATAAGCTCTTATTCACATTTTTCTTCATCGCGACCGGCAGCTTCAGGGAAATGTGCCCCACTCGCACTTTTCCCTTCCCATTGCTGTCCTCCGCCGGTCCTGTTTACGTTTGTTTGAACGATTTTTTTTAATGTTCCCATTTTTAAATGCTGAATGCAAAAGGTCCAAAACATGTACAGTCTCACGGTCAATACCGTCATCGTATAAACGATAGACATTGGAGTAACCATTTTGCTAATCCACTGGAGCTGCACACTTTTAAATCTGGATTAAAACCTCCTTTCTTTTACAACTGCCCTTTGTGTTTTAGTTTGTTGTCCTTCCCCCGCACCTCCGATTTTAGCATGGTCGACTACGTACGGTGCGAAAAGAAGTTCAACATACTCACTGCGCCTGTTCATTGTTTTAGAATGCGAGACTTTGCGACCTAAACAATAGCCACCTTCTTCAGGTGAAGGCCGTCCTTGACGCTCTGTGTCTCTGTCACGTGCGCACCAGCTGACAGCGTACGCTGGCCACCTGCGCTACAGCGTGTCCTACGACATCCCGGTGGACAGCACGGACTCGGAAATGATCTCGGACGTGGACGTCATCATCGAGGTGAGATCACCCTTGGGATTTGTTGTGCTTCTTTCGGCAAACCTCAAATGTCAACGAGCACAGTGTTTCGTCGTAGGCACGTAAAGGGTTTCATTTTCATTGCGATTGTAATGACTGTGCTGGTTAGAATTGTCAGGATTGATGGTCACGTTTCGGGATCGCTTAAACTAATTTGATTTTTATAAATGAATGTATTCTTAAATGCGCAGTTTCAGGAAGCTATCATAAACCTTCCAATTTTGAATTGATTAATTAATGCATCGTTACATGCCTTTATTTTTTGTTATTTATTTGTGCGATTTGTAAATCTTACATTTTATTGAGATCAACGAGTTCAACTTGTCGACATTTAATGGTGTCTCCTGAGATTTTCTGCCAATTTTCCTTGCTGTTTGTATAGTCTTGGCTTTAGCTTAAGCCACCAGCAAGCCTCGTGGTATAATGCGAAGCGAGGTGCTTTTAACTATTCTTAGGTTTTTTCAGTAAAGTCACGTAGGTAAAACATCAAAATTAATAAAATAAAACAAAAATCACGACGTTTCGGAGGCAACACAAGTCTCCGTCATCAGGTGGGACCGTCACAGCCAGATTAGCTGCATCAAGTGAGGCTTTTAACTTTCTAACGCCCCTCAAGGTAACACGGATTAGGTCTGTCCCTGTGGATGGCCGAGCATAATTAAACGCCATTGTCGACGTCCATCCCATTGTTTGCTGTCGCCTTTCACAGTTCTCCGCTATCCCCTTATTTCACTCTGGGGCGCCGCGGTGGCGAGATGTTAACTCCCTCTCCTGGTATGCAAGAGGTCGGGGGTTCGAACCCGATGCTGACACCCTGTACATTTGGGAGTTTGCCTGTTCTCCACGTGGTCGCGTGGATTTTTCTCTGGATTCTCCAGTTTTTTCCCTCCACATTTTGAATCGACGTCAGGCGTTTTAGAGTATTCTTCTGCTATATGTTTCCACGCGATAAGCCATTTCGTTGAGCTATCGTCTGTGATAACCAGGTCGCTTCTGAAAAATAAACTATATAGCTCAGTGGGCCCTTGCCTGGTAAAGTAAAAAAATAAGTTTCTAGTTTTAGTTGAGTTTCTCTCTCTATTTCTGCTCTTTTTGCTTCTGCCTGTGCAGGGCAATGGCCAAGCCCTCAGCTCGGGTTCGCTGGGTTTGATGCTGCAGCCATTCGAAGAGCAGACCCTGTCCCTCCGCCTGCTGCCAGAGAACTTTTTTGATTTCCGCTCCAATGCTCCCGCGTCACGCGACGCCCTCATGACGGTGCTGGCCAACGTGACTCGCCTACAAATCCGTGCCAGCTACAGCTCGGTTAAGCAGGCTGTGTACCGGTGAGTCAGCCACGTGCCTGGCATTTAAACGTGACACGCGGATTAGATTTGTACGGGCAATACGCACGTATTACGTCTGACGGCGGAGCGGTGGTGTAGAACTTTGAGTTTTTAAAATTTGTTCCATGGATGATCCCGTTTATTAACTTGCCCAGCTATTTTACAAAATGCTCATTATAATTTCTGAGCAATGTTCATGGACTAATTATGAAACTAAGCTGTAGTAGATACAGAATGAAATGTGCTTTAAGAACATGCTTTTGCAGAGTTAAGAGCAACCTAAGAGCTAAGGCTAATTCTCTAATCTGAATAATTTTTAGCCATTTAATACAATCAATTGGCCAATGTACTAAATAAAATACTATTCTTGGAAAAACAGTTGCATTTATTCATGAAGGCACTGTAGTTCATTTGGCAGCTGTATGGGCAGTATACGCCAATATACATTGCATTGAAGCAGTGAAGACCTGCAAATGTAGTTTAAATTCAACCCGCACATTCAATTTCGCCCCTCCTTGGACTGAGCGGTGGTTTTAGAGGCTATGCGCCGCTACGATCTGCATTTAAAACCTAGCAAAAGTGGCCGGAATGTTCTCGTTCTTACTCCGCAGCCGTGCATGAGCCGCCTCTGCCCTTGATCCCTTTGCAGGCTGAGCGCCGTGTCTCTGGACGTGGCCTCGCCGGATGCGGCGGTGGGGAGTCCCGCGGCACTCGACGTTGAGCAGTGCCATTGCCCCCACGGCTATGCTGGGACATCCTGCGAGGTGCTTTTTAAATCCTTTATATTAAGTTAGCTTGCGTGCTTGCGTGCTTGCTTGCTTGCTTACGACCGTGCAAATCTTTCGGTCGTTTTTTAACCCACTTCCCGTGATCCAATCGAGCTGACATTTTCCACACAGACTCGTTGTGCGTGACAATTAATGTTTGTGAATTTTTTTTTCCAAAATGTTACACTTTTTAGGACAAAAAATTATATTTAATTACCAATTGCTTAATGGTGCAATGCAATCATCTGACCCATAAGTGGCAGCCATCTCAAGCCAGAGGACGAGAGGACTCTAGCCGCCACGCATATAAAGGATTTATAGTGAAAAACTTTGTTTTTACGGGTTATACTTGTTTATTCTTTTCTTATCTCGGCCCCTCCATTCTCCTAGCTCGTACCATGTGCTCCGATGCCCCCTCCTCCGTTCTCCTGGCTCGTGCCATGTGCTCCGATGCCCCCTCCTCCGTTCTCCTGGCTTTTCCTTCGTCTTCCGATCCCCCTCTGTTCTCCTGGGTTCTGATGTCTCCCCCCCACCCTCCGGTCTCCTGGCCCGCGTGTTCCCGCGGTTGCAGTCGTGCATGCGGGGACACCGGCGCGTGGACGGGACCCTGCACGGTGGGCGGTGCGAGCCCTGCCGTTGCCACGGACACGCCGACGACTGCGATGACCTCAGCGGCGACTGCATGGTGAGGGCACCGCCGCACGGAGCGAGGAGCAAAGCCACCGCCAGGGTCTCGTGGATGATGTCCAGATGGCCCGCGGCTGAGGGACGCACGCAACATGTTTGAGGCCCACCTTGGTCAAAGTTAAACATTCAAAAGTCATTGCAATTCGACTGTGGTTTCCCATTTTAAACCGTGTGTTTCTTCTCTCAGTACTTTTTTTTGCCGAGTACTACTGCCGGCATATTCGGCTCCTGAATGACTTGTGGACATCTTGGAGCCTTGAACGTTTAGCTTGTTGTCATTCCACCCCGCACCTCCGATGAACATGGTTTTGGCTACGCTACGGTGCGAAAGATGTTCGACATATTTATACAAAGGTGGCCGTAGTACCACGAGGCAAATTTGAAAAAATAAATACTCGTCATGCAGCTTAACCAGGAAAACCACGTTTGATGTATGGCCGCCCATACCCGCTGTATCAAAAGTCAACTCCGCTTAGCTTCCGAGATATAACGAGACCTGGCACATTCCAGGTGATTTGGTAAAAGGCGGCCTTGTACTTTATAGTTCCGAAATTAAACTTTATCTGGGTGTCGACCAGAACACCTCAAATGCTAATCAGAAGGATGACGTGTTGCTCATAATGGTGCTGTTAAATATCTGGTTATCGTATCCACTTAGTACACTTCAAATATTACACGTAACAAAATGTTGGCTGGAACTGCTCTAGCTCATGGTCAAGCTGGCTGTAGTCTTAACTCTGGCCACTACTGCCTTCTGCAGGCCACAAACAAACATGACAGATAGCGGAGCACCGGATTGCGTTTGCTGCTCTCTGGCTATGTTTGGATGTACACATGTATGTGTGCTGAAATATACTGTACCCTTCTTACATTTTATTATTTTAGATTTCATTAAGGGTGTCGTTTATCATCAAATGCAGATTTTTTTTTGGGTCGCAATTTTCAAAATGAATGAATCTAGCTGTTCACATGTCAATTGCAAAAAGTAAAAAAAAATGCTTTAAAGGCTATAAATAAAAACCATGATTGTTTAGTTATTTTGTACATTTTCATTTACTTTGTATCCTAATTCGAATCATTCGCAGTCCATCAATACAATATATTGAACATCCAACTGTAAAATATCCGCCCTGACCAATGAGCAGTTGCAGTGCGTGATGGTGCAACCGTTATTATCAACGTTTGTTCACACATCCCAGCGAGTCGGATGCGTGCCATCGTGGTTTGCTGCTGAGCAATGGTTCGGCACGAATGCTGGGAAGAGTTTGGTAGTTCCCTCTCTTCGTGCCCACAGCTGCCTCTGAGCGGCTGCCGCCACAACACCATGGGGCCGCACTGCGAGCACTGTCGCCCGGGCTTCTACGGCAACGCCACGCGCGGCACGGCAGACGACTGCCTCCCGTGCACGTGCCCCCTGTCCATCGCCTCCAATAAGTACGGCCTCACCGCTTCTCCCTCTGCTCCCTCTCCTCCCTCTTTCCCTCCCTCCCTCTCTCCCACCCTACCCCTCCAGTCCACTCCTCTCCCCCAGCTCCCCCTTCTTCCTCCCTCCCCTCCCCTCCCTCCTTTCCTTCCTCCCTCCCCTCCCTCCCCTCTTTCACTGCCCTCCATCCCCTCCTTCCCTGCCCTCCCTCTCTTTGTTTTACGATCAGAGGAAACAAGAAGATGCTCGGTGTAGTCAGCACTTTGATTCGTTCATCATTTCGTTTTTTTTTGCAATGCTTTGCTTTCCTCTCTCCCTCCCCAGCCCCTCCCTCCCTCCCCATCTTCTCCCTCCCCTCCCCATCCCCTCCATCCCTCCCTCCCCTCCCCTCCATCCACCCCTTCCTCTTCCATACACACCTCTGAATACCAATCGCAATACACCGAAATGTGAAGCGGCTGACCGACCCAGCGTTGCCGTGTTCGCTCACAAAGGGACGCCTGTTATTACAAACGCCAACGCAAAGCGTAATGGAATAAAACGGCGTTTCATTCTTTATTTCTGGGTTTGTGAAAGAGCTTAGTGCGTACAATTCGCTCTGCCATCACCTTCAGAATTGTCTCGAGTGCCCTGTTCAACTGTATGGTCCTCGGCCCACTCAGGCCATGCCTTAGAGGAAAGTGATAACATATACTCCTATCTCTAAATGTGACGAAGGTTCGTTTTTAAAGATTGTTTTTGTTAGGGAGGATGTAGAGTTATGTAACAACATGAACAGAAAAATATATACGTCCGCGTTAACATTAATCGAGGATGTAAGTTCCTATTCCATTGTACAAATGTAAGATTCCCATTTTCTGCAAATTGACCAATAATTCCCAGTTTAAACCCACGAATGTAAATTACAACTAAAACATAAAAGTGAGCGAGCTCGAGAGTAACTTGACAATTCTGCAGGTAACTCATCATCTGCTTTGTAACGAACATTTTCAAATCTGTTCATCATCAGTAAAAACCTGTATTGTGGATTATAAGTAACGTTGAACAAACTACTGTATTTGAAACGTGTTCTTCCTGTTTGATTCAGTTTCAGCCCGACCTGCCACCAGGATCCACGCGGGGTGCTGACCTGTGACCAGTGTTCACCAGGATACATTGGCCTCCGCTGTGAGAGGTGAATCCTTGAGATCTTTTGGCAATGGTTTATTTTATCGGCCTATATGTGTTTTTATGGGCAGCACAGACACAAATAACCAGGCTACGCATCTGCCAAATGACCGGCACGTTCACGCATAATTATAGCGATCCCCAGCTGTGATATAGAGCGGGAGATCTACAGGACAGAGGGAGAGAAAGAGGGATACACTGGACTATTTTTTATTTTACCAGGTAAGGCAAACTGCGCTGTATAGCTCGTTTTCAGAACCGACCTGGCCAGAAATGTCAGCTCAATGAGGTGGCTTATCGCGTGGAAATTTCTAGTAGACATACTCTAAACTCATGTTGATTCTAAATGTGGAGGGAAACACCGCAGCGGGCCCTGAGAAATATCCACGCGACCACGGGAAAAACACGCAAACTCCAAATATACAGCAGGCATCAGAGTCGCGATCGAACCCACGACCTCCTGCATACTAGGCGAGGGAGATACAATCTCGAGGAGAGAGAGAGGAAAAGGAAGGCAGAAAGGAATTAAAGCATGGCAGGCATACATTATGCAATACGGAGGGCGGGAGGGTACGATCTAAAGTGAATCAATGAATAGCAGACCCAAGTATTCTTGAAAGCCATGATTAATCCTGAAACAGAGGCCCCTAGCTGTCCAAGGGTGGATATATCTTACGAAAAATGAACCAGTGTTTAAGTGTGGGTAACTTCCATCGCTTCAAGTGCTTTGTGTGATGTTTTAGTATTTCACCATGACATTTGCATGATTTTTAGAACGCTGCATTGAAGCTCAAAAACTGTTTTTGAAGTGAACGCTAAAGGGGGTTTCACAACAGCTGTTGCAGTGCAAGGGGGGATATATTTTTTTTCCCGAGCAAACTCACATTTCTTCAGCTCGGTGAACCGAAAGCCCTGTGGCTCATTGCCCCGAACACGATGGTGCGGACACACGAGCAGTGTCCTCATCCTAGCGTTGCACAACAACCTTGTTAAAAAAAACATTTTACTCGTGTTTGCCAGCGTCATTAACTGAACGAGCTGGGCCTACTAATAGGGGTTTTCACCTTTTTTATGGCAACAAAACTGACACCTTTTACAAGGGATCATGCTTACATTAACCACAATACTTGCAGTCAAATGCCAACAAAAAACAATACTCTGATAATTTATGCATTGTCTTTGAAACTGATTGGCTGCAAGTATTGTGGTTAATGTAAGCATGATCCCTTGCAAAAGGTGTCAGTTTTGTTGCCAGAAAAAAGGGGGAAAACCCTGTTAGCATATTTTGGTACTGGCAAAAGAGGTCCCATGATGGAGCTGGGCCTATTTTACGAGTGCCGGAAAAAGGGGCCTCACTCCAACGGCTCCGTGGACACCGCAGGGATTGTTTGTGTCCCCTGCGCTGCCCACTGGCAGGCTGTCAGGGGGGGGAGGGTGGGAATGGCAGCAGCGTGACGCTCGCAACCCGTGGCGTTGAGAGAGCGGCATATGGGCATGGCGCCCAGGGGCCAGTTTCCGCTCTTTTTCCCGCGAAGCTGACGGCCGCCGTAATTGTCCGCTGGCCGTGTGATCCGGGTCTGGCAGCGCTTGCCGGGGTCCGTAAGGCCAGCGGCTCGTGAAAATCGCTTGGCCAGCAACAAAATTGTAACCTGAAGGTTTTTTTTTTTTAAGAACAAAACTTAATTACTGCCAACAGATACATTGAGTAACTTGGGTATGGAGGGTGGAGGGGGGGAAAGTACTGTATGTCTAAAAATGTTAACTTATTTGAACAACAAACTTTTAAATCCGCTAGAGGTTCACGCCTCTATCAAACGCTCAAAATTGAAGGTCCTTCTTGGCCTGTTTGGCCACAATTCATTTTTTTGCAACCTGGACGGAAATCTGGAGTACCCACAGATACAATGGGGTAATACTCAAAACACCACACGGATAGTTAAGCAACCTACTTGTCCTGTGCCCCCCCCCACCCCACAACCGCCTTCAAACTAAACGGGAATAATTGAATCTGACACCGTGCCGTGGAAGCACAGGGACCCCCAAAGCACGGGGGGACCCTTGGTGGCGGTCGCCCCGATTCGCCGTACCCCGAGGGATGGCTCCGTCGTCGATCTGTTACAAGTTTCAACTTTATTTTTTGCTCGCCGCATTGCCCATCGGTATCGATGAGCCTGATGCCGCCGCCGCGGCGGCTGCTGCTGTGCTGTCGTCGCTGCTGCCATCCTTTAACGGGGTGGTGGTGTGGGGGGGGTTGCCAGGTGCGCGGACGATTTCTTCGGCGAGCCGGGCTCCCCGGGCGGCTCGTGCCGCCGCTGCGAGTGCAACGGCAACGAGGAGGCGCGGGGAGGTGGCCGCGTGTGCGACGCGCTCACCGGCCAGTGCCTCCGCTGCCGCGAGCGCACCGCCGGCTTCCACTGCGAGCACTGCGCCCACGGATTCTACGGGGACGCCACCGGCACGGGCGGCTGCCAGCGTAAGGGAGGAGTCGAGGCAGGGTTGTGGATGGTACAGCCAGAGCGGCCACCCACACCCGCCCTACGTTACCCCCATAACTAAATTTTTACTTAAAACTTTCGTGACTGCAGGGATTCATATTCTTGGTTCTTTTGGTACAGTCACTTAGATTAAAAAAAACATTTCTTATGATTTCAATTAATTCCTTCTTTTTCATATTTAATTTTTAATTTTAATATTTTATTTTTATTTTCTGTCTACGTGACTTTACCAAAAGAACCAAGACTATAACATAACTAATAGAAGCTTCTTGTCAGCAAGTGAGGACCCAACATTTACCATGTTACATTACATCAAAAAGTTTTTTTAATATCATTTAGCAATGTTATTTCTTGCATGCATTTATGTTTTTAGTACATATCAAACAATTAACTTAATTTATTTGCATACTGTATTTACACAAACACACATGCATGCCATAACCTTTACATTTTCCATATTTTGAAATGGTTGACAAAAATAATCGTCCTCAACTCGAGCGCTGCTTTATGAAATCCGTTCAAAATCGGACGTGGAACGACGCTGAAACTCTTGCGGTTGTGTGGTGCGTGCGACAGCTTGCCAGTGTCACCCCGAAGGAGCCACCTCCCCTCAGTGCGACCGCATCAACGGGCAGTGTCCGTGCCGCCCCAACGTGGTCGGCCGAACGTGCGAGCAGTGCGCGGTGAGAGCTGCGCTTTCGTGTACTCGGCTCTCTTCGCTCATTGGCTCAAGGGGAACGTGCAAGGGGTGGCCGGGAAACTGAGATCCTGGTTCATTTGAATCCAGGCAGACGCCTCTAATTAAACACGATTCTCAATACCTCGTGAATTCATGGTCTCAACCCGGTCACCAAAGACTGCAGGAAGAATTGCATTCAATTTAAGTTTTCTCACATTACCACAATTCCACCTTCGAGAATTTAAATATTGGTCAGTGGGGTGGAAAAGTGCTGCCGCTATTGCTTTTGCCAAATATCACCTAGAAGGGATTTTGGAGGGAGCTCTGTGATATCTGCCCCCGCAGGCCATTGTCTTTCGTGAAGGTTTACACTTCATTGGGAGATCGAAATGGATTTTTTTTAAATGAATGGAAATGATGAGCAATGCTTGATTGACAAGTGCCTTGTACATGTGATAACTTTCCTACTGCACTCATCTTGCTGTGTTTCTCTGGTTTCTCTTGCCACTGCCTTTACCGCCATCTTATGTATCTCCCTGCGCTGCTAGGATCAGTCCCGTGCTGCAAACACCAGCAAGTTTTTTATTTAACGACGAATGTCATTTTTTTATTTAAAGCTTTCGTGACTGCAGGGATTCATCTTCTTGGTTCTTTCGGTAAAGTCACGTAGAAGGGAAATAATACAATAATAAAAATTAAACATAATAAAATAATTCTCACGACGTTTCGGCCACAACGCAAGCAGCCGGCTGCTTATTTTTATTATTTTATTACTTCCCTTCTACGTGACTTTACCGAAAGAACCAAGAAGAAGAAAATGTTATTTTTGTTGTGTCTTTAACCGTTGAAACACGTTTCTGATTCAACGCACTGCAACATTTATGACATCTGTGACCCGATGATATCTGAACCATGGAGGATATTTTAACTAGTCTTGGGCACACACTCTCCCTTTTATCAATCCTCATTGGCTACAAAAGTGAAGTATGGTCAAACAACCTCCTTGACCGTCATAGCATGGGGGGAAGCCTATACTGAGTGGTGGGTTAACAAAAGGGCTGTAATAAATGTAAATTGAGACTTTTCTAAAATTGGGAAATTGATTCATTTTGCAATAAAACTACTTTTTTATATATATAACTATGTTTTTTCAATGTACATCAAGTAGTTAAAATGTACAGTGACTCATGTGCAGAAGGTGAAGGTTAACGCCCCTTGCATTACTGTCAAGATGTATACTATCCTGAAACCATATTTCTAGTAATTCAAATGTTCACATGAAATATGTTGGCAAGCATGCACCAAGTATATTTGGTAACATTTTTGGAAATAAATGTACCTTATTGGTAAAGCAATCGTGGCTTTATAGTTGCACATGTAAAATGTAAAAACAACTAATTGAACACGTTAATGTTAATTGGCTCACGAATCTGTAGCCAGTTGCATGAATCATCTTTTATAGATATTTTTTTCCCTTTAGTTCGCCCACCATAGATTCATACATTGACATTTTTTTCACAAAACATAGTTTATGCAACCAAACACCGACCTCTAGTTTCCAAAGGCCCCCAGCCTGTAACGATGTGGTTTCTTGCCTGAGCCCAATAGGACCCGCCTACACGCACAGGCGTGCTTACCGCTTCTCAACAAAACTCTTTATCTTTACTGACCAGTAATCCCTCGCATGTACACATAAATCGTCATTTGCCCCGCGGGTTTTCGTCGCCGCTTTCAGATCGGTTTCTACGGCCTGAGCTCTGGTGCCGGTTGCTCCCCGTGCCCCTGCCACCCGGTGGGCACGGCAGGCGTCGCCTGCTCTGCCGACGGGAGGTGCCACTGTTGGCCGGGCGTGGAGGGGAGGTCCTGCGACCGCTGCACCTCTGGCCACTATGGATTCAAGGAGGGCGGCTGCACACGTGCGTAGAAGAAGATGCAGGGGGGGCGACGATGTCACTCTCAACTGGGCCTCGTAATCTTTCCATTGGAGGCCTGGGGCAGAATGCCATGTGGTGGAGGTGGGGGGGGGGGCTTATTTGTATGTATGTATGTATGTAGAACTTCTTTTGCACCGTACATAGCCAACCGTGCTAATTGGAGGAGTGGGGGAAGGGCGACAAACTAAACACAAAAAGCAGTTCTAAAGAAATTCGTTTTCAAATCCACTTTATTGATAAAATAACATAAAAAACAAAGGTGCATATGTGGAGGGAGGGAATGTTTTGTTTGCAGCCCAGGGCAAATTGCCCCCTTTTTCCCTCTGCCCTCCGGGAGGCCCTGCCCGAGAGCATCATGCCCTTGCAACAAGGAAACATTGCGACATTACTTGACAGGAGACGATGGCAAGCACCGTCTATTCATTAAGTAGTCATATTTGACTGCCAGATTAGTCAAGCAAGTGACGTTTTTCCATTGGTAATCGTATAATTGACTCTTTCCAAATGTCTAATTAGCCAAGCTGTGTAATTTAGCCCAACCGATAATCAATCCATCAAATTGCTAAAATTAGATGGGTGTTTGTGTGCGGTGGTGACCTGTGTCTGGCAGCGTGCAACTGTTCGCACACCAACCACCATTGCGACCAGGAGACGGGACGCTGCCTGTGCCCCCCAAACACTGAGGGCACGCGGTGCCACCGCTGCATCGACGACCACTGGGGTCTGAACCCGCACGCCGGGTGTCGCGTACGTGAACCAAGCACCTTGCACACGGCGCGCCGCTGCCACCGCTATAGGCCATATCGACATAACGCTGCCTCTTTGGCACACGATGACAAACTCTGTATTTTGCAAGCATTGCATCATTTACAGCATGTGTATTGATTTTTGCCAATGATATTTTTTGTATGCAGCTTTGACTGAAATATAGGGCCCAATTTACACGCAAGAAAATGTTGATCTTCACAAAATTTTTTCTGAAAAATCTTGCCAATTTCTTGATTATCAATAGTGTAGAAAATTACATCGGTGGTGTGCGGTGTATTTTAGCCATATTTTATAGATGTTGATACTGGCCCAGAGAGTTTGGAAGAAGGTAATGTACAGTGTTTAACAATTATACAACCGACTTTTTGATTTATTAAAGTGTCCAAAAATATATATGATCTCAAAATTGCGTAATAGAAAATTCTATCATATTGGGAATTGGGTAACGATTGGGAAGTGAGTAATGTCCTGCATGGTTGCAGCAGTGCAACATAAAACACAGGGTGCTGTGGACAATTTATAATACCACATACAAGCTCGAGTTTTCTACCTGGCTATAAAAACGTTGTGTGACTTTGCTCCACGATTTCACACCCTTTCTCGCGACGTAAAACAAATAACGGGTTGCACGTCCTTGTTTCATTTCCCACTGCCCAACAGGCGTGCAACTGTAGCGCAGCGCATTCCCACGGGGCACGGTGCGACGAAGCGAGCGGGCAGTGCTCCTGCCTCGAGGGGTACGGGGGCCGCACGTGCGGGGAGTGCGCGCAGGGCCGCTGGGGGTACCCAGCGTGCCGGCCCTGCGAGTGCCACCCGGAGGGCACGCGCGACAACACGTGCCCCGTGCCGCCGACCGGCTCGCGGTGCGGCTGCGACGAGCGCACTGGCCAGTGCGCTTGCAAGGTGGGCACCTGGGGCGAGCGAGGGGAGGACTCTTTGAAGATAGATTTGAAGCTTTTTTCGGACTGCAAGGATTCATACTGTTGGGTTTTTTCGGTAAAGTCACGTAGGTAAAAAATTAAATTCAAAGTTAATAAAAGGTAATAACGAAAATAAAATAAAATAATAATTCACGACGTTTCGGAGGCAACACAAGTCTCCGTCATCAGGTGGGACCGTCATAGCTAACTTGATGCAGTAATTTTAGCTGTGATGGTCCCACCTGATGACGGAGACTTGTGTTGCCTCCGAAACGTCGTGATTTATTATTTTATTTTATTTCCATTATTACTTTTATTAACTTTGAATTTAATTTTTTACCTACATGACTTTACCGAAAAAACCTAACAGTATACTCTTTGAAGAGTTCCTCTTGTCCTTCGCCAGGGTTGAATTGTCCCTCACCACCATGGCCCGTGACGGTGTCGAGCTTTCGCAGCGTTTTGCCGCTTGTCGCATGGGTTTGCGTGTATGACGTCGATTTTCCTGAAATGTACGTGAAGGTAATTGATGGGGTGAGGGCAATTTCGCGTGGCATCTGCGTGTTCGTAGGCAAGGCAATTATTTAATTGGTCTCGGTTTAATGGCGTTTGCGTTGAACACAAATTTATGTCTTGATTCAGAAAAAGTCGTGGCGGGGCTTATGTTGAGTGAACTGCAGCTGAAGAACATATTATGTCCTCTTTATTTGCACCAGAAATACAGCAGAGCACAACAATACCGAAATAGTTTTTTTTAAATACGATTTCACAGTCACGTCGTAAAGCGTGATACCGTATCGTCCTGTGTCGTATCGTGAAAAATGATTCCGCGGTAGCGCTGATTGATATCGCCAACCTTGCCGACCGGCAGGAGAACGTCGGTGGGACGAGGTGCGACGCGTGCCTGCCTGGCACGTTTGGGCTGAACCGGGAGGACCCGCGCGGCTGCACAGCCTGCTTCTGTTTCGGCGTCTCCAGCGTATGCCGTGAGCTCCAGGGCTTTGTCAGAATGCAGGTGAGGTCTGCCGGTCCCACGAGTTGCCACTCCGACAGTTTGCCCTCTTTTTGCCATGTATTGGATTTGGTGGACAAGTTGCTTTGCTTATACGGACCACCAAATTTAGTGTCCTCGTAGTTTACATTTCATAGTCGGGACCGTTTTTATTTTATGATTTTTCTCTCAAAACATGTTGTGATTTGAAATGCGGCCCTCCGAAAATGCATTACTCTCGATGTGATTGCACTGGCAGGAAGAGCGTCGAGTTCAAGATGTCATTATCGTGCAATTGGTGTGGTGCACTCTGGGCCATTTCATTGGTTGCACTTCACAAATATGCCCATGAATAAATCATGAGCCATGGACTCTCTGTTTACATACTCGACTGACCCGATGTACAATGAGCCATCAACATCTTTTGAGACCAGATTATATATTCATTTACGAATAAAAACATTTTAAAAAGCATTTTAGTATAGCATTATTTTTATATTCAATTTAAAAGTGTTGCTGTGTTCAGTGGTCAGCTATTTGTTTCATACAAGTAGTCTATTTAAATGGGGCCTCCGTCTATTCACAAAAAACAATGTATTTTTTAAATTGGTTCAACCCCTTCTCTCGGCCCTGAAACACTCTTTTTGAACATTTCACTTTCACTGCATTCACTTTATGACCCAATTCTCCTTTAAAAAAAAACATGTTAATGAACTCCCACCATTGCTTTGGCTACCTAACAGGGCTGGAATGATTTACCCTCCATACCGATTCACTGAATTGTCGTGATTCCGGGAATGCAATTTAAATCAAGATTCTGGTCCTTTTGAATTTATAGTGAGCGATAGTGCCTCTAGTGGCTGCAGGGGTGATGTAAAGTCAAAACAACACATTCTTATGCGTTTCATTCAATGCATGCATCATGAAGGTATCACTCAATGTTATTCGTGCTTCGGTCCACAGCTGCTCCCTGCTTGCACACATATACATGGCGATCCATTTATAGACACCCCATTGTTTCTTATGACCTTCTTGCACTCAACAGTTGACTTATCTATCGATTTGCTCCATATCTTACAGGGAAGAGTGTTAGCCGATTTAAATAAGTGAATTACGATCGGTGGGATACATTTAGAGGCTTTGAAATAAAATAAAATATCATCTCTATCGAGACGATGCAATGTCTGCCGATGTTTTGGCGCAGTACCTCTACCTGGACCACGCTGTGTGTTAAGTTTACTCTTCAGTGACTCCATTCACTTGCGCCAACCTGCCAAATCTAATCCACGTATTGGAATGGTCTCCGTAAGTCCTGACCATGTCCGTCCAATGATCGCCAGGCTGCGGCTGCTTGGAACCCTCTTTTCGATTTAAAGTTTTCGTGACTGCAGGGATTCATCTTCTTTGTTCTTTCGGTAAAGTCACGTAGAATGGAAATAATAAAATAATAAAAATATAACATACTAAAATAATTCTCACGACGTTTCGGCCACAACGCAAGTAGCCGTCCTCAGGTGGAGAACAGGTCTGTCTCCTCGACAAGAAGATGGAACCCTCTTGTTTCCGATATTAGGAAGCCACTGAAGCTTTGCACTTTTAAATCCCGATTGAAAACTAATTTTCCTTAGAAATGAGTTTTCTGCTAAGTTTATCCTTTTCCCGCACCTCCGATTTAGCATGTTTGGCTATGTGGGGTGCGCAAGAGGTTCAACATGCGTGCATACATACAAGTCCGGTGATCAAGGGGGAAGACCTAAGAGCAGTTGGTCGAGTACTGTTAGGGCAGATCTTGGAGCCCGCTTGTCAACTACGCAGCGGCTGCGTGGGATCTAACGGAGGGTAACAAAAAGTGTTGGCGATGAGGTGTGGTGTTGGCATCGGCGGCTTTGGCCAGGGGTGGTGACATTCTGGTCTTGAATTGCCAATGCCGCCGCCTCTCCTAGGTCTTCATGGTGGAGGGACAGCGGTCCATGCCGGTCGTCAACCAGGTTGGGCAGAGAGAGACCGTGTCTGGCGTGCGCTACCAACACCCAGAGATGATCCTGCATGCCGGGGAGGTGCTGAGGACGCTGCACCACGAGCCATTCTATTGGAAACTGCCCTCGCAATTCACTGGGCCCAAGGTGAGTTTGACGATTGCCGCGTGCCCACTGCACGTTGTTGCAGGCTCAACGTTGAGCTGTCCGTGTGAATGTGCATCTAAAATGACCGAAGCAACAGCAAAAAAAGAATACTAAACGTTACATTCGATTCTGCGCTTGATTTTGGACAATATTTCAGCTCTGAGAATTAAGCATCTGCTTGCGCGTCATGCAGCGCACATTTCTCTCGCGTGCAGACCGGGTGGGAAAGTGCTACACTGTGTGGACCAGAGGTCGCCACTTGAAGGGCTGTCAGAGATAGCCCTCTGATATCCCCTTCCATGGGCTCTTCTCTAACACAACACGAAGGAGTCGCACCGCTCTGCGAGAGACCTGAATGGATCCTTCACGACATGATACCTAGAAGCTTGATCGGGAGAGAATTGTTGATTTTTGGGTTTTTTTTTTACATCTCTTGTCCATTTATTTGCAAGTAAGATCGTGGCCTACTTGGTGAAGGGAGCCTGTAAAAGCGTTAAGAAGTTAACGCTACCAGATTGTGCTCGACGGAAAGAACCATGGTGGTGGTGGCAATCTCTCCTGCCCCGCAGCTCACGGCTTACGGGGGCAAGCTGCGCTACACGGTGTACTTCGAGGCCGAAGATGGGAGCGGCCGTTCAGACCGAGAGCCACAGGTGCTGCTCCGTGGCGGGCGCAACAAGGAGCTTCTGATCTATCGCGACATGGCGCCACCGCGCCCTGGACAACGTACGCAGCACCAGATGGACATGACGGAGGTAACCGCGTGCGCTCTGTGTTCGCCCACGAAAAATTTGGCAAGTGGTTGTTGTGTTTCTTTCTAGATTTGAAGCTTTCGTGACTGCAAGGATTCATATTCTTAGGTGTTTTTCGGTAAAGTCACGTAGGTAAAAAATTAAAATTAATAAAAGTAAAATAAAAAGAAAATAATAATCACGACGTTTCGGAGGCAACACAAGCTTCCGTCTTCAGGTGGAACCGTCACAGCACGATAGCTGTATCAAGTGAGAGAAATTCCAAGAACACAGTATTTGTATATATACTGGTTGAGGGTGGGAGGAGCCAAGGTAGGCCCTGAATATTATTTTTGTGAGGTTCGGTGCGGCTGAAGTACGCTGTCATGAAATGAGTCTTTGTTGTGTAGAATAGTTGATTGAGCCTATTATTATGTAGAGGTGGTGCGGCTTAACTCGCTGTCAGGAAATGAGTCTTTGTTGTGTAGAATGTTTTTTTGTTGTTGCTATGCTCGGTTCGAGTAGTAGACATTAAGGGGTCGAATGAATCTTCGATTAATTTATTATTTCACAATCGGCCGTATTATGGAGCTGAGTTCAGACATGATCCCGTACTTGGCGATGCAACACAAAGACGTGAGGAAACGGGATTAGGGGAACATGGAGAACCAGGTGGATAGAGGCAGCAGAATCAGGTGTAGAACAAAAAGTATTGAGATTGAGCGCAGTCGTAATCCTGCCTCAAAGAACAAGAACCATAGCAGAATTATGTTCGCTCCCGTCCACGGTCATAAGCTGACGGAAGGTGGTGAAATGCTGACGACCTTGCCTGCTGTACGGGAGGTCGTGGGTTCGATCCCGACGCTAACGCCTGTATATTTGCAGTTTGCGTGCTCTCCCCGTGGTTGCGTGGATTTTTCTCCGGGCCCTCCGGTTTTTCCCTCCACATTTGAAATCATGCGTTTAGAAGTATCTGACTGCTATAGATTTTTACATGATAAGCCAATTCATTGAGCTGTGGTTTGTGGCCAGGTCGCTTCTGAAAATAGCTACATAGCTCAGTGGGCCTTGCAAGGTAAAAGAAAAAAATGTCCATAGTTTATGAAGATGATCATGATCAAGCTCATCGTACATGTAGTGAATCACGTGTGTAAGAGTAATGATTGTATGATCCATGCGTGCTGCATGCAATGGGTTAATGTAAACTCTGCAGCCACGAGCGGTACGACTAAGCTTCACGGAAATGTTTTTTGTAATATAATTGAAACAACTCATGAAATTTCCAGGGCAATTTATTGTTCAACCCCCTATTGGGGGGTTCACCAACATGATAGTGACATGTGTGTGACAGCTATCACCTCGTAGAGGGGGTGGCTCTTGATGAATGTACCTGCAGTGTTCTACATCATGCTGTTATCTTGATGAATGTACCTGCAGTGTTCTACATCATGCTGTTCTTCTCCACAAAATGGAGGATAGAACAAATTACGGCTTCACTTAAACACGTTTGCATCATTACCTCCCTTTGTGACTGTCCCCACACAGTCGGTCCCATTGTTTTGTACTGCGTCTTGATATAAAGTGGCATTCGGATAATTTCTTAATCAAAATTCTGATTGTAGTCGTATTTTGTAGCTGACGACAAATTCCTAGTTCTCAAAGAACTGTTCATAAACTGCAACCCACTGCATCTGCATTTTTTTTTCGTCTCACAAAAGCTCCGAACGCAGGCGATGCCAAGAATTACAACCATACAAAACATCAAATCCTTTTCAGCGAATACCAAAGCTCCGATGTCATCCGCCGAACTTGCCACACCAACTTGCGTCATCAAAGCCCAAATGGCCTGGGCCACCTTCAAGTCAACCCGCCACTGGAGCTTGAAGTGGAAATCGTAGCGGTGCGCCGCGTTAGATGCACGTCGGCACAAACGGCAGCATTGTTCCCCAGCATCGTGAGGGCCACGCTCACCAAGTGACCCCCTGCACCCCCCCCCCTCTCCACCCCCTGCTCTGTACGACCGCCAGCACGAGTGGCGTTACTTCAACTCCGTCCTCGATCAGCCCGTGAGCCGCGCCGACTTCATGTCCATCCTCGGCGGCATTGGGGACATCTTCATCAAGGCCTCCTATGGCAGCCGCATGACCGAAAGCAGGTGACTTTGATCGACGTGGACACCACCGCCACCATGTGCGTTGGCGTAGCCGCGACATCGTTTTACGCATCGCGACACAGTGTCGCTTGATCGTGGATCTCATGTCGTGCGATGCACACTGCGGTATCGCCACTTCTCGGCGACCCTGTCGCACACGTGGCAACCGTGGGAAGTCAACGTGTCTGAATTGACGTTACAATCACGGCAATTAAGTGCCGTGCATCTTGCTACATTGGCTTGGGCAAGGGACATCCTTACAATGCCTTAGCAGCCATTAAAAAAAGTTGAGAATAGATCAGCAGACACAGTACGTCTCCTCTTCATACATCTGTCTCTACGTAAAAAAATAAAAGTATTTGTTCCACACAATCCATCTGCCACACGGCCTTTTGGGAGTAGATAATTTGTGCATCAGCTGCTATTTGCAACTAGTGCAATAATATTATTTGGTTCTTTCGGTAAAGTCACGTAAGCGGTCGTCATCGTCATCATAAGTGGTCGTCATCTCTCCACCTGATGACGACCGCTTGTGTGTTGCGATGAAAACGTCGCGAGTTTTTAGTTTTTTTATAATTTTGTATTATTTTTGCTTCATTATTTCTATCTACGTGACTTTACCGAAAGAACCAAAGAGTATGGATTCCTGCAGTCACGAGAGCTTTAAATCAAGATTAATATTTCCTGCAGTCACGAAAGTTTTAAGCCAAAATTTAGTGCAATAATGTGCATCTTTCAGTCTTTGGTGGCTCTCCAGCACCACTCAGTGGGTTATCTCAGAACTCCGCTTGTTTAAAAGTTTACTAATGCATGTTAAACTCCATTCGCACCGTACGTAGCCATCCGTGCAAATCCACTGCACCCCTGTTGCAGGGTAGCTGGCATAGCCAGAAATTATGCCCACCCAGCTGTCATTGTTTAGGTGAAAGATTGCCTTTGCATATTTCTCATCATCAACAATCCATGGGCAGATAGCCCGTAGATGTCCCCTGTACATATCGTCATTTGTTTCCACTTTCCACTGTCTCGTGCCAAAATTCTCAAGTAGGTGGACCTCCTTGTGGCACCAATCTCTTTTGTCGCCAAACCATTCTCTGTTAGGTCTGATATATCTACACACACACACATATCTGGATAACCTAGGAGTGTGTGCGAGCTCTGTTGAAGCGCTGTGCTCTGACCGCTTGGGCCGCAGAATCTCGGAGGTGTCGCTAGAAGTGGCGGCCAGGGGGAATGGGTCGAGCCACCTGCAGCCAGCGTGTCAGGTGGAGCAGTGCGAGTGCCCTGCCGGCTACAGCGGCCTCTCCTGTCAGGTCCTGCCCCCCCCCCCCCCCCCCCCGACGCGCGCACACCGCCACTGCCAAATACGCACCCCCAAAACTCGCCCATTGTACACACGCACGGCGCGACACGCCCACAGTCAATTCCTTCAACATAAATTTCGATTTAAAGCTTTCGTGACTGCAGGGATTCATCTTCTTGGTTCTTTCAGTAAAGTCACGTAGAAGAGAAATAATTAAATAATACAAATAAAACATCATACAATAAATTCTCACGACGTTTCGGCCACAACAAAAGCAGCCGTTCTTTACCGAAAGAACCAAGAAAATCCTTCAACATACACCGTTAAAACGCACCTTCCATACACGCCAACGATACACCACCGCAACAGACGCCCACGTCATATACGGCAATAGACACCGACAGTACACACCAATAATTATAATATAAGCTCTTAATAGAGGTTTTTGGGTTTGATCGCGTAAATATATAATGTGTCGTTAAAACCCGCCACCACCCGACACTGAATACTGAGCACAAACTGAGTAATTTGTAAATATTGTGGCTTGGCTCTCCAACACATCAGTGTGCTGTACTAGTGACGAATTGGCCACGTTGTGTTTACGTAACAACCCTTACTACTTGGCTGTGCCGGGTGGTGGCGGGTTTTAACGACACATTTATATATTTACGCGATCTAACCCAAAAACCTCTTATGGATGATATTGGTCACGAAAGCCGACTACGTGTTAAACTGAATATACGCCCTCAACGAGTACCCTCAACATACACCTCTGTACCTTAAACACACACTCTCACAACTCAACGCTCAGCACACACACCCTCACCACCACCCCCTCACCACACACGCTCACCACACATACTCATCGCACCCTCACCCCACACACCCTCAACGACTCCACTTTGCCGGTCTCTAAACAGGGATACACAGACACAAGAGTTCCAATGCAAATTCTGTTTAAATTGTTTGACAGATGAATGAATGTACTGTACTTTTAGAATCCCAAAGGGTGACTAATGCATCCCACAATTGGTGTGGAATCTATTCGTCGAACTTTGCTTGAAGCGCTCTGAAAGAAAAAAAAATGTTCTGACCAATGTGTGTTTATTTAATTGGATAATGCCATATTGAATAAATTCAATATGATACACGGAAACATGACTGCTACTTTGCGCTTAATTAAAAAACGGTTGCTTTCACACTTTTTTTTCTCAGGAATGTGCACGAGGGTTCTTCCGAGATGTTTCAGCCAGACACGCTCCTGGACAGCCGAGACTCGCACTCGGCCCTTGCATTCCATGCCACTGCAACAACCACAGTGCATCATGCGACCCCGAGTCTGGACGGTGTCAGGTAAATTGTTTTTGTTTTGCTTCAATGAGACGCGCATACACTACCTTTCCGCTCTCCCACCGGTCCACACTTTAACTCGGAGTTGCCATTTTGTGAAGTTTGCACACTCAAAGCGGCGTGCTACTCATGGTGTTGCGGTTATCAAGCCAGATTTGCAATTACAAACAATGGTGCAAGTTTCTTAAATGCCACTCAGCGGTCTACATGGGTACGCCACAGTCGATCAACAGGTCACATGGTATAGGTCACGTGTGGTGTGGTATAGTGTTGAGTACTCCCACCTCTTCCAAAATGCCTGGCGCAGCGTGGAAGAGGAGGCCAAATTATTTGTATACAGGAGGCCGTGGGTGAGATCCCGACCGTGACACCTGTATATTTGGAGTTTGCACATTCACCCTGTGGTCGCATAGATTTTTATCCGGGTCCTTTGGTTTTTCCCTCCACATTTAGAATCAAAATGCGTTTAGGGTATTTGTTTGCTATAAATGTCCACATGATGAGCCGTTTTGTTGAGCAATCATGTTGTGTGGCCAGGTCGCTTCTGAAAAAGAGCTACCTAGTAAAATAAAATAAAAAAAATATTTAATCTTGATTTGAAGCTTTCGTGACTGGAGGAATCCATACTCTTTGGTTCTTTCGGTAAAGTCACGTAGGTATAAAATAGAATAGATCACGACGTTTCGGGCGCAACACAAGCGTCCGTCATCCAGTGGACGCTTGTGTTGCGCCCGAAACGTCGTGACTTTACCGAAAGAACCAAAGAGTATTTAATAGTTTACTTACCAGGCGGCCTCTCTGGGAAGCCTCCCTCGAGCAGAGCACCTTCCTCCCGAAGTGGCATGAGCCAGACATTGCATGGCTGCACTTTTACCTTGGCGTTGCGGGACGGCTGTGCACATTTGTCACTCGGTGCTCGTGGTCTTACGACTTGACTGCAAGCGGCTCGCACAAGAATGCCGGCGCACGCTGTTCGAGTGCCACGCACGGTCGCAGTGTTTGTCACGACGGATGTGTGCCACCTTGACGAATGCGTGTCACCAGGGTTGTCGGCACAACACGACGGGACATCACTGCGACCACTGTGCCCCAGGGTATTATGGGAGGGTCAAAGGTCGCCACGACGACTGCACCGCATGCGCCTGCCCGAAAAGTAACCCAAACAAGTAAGGCCTCTTTTCCCACCACTCCTTCAAAGCCTTGGCCAGAGACGCAGGGAGAGGTGGGGGGTGGTGGTACAGTGCAGACTGTAAAAATATACAATGCTATTACTGAGGCTCTTTGAAAACATAAGCCTGGGTTTTGAGAAACAATTCTCAGCGCAGTGACTGTGTGATGGTCGTTGTGTTCTTCCGGCTGTCAAACTTGCAATCATGTACTATTCACAGGAGGGTCATACATATTTCATCGCAGCAACACACCACCAAACTGTCCCCATTTTCCACATTCACCACATGCTATTGTACACGAAAACAACACATTGAAGGGAAGTTAAGGGGCTGCTTAACTCTCTACTGACCCATATTTCTAGTTGCCGACTGTTGATTCCCTCCCTCTGTTCAAGTCCAAGCTCAAGGCTGGTCTTGTTTCCTCTCCCCACGACTCGCTCACTCTGTCTCTCTATACAGTGTCTCCGTTCGCACTTTTTACTCTATTGTCATCGCCCTTCCCTCCCTGTCCTCTGTAGCATTCTACTCCTGACTCCCTCTTATCTTATTTGATGAAAAATATTATGTTCACATTATCTTTACGTGCTGTCAAAATCCACTTGTAATTCAGCTTACAATCATTTTCACACAGCCCTGTGTCACTGAAAGACATTCCTTAAATGTCGATATTCACTGTTACTGCATATGCATTTGTATTGTTAGTGTATGGCACAAACACCACATTTCTGACTCGCAGCATATTGAGTTAATGGAACATATGTGAACATCTATGGAAAAAAATGACAGTTAAACCGTGTACAAATAATTTACTGCACAAACGGCTTTAAACACGGGAAAATGCTTTAAATGAGAAGTTAATGAATGCACAGATACTTAGAACACATTGTCGTGTGCGGAAAGTTAGTATTTGTGAAACATAATGGGCTTGGGTGGTCAATTGGTCAGGGCGGACACGTGTCGGTCGGTCGGATACGCGATGTTGTACTGCACTGTGGGGGCCGAAAGCGAGGGAACGCCGATGGGTTTCTTCTCATCATTCATCGTCGCCGTGTCGCAGCTTCAGCCCGACGTGCACCCAGGTTGGAGTGGACGACTTCCGCTGTGACGCCTGCCGCACCGGCTACACTGGGCAGTACTGCGAGCGGTAAGAACGTTGACTCGTCACCCGGCGTCGTGTGCTTCGTGTCGCTTTTGCGATCGGCGACGCATTGCTGGATTTGTCGAGGGAACCACCGACTGTTAATTCGCGATTGAATGACCGGTGGGCACGGTCCGCGATTTTTCCATTCGTGGCGCTCTTGAAAAGTTTTTAGGATCCAGAAAATAAATTCGGTGTAAAACACAGTGTCGATGTAGACACACGGGTTTTTATTTTCTACTTCAGCGCCAAATTGCTTGATTTAGAAACAGGACATGGCACCAACTTGCCACCTTATTTCCCAGTAAACGCACCCACAGGCACGGAAGCACAGGGAAGGTGCCAGTGCGCGCGCAATGCTTTGACCGACTTGGGCCACCAACAGATTTCCTCTCTTACTTGGTTCTTTCGGTAAAGTCACGTAGAAGGGAAATAATAAAATGATAAAAATAAAACATAATAAAATACAATATGTTGAATTTTTATTATTTTATAATTTCCCTTCTACGTGACTTGACCGAAAGAACCAAGAAGATGAATCCCTGCAGTCACGAAAGCTTTAAATCGAGATTTCCTCTCATTCGCCGTTGTCCCCCCCCCCCACCCCTCCTTGTTCCAGGTGCTCTCCCGGTTACTACGGCAACCCGTCGTTGCCTGGCGAGCCCTGCCGGTCCTGCGGTTGCCACGGCGACGGGTCCCTGGGTGGCGAGTGCCATCACGCGACGGGGCAGTGCGCGTGCCTGCCGGGGGTGATGGGCCGTGCGTGCGACCAGTGCCAGCCCAGACACGTGCTCGTCAACAGGAACTGCCTGTGTACGGTCCTCACCACCAGGGGGCAGCACAACGTGGGACCTTTCTTGGCTTGGCAGTATCAAAATATCACGATAGGTTTTACCCCTTTTCTGGCAATTATAAAAAAAAGTGTTAAGATGTTAAAACACCAAATGGGATCCTTTTTTTTCAAGGAATCCCTTTTTTCAAGGAATCAAAGAAAGCTGTCTCTGGTGTGGACCAATCAGTTTCTTTCTTGGCAGTATCAAAATATCACGATAGGTTTTTACCCCTTTCTGGCAATTATAAAAAGGTGTTAAGATGTTAAAACACCAAACGGGATCCTTTTTTTTCGAGGAATCCCTTTTTCAAGGAATCAAAGAAAGCTGTCTCTGGTGTGGACCAATCAGTTTCTTTCTTGGCAGTATCAAAATATCACGATAGGTTTTTACCCCTTTCTGGCAATTATAAAAAGGTGTTAAGATGTTAAAACACCAAACGGGATCCTTTTTTTTCGAGGAATCCCTTTTTTCAAGGAATCAAAGAAAGCTGTCTCTGGTGTGGACCAATCAGTTTCTTTCTTGGCAGTATCAAAATATCACGATAGGTTTTTACCCCTTTCTGGCAATTATAAAAAGGTGTTAAGATGTTAAAACACCAAACGGGATCCTTTTTTTTCGAGGAATCCCTTTTTTCAAGGAATCAAAGAAAGCTGTCTCTGGTGTGGACCAATCAGTTTCTTTCTTGGCAGTATCAAAATATCACGATAGGTTTTTACCCCTTTCTGGCAATTATAAAAAGGTGTTAAGATGTTAAAACACCAAACGGGATCCTTTTTTTTCGAGGAATCCCTTTTTTCAAGGAATCAAAGAAAGCTGTCTCTGGTGTGGACCAATCAGTTTCTTTCTTGGCAGTATCAAAATATCACGATAGGTTTTTACCCCTTTTTGGCAATTATAAAAAAGGTGTTAAGATGTTAAAACGCCAAACGGCATCCCTTTTTTTTCAAGGAATCCCTTTTTTCAAGGTATCAATGAAAGCTGTCTCTGGTGTGGACCAATCAGTTTCTTTCTTGGCAGTATCAAAATATCACGATAGGTTTTACCCCTTTCTGGCAATTATTAAAAGGTGTTAAGATGTTAAAACACCAAACGGGATCCTTTTTTTCGAGGAATCCCTTTTTTTAAGGAATCAAAGAAAGCTGCCTCTGGTGTGGACCAATCAGTTTTAAAGACAATGCATATATTACACTATGTAACACAATTTTTGTTCCTAGGTAGTAAGTGTTATTTTGTAATATACTGGACTTTGAACACCGCTACCAAGGACAGTATAACGAGAACATGATGGGAGACTACATTTTGGGGCTGATTCGTGAAAGTGATTTACAGTATAATCGTAAATCTCGAAAAACTACTCACTTCTAAATTTTGTGGTCATTTTTGTATTACTTGAATATAAATACATGTTAATTTTGATTCATGTTGTTTTTTTCTGACTTTATGTGAACGAAAAGACACAATCGCCGGTTTTCTCATTGAAAATAGGTAAATTTCAAAATATCACTGTCCTGGTCACAAAAGCAAAGTTTGTGGGGAATAATACCCATTTTCTGTACTTTTGAGGCATAAACAATTGGTAAATAACACTTACTACACAGGAACAAAAAAAATGTTACACAGTGTGATCAGAGCATGTTTTTTTTTGCATGTTCACCACAAGTACGTGTGGTTAATGCAGACAGGATCCGTTGAAAAATGGCTTCTGTTTGGTGTTTTAACACCTTTTCTTTTGCCAGAAAGGGGCAGCACTTTGGCTCCTGAACACCACGGCCAGTGTTAATTGTTTTTTTACCCGTCTATATGGCAACAGATATTTGCCAGGTAGAAGGGTAAAAAACCAATTATATTTTTTACTGGCAAATGAGGTTCCAATGGTGTAAACCACGGCCAGTGTTAATTCAGTCGGCATTTTATTTACGGTTATTTTAGTTCTCGTCCTAGTTTGATTGACGACCACCTGTTGAGTTTGAGTTGAGCCAGAGAGTGTGTGGATTTCATTTGGATGCTCTCTTAGTCGAGTCGACTGAAGTAGTCAAACACTTAGTCTGCCTTGAGTCGGTGAACTTGATGTCATTTCAGCCAATCGGTAAACTCTGTAAATTTGTATATAATTATATATGAGGCCAATTGCTATTTTTGGTTTTCCTGAGTACACTGCGGTCTTAAATACCATAACTAAGTTATCTTAATCGGCATCTTTATTGAGGCTCGCTAATTTAGTCTCATAGTTAGTGATGCATGTGGTGAGCAGTCAAAGCTATCGTCATGCTGCATGATTTTCATGCACCCCCATAGTCATCGTTGATGAAAATAAGAACTTTTGTAAATTCATATTTTCGTCACTAATTTCAGGAACAAAATTAACCCTGTTAACCCTGCACTTACAACTAGAGCCATCGGTGGTAAATCTTTCAGCGATGGATGCCTTATTATTCACGACGCAATGTTAAAATACCTATTCAATTCCAACTCCCAGCTCTTGGCTTATAAGTTTAAATATTAATCTGCAGTCTGAACAAAACTCATTTTGTATTTCTATGGTGGATTGAGTTATAAATTAATAAAGACGAGTCTGCCTCTGCATCAATTTAAAAACTAATTTTCGTTCAATCAACGTATGGGCCCTTGTGGATCCTACTGGGCCTATATCTTGAAACATTTTGATTTATTTGGCGTCGTGAAGCACATATCCACGTATATTTATTAACTTGTAGTTCGAACAGCTCTGCCTGTTACTCAGCAGTGGGACTGTTGACTTCTTTAATGAGTTAAAAATCCAAGTACATTCACGATGGACCATCTGGCACCCATCACACGGGCATGTTTTAAATTGCTGGGAAGCATGCCCTGGCTTGAATACTGCTGGATTTGCTTTTGATTTATTTTATTATTCATGCAGCCTCGAATATTTTGTTTTTCTACCTACGTGACTTTACCAAAAGAACCAAAGAGTTTAGAATCTAACCTATAAAACATGCAGGTGTGGGGTTACAAAGTCGCACGCAATTTCTTCAAATGCCTTTGCAAATGGTATAATGCCTTATTCTTAGATTTTTTCGGTAAAGTCACGTAGGTAAAAATTTTAAATTAATAAAAGTAAAAAAAAAATCACGACGTTTCGGAAGCAACACAAGCCTCCGTCTTCAGGTGGAACCGTCACAGCCACGACAGCTGTATCAAGTAAATGAGAGATCACAAGAAATACCACCCCGTATATATAATGGTTGAGGGAGGAAGGGCCAGGAACGGCACACTTTTTGTTAATATGGTAAGGTGAGGCTTAAGACTAAGAATAGACTGCATAACAAAAGACTGAGCCTTTGTTATGGAGAGGTGCAGTTTGTAACTAACACCTAGCATACATAACAAAAGTGTGAAAAAAGAAAGCAAGTAAAAACAAGTAAAAACTAAAACTGGTAAAACAACAAACTGGCTGTCTATCAATAACCTGTAATAGTTGTACTTTTATTAATAAAAAAAATTTTACCTACGTGACTTTACCGAAAAAACCTAAGAATATGAATCCTTGCAGTCACGAAAGCTTCAAATCTAGAAGTATAATGCCGTGTTTGTAATTTGCGTCGCATTAATTTTGTACATTTGTGTTGCGCGAGTCACTGCTTCTGCATCGCCAACCTTCTCCCTCCAGCCTGTAATGACGACTGCACGGGCTTGCTTCTCAACGACCTGGATGTGCTTGCTGTGAGCGTGATGCATGTCAACCTCACCGGCCTCATCCCTGCTCCGTACTCACGACTCGAAGAGTTCGCGAACATGACCCGAACGCTTGGGGCAAGTGTGGTCGTGATATGTGGTGCCGCTAAATGTACCTCACTTATCCAGTTCACTCTGTTCTGGCAAAGCATCAATATTGCTTGCAACGTTTGAAAGTTTTCAAATGTCTTTTTTTTGTTTGTTATATATGAACGGATGCCATATGGTATAATTAACAATTTATACATCTACTTGCAGGATCAGCTTAAATCACAGAAGCCACCGTCCCAGATGACAGATGCTGCTACTCGGGGAGTGGCTGATGTTATCGGAGAAATCGATGCCTTTGATAGCCGGGTGAGTTTGCTGATGGCGTTTGACCTGTTGGCCGTAAATTTGACTTTTATACATTATTTACCATTAATCTCCAGCAGGCCACTTGGCAAAACCACTTGCAAAGCCCACTCAAAATGTACACTATTATATATACGCTTAATACTGCTCACAGATTGCTCACGTATATCGAGCATTTTTTTTTTCAATATGTAGGATTGGGTGAATAATTATATTACATTTTTTGTGAAAATTAATTACAGTGGCAAGTGATCAAACCTTAAAGCGTTTGCATGTTTCAGATGTTTCAAAATAATGATGTGACATACAGAGGTGAATTTGTCTTTATAGCTATACCTGTACATTGGTTGTATAGATACCCGTGAATGATTGATTGGCTTTAAAGCAGGTAAAAGTTTGTTGAGAATGGGCAGGTGCTTTGAATCGCCCCTGCCATTCTCTCCCCACCCATACCAAATAGGTGTCCCAGATTTGAAGCTTTCGTGACTGCAGGAATCCATACTCTTTAGTTCTTTCGGTAAAGTCACGTAGTTATAAATACAATAAAATAAAACAAATCACGACGTTTCGATCGCAACACAATTTTACTTATAACTACGTGACTTTACCGAAAGAACCAAAGAGTAAGTCAATTGGCAGGTGTGTGGTGGGGTCAAGTGTGGGTTCTTCTACCTCATCCAAGATGTCTGGCCTGCTTCACGGAGGAGGCCAAAATACCATTTAGAGGCGGCTCCCCAGAGCTCTTTATAGCCGAGGCCGTACTGGCAGCAGTAGCGTGAGCAAACAGTAGCAGGGCTGCAACTTTGCCATATCTGCACAGGAGCAAATATCATCGCTCCAGCGATATATATCTAAATTTCGGGGATAAACAAAGCCCCCCTCCCCCCACTGAATCAATGCGCTTGTTCTGCAGGCCACACGGGTGCTGGAGGAGGCGCGTGCGACCGAGCAGCAGCTGCGTGAGACGCAGGAGCGCGCTGGGGCGCTGCTGGCGAGCGTACGCAGCGCCTTGAACGCCGCTCTGGGTAACGCGCAGACGCACACACACACACGCATATATGCACGCAAACACGCAGGCATACCAGGGTCAGCCCACTGCCCGACATCCTACCAGCCTTGTATGCATGTACGTTGGACTTCTTTCACACCGTATGTAGCCGACCATGCTAATCGGAGGTGCGGGGAAAGGACAACAAACTGAACACAAAAATCAGTTCTAAAGAAATCAATTTAACACGTAGGCTTTCGTGACCAATATTCTTCATAACATAGGTTTTTGGGTCAGATCTCGTTATCTATAAATGTGTCGCAACCCTCCACCACCCGACACGGCCAAACAGCAAAAAATGTGTCACGTTTTTCAAGGACAAAATAATTAACTTCTTTAGTGTGCTGAAGAGAGAATCAACAGCACTTGAAAATTTGAGTACGACGTTTCACTGATAATTACAATCAGCTTCATCGGGCAAGAATGGTGAAGCTCACCTGTTGCTCCCGGTCTTAAATAAAGCAGCATCAGGGTGACGTCATCATTTAATTCAATTCAATCTGGTGCAGTGATTCGAGGCATAGAGGGGGAGGGTATTGTAATTATATAGATTGGTAATCATTCAATTGGTATTCATTGGTTTTTTTTGTTCCCTCTAAAGAAATCAGTTTTCAATCTAGATTTAAAAGTAGCTTCCTAATATCGGAAGCAAGAGCGTTCTAGACGGCCACAGAAGCACATTTCAAAAGGGCGCGATGCAGTGACCGTCTTTGTTCGATGGCACAGTAGCAACCGCATCTCCTTAGCAGTGGCAGTGCAGGACATTGGCGATCGCGGCAAAAGCTTCGAACCCCAAGCAGCTCAAGGAGCCCCAAATTCATGAAAAAATAAATGAGATGGACCTGATGTCGGCAAACATTCAGATCCTCAAGAAAGACGTTATAAAAGCAAATTCATCTGCAGATCTTTTCTCTTACATGACTACATTTCAGTCTCTTTTTCTCCATTGAAAACTAATTTCGTGTTTAGTTTGTTGTCCTTCCCCTGCACCTCCGATTAGCACGATTGGCTACGTACGGTGCGAAAGAAGTTCAACACACACACACATTCCTTTCCACCCAAAACCATAAATGGGTACCACAGGGAGTCAATCGGCAGGTCGCTCGTGGTGTGGGTAAAGTTCCTTGCATATTCACTTCTTACAAGACGCCTGGCCAACATGCAAAGAGTAGACCAAATACCCTCGGCTCCTACTATTTGGGGGCCTTTTAGCCAGCGGTGGCCGTGCTCAAACAATTGCAGGGCTGCTACGTCACCTCCATCGCCGGTGCTTTTTTCATTTCCACACATTCCTACCGCAGAGCTGGTGGGGAACGCGAGCCGTCTGCGCGAGCTGGCGGTGGGCGGCGAGGATGGCGGCGGCGGCACGGTGCCGCGGGCGCTCGCCGACATGGAGCGGCTCGTCGCTGAGATCCGCGCCGTCAGCCTGTCCCGGCAGCGCGACGTAGCCAACAAGGAGCTCGGGTCAGCAGGACGGACATTCCCCCCCCACCGCAACCCACCTGCCCCCAACTGCTATGCATAAGACAAAGATCCCCCGTATAGCCTTGACAGACTGTTGGGGCAAGTGGTGTTAGCGAGCACCTACGAAGGCCGGCACGGCACACACGAGGGGGTGGGTGGCCAGCACCACGCCCGGCCGCCTTTGTCTCCCCAGTGACGAAGTTTTTACACATTGCACCGGGTACTCGATTGAGGCTGCGTCGAACTAGGGGAGGCTCAGGACCGATTCAGATAATCGTCACTGGTGTTGGCCGTCAGCGGGTTCATAGCACGGCGTGCTAACCGCTACACTACCACTCCCCCATTAATGCACGCCCTTATGCATGGACACATAAGGACGTGCATTAATTGGGCGTTTACGTGCAATGCGACATCTCTGTGCGCGATTCTTGCTTTCCCAGCATTGTGTTTACGGACCGCGGTCTCAATGGCGGAGCCAGGATTTTCAGGTGGGGGGGGCAACCCCTCCAGCAATGAAAAATAATAGGAGTTGTTAGTAAGTGAGGAGTTGTCCCTTGCTTTTTATTCGACACGTGTGCGACGATGGCACAGCCATCGATCGAGGGTCGAATTCGAACCGTGTGTGTGATCGGCATCGCGCTCGCTGAAGGTGAGTGCCTTCAGGGAAGTCGTGTACTGGATACGCAACTGCGCACAATTCTGAGTCACTTATAACTACTTTGCCGTCACTTACTGCCAATTATGGACTCAGGCTATTGTCCTATCATCTCATAGAGTCCCTGGCACTTAATAATATGCTACACAGTGGCAAGTGGGGGTCACAAAATGCCGATTTATTACTAATAAACCCCAATGATCCGATCGAAATTAGGGATTTCGATCGGATCATTGGGGGGGCACGTGCCACCCCAACCCCCCCACTGTCTCCGCCAGTGGCGGTTTTGAGCTCCCCGTGCCAAACATCTCCTTCACTGCTTTCCGACTGGCAAGTACGTGCCGTTTCCGTTTGGTCCAATGTCTTCTGCCTTTCTCCCTAATATGCTCGTCTCTGCCTCTGCCCACCCCTCTGCCACGTGTGGCTCTTCCCCGCCGTGTGTTTACATCTCGGTTCAAATACGAGGGCCGTTCCCACGTGGCTCACTTCATCACTTCATTGGATGTGTTTGATCCATGTCCAACATTTTTTTTTCGATTGTTGCGGGATACGTTTATAAACAAGGTTCTGTATTTTTTCGCGTGAATATAGAATAAAATTATGCTTTGGAACAATAGTTTCCAACAGGCTGATAGACCCAAATAGTTTATGCATCTGCAGTCCTGTGGTAAAATGCCATGATTATCGGATATCTCGGCTAGATAATGTGACTCTCTTTCAGTAATCTCTCTGCTCGGAGGACAATATTACTAAATTCATGAAAAATCTGAGCAAATATTTGTGCCATTTCAGCTGTCATATTGCAGTGGATCATTGTCGAGTCACGATAGCGCATTCTGCAGCACTTAGCATTGGCAAAAAAAAGTAGATGTTTATAGCTGGCATAATTAAATAACATCTGTGCAAAACACCAACATGTACAGCCCTCCGGTGTGTTTGTTGAGTTTCACAGCGTGTTGTTTTTGCGCGCCGTTCAACATTCTGCGCTGTGGGCTGGTAGCTTCTTCAGGAACTGACCGTCAATTCATTGCCTGAAGAAGCTCCCAACATGCGGAGCGAAACATTGTACATCGTGCAGAATATCACATCACACGGCACAACCTGCAATAGCATTGGAGGTCGAGACGGCACAACCGTGAGAAATTTCGCGTTGACTTTTTTTCTGGTTTTGATGGTGTTCTTCGCGCAGGAAATCCAGAGAGCTGCTAGACAAGGTGAAGCAGGCCTTTGAGCAGCCTCGCCAGGCAAACGAGGGCTTGGCCCAGGACGTGTCGGACCTGCTGTGGGAAGTCTTCAACCGCCTGTCGGACCTGCAGAGGATCCTGAACGAGGCCAAGGAAGCCACCGCCATGGCCAATGAGCTCAACCAGAGCAACAACAAAAGCCTGGTCGAGCTAAAGGTGATCCACCTACCTATGTGTCAATCTCAACAGTGTCCGGTTTAGCAAGCTTGTAATACATGCCATCTGTATTGCCACAGTAATTGAGCATGTGAAGATGCATTGATTCGTCAATTACAATGTATTATTATGGTCACGATACATCATTGAGTCATGCCTGCATTCATATCTAATTTTAATTTGGTATAAATTGTAAGTGACGTTTGGTGGTGGTGGTGTTGTGCGGAGAGCTGTAGTATAGCGGTTAGCACGCTGCACTATGAACCTGGTACCCGCTCATGGCCAACACCCAGTGGCAATTTTCTAAACCAGTCCTGGGCCTCCCCTAGGTCGACTAAGTCTCAAATGAGTACCTGGTGCAGTGTGTAAACATCTCCAGAAGGGATACAAAGGTGATCGGGCATCGTGCTGGCCACCCACTCCCTCGTGTGCCGTCCCGGCCTTTATAGGTGATCGCTAACAGCACCTGCCTCAACAGTCTGCTAATGCTATACGGGAGATCTTCATCTTTTATAGTGGCTAGTGCGTTGCGCTTGAACCCACCTACCTGAGTTTAATTTCTGCCCATGACTATCGCATCAGTTGGGAGTGATATCAGCACTGGTCCTTTCTCTCCACCCCCCCTTCACCACACCTGCACTGACCATTATGGTTATGTACAGTCAAAAAGCCCCATGAGTTATATAGTACAGGGATTCCTTCATCATTTGGTGGACTAAGTGGCTGGATGTTAGTCATGTCTTTGTGTATGTTATATGTAATTGATTTATTAGATTTCTGCAGCCACTAGTTGCCCTACATTCACCACAATCTCAACAAGAAGAAAACATTATTGAAGCAATTTGTTTACAATTCACTAAATCATGACCAGGGTGAATAGTCGTGTGCCCAAAAGTTCTGAACACGTTTTTTTGTACATGATACACGCCTAACTAATACCATGATTATTCTCTCTGCAGGACAAAAGTGCAACGCTTGAAACAAATTTGAATTCGACCAAGGAGATGATTTCCCAGGGGGAGAAGATCCTCGGCAATGTCAAGCAAGCAATTCATGAAATTGATAAGCTGCTTAAGGTAAAATTTTGTTAAAATTACGCCCATTGCACTGCAATTTGAATCCATAAAACACCTACGTACGACCGCATATCAAGGTTCTATTAGCAAGGAAATATAAACACATTATGAGAATGTCAGGAAGATCTGGCATGTTTGCTATACTATGCTTTTTTTAAATCTTGAATTTCATTCCAACATTTGCAATATGATTGTGGACCATGTATAACCGTTCGTACCTTGTATATTTGGGTGCTGCTATGGTGCAAAGGCTGGCGCACATAGGTGGTCTGTTCAACCGGCTCACGTGGCAGCTCAAACAGTGGCACAAGTTTCATAACCCCCCCCTGCCATTCCGCTGTACACCCAGCAGTGTAAATGGGCACACTGCAGTTTTTTTTATTTTGCTGGAGCAGTCTACACCTGATGACGGTTGCTTGTGTTGCTTCCGAAACGTCGTGATTTAATTTGTTAGTTTTCATTTTAATTTATTTTATACGTTTTACCTACGTGACTTTCCCGAAAAAAACAAAGAGTATGGATCCTTGCAGTCACGAAAACTTCAAATCTAGAATTAACACTGCAGTTTGTCGATCCAGCAGCACGTACGTATGTTGAACTTCTTTCGCACCGTACGTAGCCAACCGTGCTCATCGGAGGTGCCGAGGAAGTAAAACAACCAAAAAACAAAAAGCAGGTCTCAAGAAATTAAATGTCAATTCTAGATGTAATAGTTCACAGCTCCAGTGGCTTCCTAATATCGGAAGGAAGAGCGTTCCAGACGGCCGCAAAAGCGCGTCTGAAAGTGCGCGATGCAGTGACCGTCTTTGTTCGATGGCCAGCCAAAAGCCGCTGCGAGGATGACCGGGGTTTGCGTGATGGTTTGTGCTCCTTGATGAGATCAGCAAGGTATCGTGGTTTATTCGTGGCAAGCACTCTGTGTGTACTGAAGGTCATGTGTGGTGTTGGTAATTCCATCTTGTTCCAATTATTCATGGCCAGTGTGGAAGAGTAGACCAAATACCATAGAGAGAGGCTATTCAAGTTCCCCCGTCCACCATCAGTGGCCTAAGAAAGTAGTTTAAAGGCTGCACTTTTAACATTTACAGTGTTTTTATTTCGTTATACGTCTAGCATTTCCTGTAGAACTATGGAACATACTTTAACTTTAAATTTCGATTTAAAGCTTTTGTGACTGCAGGGATTCATATTCTTGGTTCTTTCGGTAAAGTCACGGAGAAGGGAAATAATATAATAATAAAATAAAACATAACTAAATAAAATTCTCACGATGTTTAGGACGCTGTCTTTCCGACAGCTCTGTTTCTTCACCTGAGGACGGCTTCTTGCGTTGTGGCCGAAAAGTCGTGAAATTTTTTTTTCCTTCTACGTGACTTTACCGAAAGAACCAAGAATATACATACTTTAACTGTTGTGTACATCATACTTTATATTGTATATATTTCCTGCGTGACATATTTGTTGAAACGTTGGGGCAAAAATGAGGCCTTCCCTTGATTTTCCAGGTGGCTCCCATTATGAAGATGTAATACTGTACAGCAATTGCGATTTGTCCGGAAACTAGAAAATTATTATTAAGTGAACTGTTTCAGCTGTCTTTGATGTGAGCTCCTATTATTTAGAGTATATTTTGTTTCGCAAAAACATGTTACTGACAACTGTTGTATATGTATACATTTCATTACGAGTTACTCTCACCACAATCTGTCAGTTTATCAATCAAATTAATCACAATATGCTCATAACACACACATTTATTTACATGCATTTGAACAGTTATTGCCAAATTGGGAAGATATTGGAACTCGAAAACACCCATGGACTTCAACAGTATGAGATCATGCGTCTCGCCCTTTGAATTACTCGTCTCCACACATTAACATACAAAGACAAAATGAAGATCCCCGTATAACCTTAACACACTGTTGGAGCAAGTGCTGTTAGCGAGCACCTATGTGTGTTTAACATACACACATGTACTCGCGCACACACACACATGTCGTCATCACTATTTATCAGCCACTGCTGGATGAGGGCCTCCCCAAGCCATCACCAGCTTTAAAGCTTTCGTGACTGCAGAGATTCATCTTCTTGGTTCTTTCGGTAAAGTCACGTAGAAGGGAAGTAATAAAATAATAAGAATGATGAAGACCAAGGTCTGTCTCCCCGACAGACCTGGTCTTCACCTGAGGACGGCTGCTTGCGTTGTGGCCGAAACGTCGTGAGAATTATTTTATTATGTTTTATTTTTTATTATTTTATTATTTCCCTTCTACGTGACTTTACCGAAAGAACCAAGAAGAACCATCACCAGCTGAGTTTTGCAACATAATCTAGCACCTGCAGATGAGTTGATGTCTTCACTCAATTTTTTTTATCAGATATCCTCTGTTCTCTCCATTGGTCTTCTCTCCTTTAGTTGCCACATCCATCATTACCCTCAAAGACTAGCTACCATCCCTTCGCAAAAATTGTTCTACTTAAGCTCACTTACGTTTTTTTTGTATCAGTCCATACGATGCCTCTAACTCGTGCATATTATTTAATCCACGTGTTCCTCATTCTCTCTCTCAATCTATTTCCAAGCACGCATCTCACCCGCACACATATACACAAATGCACATGTATGTATAATGCATTGATATCATGCATAATATTTATATTGCATATTAAACACAAAAAAGACGAAGATCCCCTCTATGGTCTTAACAGACTGTTGGGACAAGTGATGTTAACGAGCACCTATCAAGGCCGGCACGGCTCGTGAGGGGATGGGTGACCAGCACCGTGCCTAGCTACCTTTGTCTCCCAAGTGGCGATGTTTACACACAGCTCCATATACTCTTTTGAGGCTGAGTCTACCTAGAGGGGAGGCCCAGGACCAGTTAAAATATATCCCACTTGTTAGCGGCCGTGGGCTGGAATCGAACCGGGATTGCCGGGTTCGTAGCGCAGTGCGGGTAAAAACATTACTCCACCACTCAAACACGCACACTCGCACGCACGCTGACATTACCCACATTCTGTGTAGAGATAGAACGCCTTTTGGCGTCATCTGGTCCAACACCAATGGAGACTAGGCTCTAAGAAAATCTGTCTCGGGTATGGACCAATCAACTTCAATGACAGTGCATATCATTATCATTATCAAAGTTGTTTCTTTTTGTTTGCATTTTGACTGCTTGTGTTGTGGTTATTGCAAACATGACCCCTTGCATAAAGGTGTCAGTTTTTGTACCAGATGAAAGGGTAAAAACCTACTACTACTAGAGATAGAACTGTTAACGCGCACGCGGTGCATTTCGCACGCCTTCCTGACGCAGCAAGCGGAGCTCGACCAGGAGCGTCTGGACACAGCGGCGCCCAAACTGCGGGACCGCGTGGACGCGACGGTGATGGCGCTGCGCGAGAAGGGGCTCATCGAGCTCGTGTTCCGCGCCGAGAATCACTCGGCCGCCATGCAGGCACTGGCCGCACAGCTTTCCCGGTGAGCCGGGTCACGTGGCCTGCGTTGCTAGGCCTCACCCGCCTTTCGTGGTAGTTAGCGGCTTTTTTGTTTGCTGTCGTCGTAGCCGCGAGACAATATAACGTATTCTTAGGTTTTTTCGGTAAAGTCACGTAGGTAAAAAATTTAAGTTAATAAAAGTAAAAGCCATGTACACGTTTTTTTAATTTTTACCGAAAAAACCTACAAATATGAATCCTTGCAGTCACGAAAGCTTCAAATCTAGAAACAATATAACGTAAATTAATGTCCCGGTCTACGTCGGGGATGGCTTCCTGAAAAGTTGCGACGACGATTATCGAAACGAGGTCCAATCGAAGAGATTTGCAAGGTAAGGTGGAGGCAAAGGCCGAGGCAACGGATAACGAAACAGGGTCGTGGTGTGAATAAAGTGACGATGTATTTGTGAGAAACGATGTAAAAAAAGGGGGAGACGTAAATCGGGGTAGTTGCGCGCCCGCGCCGTGCGGCTTAGAGAATGAAAGATGTCGAACAATTGCTTCTGAGAGCTATTCAAGTGAACCTTATGGCGGTACCCTGCATAATGTCCGCGATGCAGTCATTTTTAGTCTGTTGATGGTCGGCTATGCGGCAATCGACTCATCTCGACGAGCTGTACACGATGTACTACTGTGCGTACGAGCGTTCAGGGTTTCAGCGCAATCGTCGTCGCTGCGTTTCGACAGCGCGGAGTGTGGCACTTATTTCAGATCGATTTGTACCCCCAGTCGCGGAGTCAAGTACACCCCTGGAAAAAATAGTGTCCCAGAAATAAACATTGAATTTGCCTCGGCCATAAAGATCAAGTGACCTTTGTTATAGACACACCGGGGTGGGTGGGTGGGGGGGGAGGTGGCACTTTCTCACATGTTGTGAGACGTGTACATGGCTGGCTGTAAGAGCTGCAGGTCACAGCAACGACTGGCGAGCATCAGTGGGCATAACCATTGGCCATAATGGAGGTGTGTTCTGGATTAGATCGCGTAAATATAAATGTGGTGTTAAAATCCGCCGCCACCCGACACAGCCAATTTCGTAGGGCCCATCGCGTAAACAGAACGTGCCAATTAGTTTTGAGCTCAGCACACCGGTGTGTTGGAGAGTAAACCCACAACATTTAGAATGTCTAGTACGACGTTTCGCTGATAAGTACAACCAGCTTCACCAAGCGACAGCCAGAATTGCGGAGAAATCCTCCTGTTACGGTCTTAAATAAAAGGGTAGGTGTGATGACGTCACTTGTGGGCCAGTCAGGGTGCGAAGACCAGAGGGAGGCGGGTGGGGGGGCGGGGTAATGTAGTTGTATACATTACAATGGATATATTTTAATGGTTGAATTATACACAGTTATCTTCTTGTTTCTTTCGGTAAAGTCACGTAGAAGGAAAGTAATAAAATAATAAAAATAAAACATAATTATTTTATTACTTCCCTTCTACGTGACTTTACCGAAAGAACCAAGAAGATGAATCCCTGCAGTCACGATAGTTTTAAATCGAAATTTATACACAGTTAATCAACATACGTCATTTATGCACATTAATAACCATTTACGTTTCCACTTCACTGGTTTGTGGCTATGAGCGGTGGAACAGCGGTCGGCACATTGCTGCTATGAGCTCAGCCTTTTGAGTAACATTCACCGCTACGGCTGACATCGGTGGCGTGTGATATCTAAACAGGTTCTGGCTCCCAGTTCAGGCAGGCGGTTGAGCTCTACCTCCAGTTTCCTAATTGGCATGTTACGTAAGCAGTGCATTGATTAATCAATGGGAAAGCAGAGCCACATTTAACGAAATGCACCGGTTGGGTGCTCGCTCGGCTGTTGCCCACCTCTTTCACCCCCGTAGGGGCTGCGTGCTTTTTGCTTCGGCTGCGAGACGCCAAGTGGGAGGAGGTCACTGGGCACCCACCCTAACAGGGACCACCCACATTTTGCCACTTCGCCCGTCGTTTTTTTCAACAAGTGTCCAATTATACTCAACGGTCATCGTTCATTCCGAAAAAGAACACGCTCTGGTCATGTCTGACTCCCCCCACCACCCCCGGCATTTGAAGATGTGAAGTGTGGATGGGCGATAACTGTGGCGGCTCTGTAACTCGCGAAAATGTGGTGCACCTGGCCCATGCTAAGCCTTTGCTTTCATCTACCGCCATCGCACTTATTGCAAATTGTGTGACAACCCATTCGCAGAGAAAAAGCTCCGGATAATGCTAGCCATCTCACTTTGGTACTTATTTTGCCAAGATCATTTTGTGTCGTTTTCTCAAAAGTTGCGCACCCTGTAATAACAGAGTTTCGAGTTATTTTAAAGCATTGTAAATTATAATACAGCTTTCATTAGCAATTTTCTGTTGGGATACATTTCTAATACGCGGAGCATCGTTAAAAGGTTGGCACAAATATAATTTTCTGTCTGGTCCTGTGATTCAGGTCCACTGCAGGCTACTCATCCTATAATGAATTGTACTGAGGCTGGGGGGGGGCGTGGAAGAGTAGCCTGATTCCGGAGGACACCTGAAATTACTGTCGAAATTCTAACATTGAAATCCATTCGTGATGGAAACTTTGGTTTTCACATAATACCACCACAAAGTAAAACGTACATACAAATGTATACCTACAGGTTTCCCTCGCTTTATGCAGCTTCGGTTCGTGAGACGTTGCAAATTTTTCTACCCAAAATTCACTCTGCGGAGTGAATTCACTCACACGTGGCTACGCGGTCGGACGTGAGACAAAGTTGTTCGTGTACTGCGTGTGTACTGTGTGTGTACTGTGTGTGTGTGTACTGTGTGTGTACTTTGTGTGTACTGTGTGTACTGTGTGTGTGTACTGCGTGTGTACTGTGTGTGTACTGTGTGTGTGTACTGTGTGTGTACTGCGTGTGTGTACTGCGTGTGTACTGTGTGTGTGTACTGTGTGTGTACTTTGTGTGTACTGTGTGTGTGTACTGTGTGTGTACTGCGTGTGTACTGTGTGTGTGTACTGTGTGTGTACTATGTGTGTACTGTGTGTACTGCGTGTGTGTACTGTGTGTGTACTCTGTGTGTGTACTGTGTGTGTACTGTGTGTACTGTGTGTGTACTGCGTGTGTGTACTGTGTGTGTACTGTGTGTGTATTGTGTGTGTGTACTGTGTGTGTACTGTGTGTGTACTGTGTGTGCACTGTGTGTGTACTGTGTGTGTACTGTGTGTGTGTACTTGTGTGTGTACTGTGTGTGCACTGTGTGTGTGTACTGTGTGTGTACTGTGTGTGTGTACTGTGTGTGCACTGTGTGTGTACTATGTGTGTGTGCTGTGTGTGTACTGTGTGTGTGTACTGTGTGTGTAGTGTGCTATGTGTGTACTGTGTGTGTACTGTGTGTGTGTACTGTGTGTGTGTACTGTGTGTGTACTGTGCGTGTGTACTGTGTGTGTACTATGTGTGTGTACTGCGTGTGTACTGTGTGTGTGTACTATGTGTGTGTACTGTGTGTGTGTACTGTGTGTGTAGTGTGCTGTGTGTGTGTAGTGTGTTGTGTGTGTACTGTGTGTGTACTATGTGTGTGTACTGTGTATGTACTGTGTGTGTGTGCTGTGTGTACTGTGTGTGTACTTTGTGTGTACTGTGTGTGTAGTGTGCTGTGTGTGTACTGTGTGTGTACTGTGTGTGTGTATGTACTGTGTGTGTACTGTGTGCGCTACTCGGAAGGCAGCTGTCTCGTGCGGTTTCGCTTTGTGCGCCCGTTTTTTTGGAACGCATCTACCGCATACGGCGAGGGGAAATCTGTGTATATATAAAAAACGCTAACTTCAATTTGAATAAATAGCGCCACCGAATTTTAGAGTGCGCTGCATTTATTTGGGGCAATTCCAAAGCAATGTGTTTACAGCCTGTGGTTTCCAATCTCAGCACATACTCCCGAGCTTATGGTGATCTCCCGACACTAGAAAGAGCTCATATATATTCCTATTTTCTCCGTGCACTCCCCTTTTTTTTATTTCTTCGCAGCATTCTTGATGAGACAAAGAACCAGACGTTTGATGCGACGGCTGCTCTGAATGCGTACGGGGCGATCGTTCAGGCGGTGGCGGACGCGGAGGAAACTGCTCAACAGGCCGACACTGTGGCCAGCGAGGCGCTTGCTCAGGTGCGGTCATGTCGCAACTCGTCAAACACCCCGTGATTACGGCCGGAGCGGTGTCAGATCGCTCCCGCCGCTCGTTTCTCGCCGCATCTTGCAACGCGGTACGAATGCAATTTTAAAACGTGCGTGCGTTATTGACAGAGGCGGGGTGAGGCCCTTTTCCGACGGTCGTGTTTTGTTCGTTGGTCAGGCCGTGGGTCCCTCTGGCTCCCTGGAGCAGGCTGGGAGGGCGTCCCTGCAGCTGAGCAGTGAGCTGCTCCGAGAGACGAAGGAGCTCAATGACAAGGCCACCGGTAAACCTGCACGTGCTGGACACTCCTGCCCATTGGATGGTTCGTGTTTATTACGTGCTAAAACGCTCAGCCACTAAATTGCAGTGACTTGCTTCACGTAGTTTTTCAAGTTTGTGCTTAAGAATAATAGGTTTCATTTGTTAAAATGTTAGCTTCAACACGGTGATATGCATGTCACCAGCCGTGTAAATGTGTGCACCGCAAGTTAGTTGATCGGCAGGTCGTGTGTGTTGGGCTAATGTGGGGATATTCCCACGTCTTCCAGGACACCTGGCCAGCGTGTAATAGTAGGCCAAATTACCTCTTGAGTTTCTCTCCAGAGTTTCCTTCTAAAGAGGCTGCATCTTCACCTTAAAAGTAATATGCATGTAACAGCGATGTCATCAGTGGTGTAATCGCACTACCGGTCAAGTAGCGCCGTGCTTAGGGCGTGAAGCTCGTAGTTGAAAGGCTGATAATCCAAATGGCGGTTGGATGTTCACGTGCCGCTCCCTCTGTCCGATCGATAAAATGAGAGAAACTTTGTGGAAAGAGAAAACTGGCTGCACTTGGGAATAACTTTACCCCTGCTATACAAATATGGAATTTCCATCACGGGCTAAGGTCTATTTAAAAAAAAGAGATTACCAAATCCCAACCGTCATTTCATCAGGGGCACTGCGTTGCAGAGGTCGCAATCGGGTACCCGATACCCGTACCCCTACCCGATACCCGGCTACCCGTACCCGGCCGGGTACGGGTAGCCATTTGCGACCCTGGTGCGGCCGGGTACGGGTACGGGTAGGCCGTGAGTCACTGGTGAGTACCCGTTTGTCACTCATTTCGGGTAGGGTACCGTTACAGGTAGGGAACGGGTACCCGTACCCGGCCGGGTACGGGTACGGGTACCCCCGGCCGGGTACGGGTACGGGTACCCATTTGCGACCCTAGTGCAGACGGGTACGGGTAAGGAATCAAAACCCGTTTGCGACCTCTGCTGTGTTGATTGCATTCGATGCTGTGATTTTAATCCTCCATTGCCTCTTCTGCGTGTTGTCGTCTGGGCCACCGGTTTAGGCTTTTCTGACCGCCTGGCGGCCATTAAAATGCAGGTGACAAACGGCGAGGACAAGACCAAGGCTCTGGCGCGGCAGCTGGCCTCAGCCCTGGCATCTCTGGCCTCGCTGCCTAATGGTGCGTTTTTCACCAAGACGCGCGTACCCAACACGAACGTGCCCCGTGCCATCTCTTACTACTGCTGTTACTGCTGCGTGAGTGCTCGTCGTTGTGCTCTACAGCTCTCTGGTCTCGCCCTGTCTAGATTATTGAATAGCACCTTTTTCCGAGGCGCTCTACGACGATTACAAAATTGTACACGAGATGAAAGTGGTTGAGATAGAGTGGGGTTGTTGTTGAGAGTGGTGGTGTAGTCATGGTGACAGGTAGGAGAACTGGCAGGAGGGGTTGGGGTAGTGATAGGGGTTTGGGTAGTGATAGGGGTGGGGGTAGGGGTGTCGGGGTCGGGGTGTAGGGGTGGGTGTAGGGGTGGGGGTAGGGGTGTACGGCTGGTCGTAACTGTGGGGCAGGGAGAAGAGAGGAGTACAAGCAGGTTTTGGTCTTAATTAGAGTGAGTAAAGGTGATGTCATCAACACCTGTACATCAGCTAATTCACATTTCTGGCTATCGCTTGATGAAGCTGCTTGTTAATCACCAGCGAAACGTCGTACTCGAATTGTAAACGTCGTGGGTTTACTCCTCCACACACCGGTGTGCTGAACTGGTAACAGATCGCCACGTTTTGTTTACGTGACAAACCTTACTAATTGGCTGTTTCGGGTGGTGGCGGGTTCAACGACACATTCATATATTTACACTGTCAGACTTAAAGCCATCACTTGTGCAATATCCAATCGCCTATCTAGAAGCAATCAGGTCATTCAGAATCAACGTGGGAGCTACAAATGGATCGTCCAGTACACCGCGTAAAAACAAGTGGAGGTGCAAAACGGAGTTCTTATACTGCATTGTGCAAAAGTATATATATATATACAGTGTGTATATGTATTCACAGTTCTAGATATTATGTCCCTTAGACACAAGCCGCGCCATGGAGGAGGTGATGGAGGCTGCCAAGGGCGTGAGCGAGGTGGCTTCGGGGGTTCTGGAGGAGACAATGGACCTCAACAAGAAGATCATGAACGTGTCGGAACACCTTGACAAGGCGGCGGAGAACGAGCGCTCGGCCAACGCTTTCATCGACGACTCGGCGAAGAACAGTACGGACCGCCCACCAAATGACCCCGAAGGGATCTTAAAATATGTAAACTGCGTATGTAATTTCCAATTGCGATGCAAAGAAGACGCAAACAACTCAGGAGGGGAGCGTGTGCGCACAATTGTCCGGCTCGCCAGTTGTGAACCAAAGGGAGCAGGAGAGCGAGAGAGAGGAGGAGACAAATTGGGAAAATGTAAACGGGGGAGAAGAGAGCGAGAAAAAGGATGGACCGGAAGGGATAGAGTAACAATAGAGCGGTCGGATGAGGAACTTTCTTTAGTAATTAAATCGTTGGCATTCAGAAAAAAACGATTTATATCGCGTGTTATCCGACGTTTCATGCTAGGGGCAGTTAGCAGTAGTTGCTGACCCGTGCCCGCTAACTGGACATCTGTAACCCGTTGTATTCTTCCCGTCTAAATAGAGATTCCGTTTCTGAGCAGCCGGCAACTTTATATAACCGAGGGACATTTCGATTTAAAGCTTTCGTGACTGCAGGGATTCATCTTCTTGGTTCTTTCGGTAAAGTCACGTAGAAGGGAAATAATAAAATAATTAAAATTAAAACATAATAAAATTTCGATTTAAAGCTTTCGTGACTGCAGGGATTCATCTTCTTGGTTCTTTCGGTAAAGTCACGTAGAATGTAAATAATAAAATAATAAAAATAGAACATAATAAAATAATTCTCACGACGTTTCGGCCACAACGCAAGCAGCCGTCCTCTGTCTTTCCGACAGACCTGTTCTTCACCTGAGGACGGCTGCTTGCGTTGTGGCCGAAACGTCGTGAGAATTATTCTATTATGTATATTTTTATTATTTTATTATTTCCATTCTACGTGACTTTACCGAAAGAACCAAGAAGATGAACCGAGGGACACTTCCACCGACACGTGGGGCGAAGCGTGGGACATCGTGGCAAACGGTGCGTGGCACCGCCCACGGGCACACGAGGGGCGAAGAGCCGACGATCGTTTCGCCTTCCTCCTCCGCGTTTCGCCGCAGTTGCCGAGGCGAGCGACAAGCTGCGGGACGTGGAGCAGCGGGCGGCGCGCCTCTCCAAGCGCATGGAGCCCTTCGGAGCGCTGCAGGACAACCTCGGGCGGAACATCTCCGTCATCAAGGAGCTCATCAACCAGGCCCGCAAGCAGGCGGCCTCTGTGAGCATCTTGACATGCGGCGCCCCCCCCCCCCCCCCCCCTCCGGGGAAGGGCGCACGAGGCCGTGATTGGCTTGTTAACTTCTTCTCCGTAGACCCTTGGTGGTTTGGGCCAGAGGTCGCAAACGGGTTTTGATTCCGTACCCGTACCCGGCCGTACCAGGGTCACAAATGGGTACCCGGCCAGGTACGGGTATCCGTTCCCTACCCTTACCCGTACCCTACCCCAAATGAGTGATAGACGGTTACTCACCAGTGACTCACGGCCTACCCGTACCCGTACCCGGCCGGGGGAACGGGTAGCCGGGTATCGGGTAGGGTACGGGTATCGAATACCCGATTGCGACCTCTGGTTTGGGCTGTTGGGACGTGAATGAAAGTTTCCTTCACCGATATCCCCTCACGGTGAGCTCTCCGTTTCTCCGAGTTTGTCACTGCGTCGTTAGAACTGTTTCCGTCTCGCCCGGTGTTTGGCATTAAAATGTTCCTATTCATATCTGGAGATATAGGACGGAGTTCCGCTTAGGACAGCGCATGTATTTTCTTTCACCAACATTGTCGCGTAATTAGTTTGCGCAATTTTTTTTCTGATGTTAGGAAGCTTCTGGAGCTGTGCACTTTCAAATCTAGTTTGAAAATGTGTTTCTTAAGAACTGCTTTCTGTGTTTTAGTTTTTTTGTCCTGTTCTCCGCACCTCCGATTAGTTGGCTATGTCCGGTGTGAAATAAGTTCTACGTACATGTTTGACATCCAGTCTACCTTATTGTTTTCATTACTTACATCGTCCCTGTAACTCAGTGTTGAATGACTCTCCTCTCATGTGATCACAGATCAAGGTCTCCGTGCAGTCCAGCACGGGCGACTGCGTGCGGACGTACCGCCCTGAGATCCCACACGGGAAGCTCACGTACAACTCCATGGTGCTACACGTGAAGACCTCGGAGCCAGACAACCTGCTCTTCTACCTGGGAGGCTCCCAGAACGTGTGTAACAAAGACAAAGATCCCCCAGTATAGCCCTTAGCAGACTCTTGGGGCAAGTTCTGTTGGCGAGCACCGAAATGAAGGCCCCGGCACACGAGGGGGTGGGTGGCCAGCAGAACGCCCGGCCGCCAGTGTCTTCCGGGTGGCGATGTTTTTAAACGTCACACTAGTGACTCTAGTAGTAGGTTTTTACCCTTTAAACTGGTACAAAACTGACATCTTTATACAATTTCGATTTAAAGCTTTCGTGACTGCAGGGATTCATCTTCTTGGTTCTTTCGGTAAAGTCACGTAGAAGGGAAGTAATAAAATAATAAAAATAAAACATAATAAAACAATTCTCACGACGTTTCGGCCACAACGCAAGCAGCCGTCCTCAGGTGAAAACCAGGTCCGTCGAGGCGACAGAGTCTGAATGAAACAGCACACGGGCTTGGAGCATATATATATAAGCTGGGCGCATTGACAAAGGAATTTGCATATCAATAGGAATTTAGCATATTTATGGGAAATGCAGGAATGTGATTAGTACTGCATATGCATGTGCATTATGCAGGATTAACAGCATCAAAGGGAGCTGCAGTTACTGCTGCTGCAGCAGTTGCTGCTGCTGCTGCAGTTTCTGCTGCTGCTGCAGTTGCTGCTGCTGCTGCAGTTGCTGCTGCTGCTGCACTTGCTGCTGCTGCTGCACTTGCAGCAGCAGCAGCAACTGCAGCAGCAGCAGAAACTGCAGCAGCAGCAGCAACTGCTGCAGCAGCAGTAACTGCAGCTCCCTTTGATGCTGTTAATCCTGCATAATGCACATGCATATGCAGTACTAATCACATTCCTGCATTTCCCATAAATATGCTAAATTCCTATTGATATGCAAATTCCTTTGTCAATGCGCCCAGCTTATATATATATGCTCCAAGCCCGTGTGCTGTTTCATTCAGACTCTGTCGCCTCGACGGACCTGGTTTTCACCTGAGGACGGCTGCTTGCGTTGTGGCCGAAACGTCGTGAGAATTGTTTTATTATGTTTTATTTTTATTATTTTATTACTTCCCTTCTACGTGACTTTACCGAAAGAACCAAGAAGATCTTTATACAAGGCATCATGTTTGCAATAACCGCAACACAAGCAGTCAAAATGCAAACAAAAAGAAACAACTCTGATAATGGTAATGATATGCACTGTCCTTGAAGTTGATAGGTCCACACCCGAGACAGCTTTCCTTAGAGCCTAGTCTCCATTGGTGTTGGACCAGATGACGCCAAAAGGCGTACAACTCAAAAACAGCGCACTATCAGAGTATTGAGAGCTCGGGGTAAGCTTTACACTATGATACCTCCTTTACTAGTGACTCTGTTGAGGCCGAGTTCACCTCGGAAAGGCCCAGGACCAGTTTTTTTATTTTATTGTCGCTGGTGTTGGCCATAATCGGGAATCGAACTCGTGTCGCCTTGTTCGTAGCGCAGCGCTGCTTAACCGCTGCACCACCACTCGTACACGCACATATTGGTACTTGGCCATACTTCACCACACTGGTCAGTGCGGGTTGGTGAAAGCGGAGACCATAACATGCGGGAGACCCCCATTCCCCCCCCCACCCTTCCCCCTTCTTTCCTCCGCTCCCTCTGCTCCCTTAATTTCTACTTCCCTCACCTTCCCTTCCCATGTAAAAATGCAGATTCCCTGCTCTGTCGGTGGGGCAGTGAGGCCTAATCTCCCCCCCTTCCTCCTAACTCGGGAGCACAGCGTTTGGGACTCAAGTCCACGGAGTTTCTGTACTCCCTTCCCCCCCCCCCCTCTGTACCGGGCTCCTCTTGAAATATAATTAAAACGTGCAAAAAACAGATGCGGGAGAACGGACATGTGCCGCAGAGTAAAACAAACAAAAAACTTCTTGCTTCTTTCGGTAAAGTCACGTAGAAGGGAAATAATAAAATAATAGAAATAAACCAATAAAATAAATTTAATTTTTTTTATTTTATTATGTTTTTTTTCTATAACTTTTTCTTTCGGTAAAGTCACGTAGAAGGGAAATAATAAAATAATAGAAATAAAACATAATAAAATAATTTTTTATTTTTTCATTTTATTATGTTTCATTTCTATTACTTTATTATTTCCCTTCTGCGTGACTTTACCGAAAGAACCAAGAAGATGAATCCCTGCGGTCACGAAAGCTTTAAATCGAAAAAAAACGCTAAAACGTTAAAGACGCTCGGCAAAGCAGCCTAAGGTGGCAAACCGAGCGCGGGAGGTGGGAGCCGCCGAACCGATTGCCGCCCCCTCCTTGTCGCCGGGCAGCCGGACTACATGGCGGTGGAGATGCGGCGAGGCCGGGTGAGCCTCGTGTGGGACGTTGGCTCGGGGCCCGGACGAGTCGAGTACACGGACCTGGCCATCAACGACGGCAACTGGTATCGCATCGAGGCGACCAGGTATGTGACCTGCGTCAGGGAAAGCCTCATGCGCGCGCGCGCTAGAGAGATGTTACACCTCGTGATTATAAGATCGGTTGCTGCATCAGCCTCGCAGAGTCGTTGTTGCTCGTTCCCGTGCACCTTGATTTACCATGCACGTCGGTTCATCCTGAAGGTGCTTGTGCAGTGTCATGCCATGTGTGTATATATAATAAGTGATCATTCACAGCCTCTTGCCAGTCCACTGCTCTATGAAGCCGACGCAACACCCTGTCCGTCATGGGGGGGGTTTGTTTGACCATACTTCACCACTCTGGTCAACGTCGGGGTGGTGAAGGGGGGTCCCAGCACTCGTTCATATGGCACTCACGCACGGATGTCACCTAATGGTTAGGGAATCCAATTCATGTTGGCTGATTAATCGAGCAGTGCGAAGATTACTACACCACCGCTCCTCCCTGCTGTACATCAACATTTCCCTATTTAGCCTTGCACACATGGAGTGCATATTTGGTTTGGTGTCTGCAACACATTACTGAGCAAGCAATTTGGTATTCAGGCAAAGCGTGCTCTATGCCCGAGCACAAGGAAGTAAAAAAAAAAATATGAAAAATACATAGCAATGTCTCCCAGTCACGTGATGATCCCACCGCAGCGATTCCTCAGCGCACATGCTGTTATTTCAGCTACCACTTATCTTATCTGAAAGGAATTTAAATAGCGCCTTAACCAAGGCACTTTACAAACAATTTACAACGGTACAATATATTAATCTAATGGTGGAGATGAGGTGAAATTAATTCGATGAGAGGAAGCAATGGGCAAACCTGTGATGTGGAAATTCGGTGAAATCGAAATTGATGACAGTAAATGTGTTGAACTTCTTTTGCACCGTACATAGCCAACCTTGCTAACTTGAGGTGCGGGGGAAAGGACAATAAACTAAACACAACAAAAACTCTTCTAAAGAAATGAGTGTTCAATCTACATGATTTAAAAGTGCACAGTTCCAGTGGCTTCCTAAAATCAGAAGGGAGAAACGTGCCAGATGATGGCCACCACAGGACCCCATCTGAAAGCGCACGACGCAGTGAAACTTTCACCAGCGGCGGTCTGTATCTGTCCACGCTTTGCAATGCCAGGGCCGACGGCGCGTGGTTTATACATTGGGCTCCATGCGTTCCCAGGTCCCTGAGGGTCGGCGCTCTCTCCATTCGGGCCTTCAAGGGCGACCGAGGCGGAGTGAGCCAGCTGCCCAGCAGCGGGACGTCACCCGAGGGAAATTCGGCCTTCGACGTGGACGAGACCACTCTGCTCTTCATCGGAGGCCTCACTGGAGGGGTCAAGGTGCGGGCGAGACGCGCCTCCTGTGGTCCATCTTGTAAAGCCACTGAACGTTGAGCCGCACCTGCGTCTGGCAGTGTGCTTTATTGCCCCCATTCCGCGTGTTGAGGCGAATATTATAATAATAGGGTTTTCCCCTTTTTCTGGCAACAAAGTGAAACTTTTTACGAGGAAACATGTTTACCTTTAGATTTGAAGCTTTCGTGACTGCAAGGATTCATACTCTTAGGTTTTTTCGGTAAAGTCACGTAGGTAAAAAATACAATTAAATTTAAAAAAAAAAAAATCACGACGTGTCGGAGGCAACACAAGCTTCCGTCTTCAGGTGGAACCGTCACAGCACGATTGCTGTATCAAGTAATTGCTATATCAAGTAATCGTGCTGTGACGGTTTCAGCTGAAGACGGAAAGCTTGTGTTACCTCCGAAACGTCGTGATTTTTTATTTTTATTTTACTTTTATTACTTTTATTTTTTACCTACGTGACTTTACCGAAAAAACTAAGAGTATGTTCACCTTTACCACAATACCTGCAGTCAGAATGCAAACAAAAAACACACTCTGATAACGTATGCATTGTCCTTGAAATTGATTGGTCCACACCAGAGACAGCTTTCCTTAGAGCCTCGTCTCTATCGTGGTTAATGTAAACATGTTTCCTTGTAAAAAGGTTTTGTTCCCGAAAAAAACCTATTATTATATTTTGGTATTGGCAAAGGAGGCCTCATGATGAGGCAAATATTGTCGGCGAGCGGCTCTCAAATCCCTCATGAAAAAAAAATGACGGGGCGGTGTGGCCAGCACCATGTCTGGCCACATTTGTCTCCACAGACGTTGATATTTTGTTACGCACCTCACCAGGTGGTAATTTTAAGGCTGAGGCCACTTAGGGGATGCCCAGCACCGCTTATGATATCACTTACCGCTGGCGTTTGCCGTGTCTGGAAATTGAATCTAGGTCACCGGGTTCATGCCGCACCACGCGAACCACTCCGCATCTGCTCCCCGCACTTCGCACCGACAAATGCACAAAAAAAGACAAAGATCCCCCGTAAAGGCTTGACAGGCTGTTGGGGCAAGTGCTGTTATTGAGCAACTATGAAGGCCTGAGCGCCACGCGAGGGGTGGGTGTCCAGCACCACTCCCGGCTGCCTTCGTCTCCCTTATGGCGATGTTTTTACACACCACACCAGGTAGTCAATTGAGGCTGACCTGACCTAGGAGAGGCCCAAGACCGGTTCAGATAATCATCACTGGTTTTGGCCATGAGCAGGAATTTAATTTGGATCACTGGGTTCGGAGCAAGTGCACACACACAGACAACCACACAGACACATACAACCAAGATGACACTGTAATGATGCTGATACAGTTGTTTCCCCTGCTGCCAGAAGGCCGATTCGGTGAAGGCCACCTCATTCAAGGGCTGCATGGGAGAGGCATTCCTGGATGGCCGCTCGGTCGGCTTGTGGAACTTCCGTGAGATGGAAGGAACTTGTGGTGGCTGTGAGATCAGGTAAGGCTGCCAACGTTCAACAATGAGGGTCGGAGTGTCAGCCAATGAATGGAGTGCGTCTGAGAGACCTTCCACGGCGGAGATGGAATAAAAATGATTACGTTGTAGGATCATGAGGGGTGACAGTGGCTAAGAGAGGTCGTCATCCCGCAGTGAATTGACCATGGCTGATGATTGATGTGACAATTGATGATCGTATTGGCATTCACAGCGTGAGATGTATCTACATTTCGATTTAAAGCTTTCGTGACTGCAGGGATTCATCTTCTTGGTTCTTTCGGTAAAGGCACGTAGAAGGGAAATAATAAAATAATAAAAATAAAACATAATAAAATAAATCTTATGACGTTTCGGCCACAACGCAAGCAGCCGTCCTCAGGTGAAGAACAGGTCTGTCGAGGAGACAGAGTCTGTCTTCACTTGAGTCTGTCTCCTCGACAGACCTGTTCTCCACCTGAAGACGGCTGCTTGCGTTGTGGCCGAAACGTCGTGAGAATTATTTTATTATGTTTTATTTTTATTATTTTATTATTTCCCTTCTACATGACTTTACCGAAAGAACCAAGAAGATGTATCTACATTGTCATTATTGACACGAAACGCATTGCCCCCCGCCGCCACGCTTCACCCATGTAGTTGTCATCATCAACCCAGTCATGGCCATGCTCCCGTCTTATGGTCATGCTTCCCGACTCATGCTGCCTTTGTATCGCAGTCCCCAGGCAGCCGAAACAGAGGTCTCCACACAGTTTGACGGCGAGGGCTTCGTGCCGGTGGACCGGCCAATCCGCTGGAACTCCGAAGTCTCCATCATCACCTTCAAGTTCCGCACCTTCTCCCCCAACGCTCTGCTCATGTACTTGGCCACCGCTGACAAGGCAAGCCGCTGTCCACCATTTGGGGGACCGCTCCCACACACATATTGCCCTCCCTGGATTAATGATGGGCAGCTGATGAGGGTTGAGGGATGGGGCAGATGAATGAAATGTTTGCATCGTTATAAATGACGTGCGTTAGTTGTCACTTTTACACGTGTTAGAAATAGCATTGTGATGTGGTGCGGTAGTCACAAATATGTTTTTGGCTTTATTCTTCATAATCGTTGTTAAGTTACGTGAATGCCCAAATCACCCGTGTTCAATGTTAATGCCATCTCCAGTATCATAATTACCGTTGATTTTCTATGAACAACTCCCGAGAAATTTGTAATTGCTTACAAGTGAGCCTGTTTTAAATTGTAACGCAATTGTCAGTTGAATGCGTAGCAGCAGGCTTTCGCGACCAATATCATCCATAACAGAGGTTTCTTTTTTTGGTTAGATCGCGTAAAAATATAAATGTGTCGTTAAAACCCACCACCACCCGACACAGCCAACTAGTAAGGGTTGTCATGTAAACAGAATGTGCCAATTTGTCACTAGTACAGCACACCGGTGTGTTGGAGAGCCAAGCTACAACATATACAATCTGAGTACAGTGATGTTTTGCCAGTAATTACAACCAGCCTCATCAGGCGACAGCCAGATTTGTGGAGAAGTCCACCTGTTTCGTTCCTTATATAAAGGCGTGTATGTGGTGACCACGCTTCTGCACTCTTGCGCATATTTCTGTAAGGTGATGAGCTGTGACGTAACGCGTGTGAATTAAAAAAAATACTAAAATAATAAACGTTGCTCTCCTGGCACTGCTGTGTGCCACAGAAGGACTTCTTGTCCATCGAGCTGGTGAACGGGCAGGTGCGCGTGTGGTACGACCTGGGCAGTGGACCAGGGAACGTGACCAGCGACAACAAGCACAACGACGGCAACTGGAGGAGCCTCAAGTTCTCGCGCAGCAAACAGATGGGTGCGACCGCGGGTGGCGCTCGCCAAACACGCCCGTCGCTCACGTCTGCGCATCCCGCGTTTTTTGGAAACGCCGATGCGTTTCAAAGAATCGGCGCGCACAAAGCGAAACCGGACGAGGAGACCGCTGCCTGCCGAGTAGCGCACGCACAGTACATCCAGTACACGCTCAACGACGTTGTCCCGCGTCCGAACGCATAGCCGCGCTTTGAGCAAATTCAAACCTCGATTGAAAGCTTTCGTGACTGCAGGGATTCATCTTCTTGGTTCTTTCGGTAAAGTCACGTAGAAGGGAAGTAATAAAATAATAAAATTAAACATAATAAAATAATTCTCATGACGTTTCGGCTACAACGCAAGCAGCCGTCTTCACGTGAAGAATGGCAGTGTTTCATTCTTCAGCTGAAGACGGCTGCTTGCGTTGTAGCCGAAACGTCGTGAGAATTATTTTATTATGTTATATTTTGATTATTTTATTACTTCCCTTCTACTTGACTTTACCGAAAGAACCAAGAAGACGAATTCAAACCGCATAGCGGAGATCATTTTGGGTAGAAATGGGTCGCGCAAAACGAACCCACGTAAAGCGAGGGAAAAAACCTGCATTTTGTGAAATGTGGTGACACGATACTGCCCTTGGCTTTTTGCGGTTGTGCCGTTCCAAACGAAGCTGCCAGCACGTGGAGCGAAAGGTCAGATATCGTGCCGTACAATGCGCGGTACAAACCTGAAAACACATTGGAGAGCTAAACATGATGACTTTATGATAATTGGTTTTTTACCCTTCTATCTGGCAACAAAACTGACACCTTTTTGCAAGGAGTCATGTTTGCATAGACCGCAATACCTGCAGTCATAATACAAACAAAAGAACATAACTCTGATAATGTGCACTGTCCTTGAAGTTGATTGGTCCACACCCGAGACAGCTTTCCTTCGAGCCTAGTCTCATATGGGTTGGACCAGATGACGCCAAAAGGCGCACAACTCAAGGACAATGCACCATCAGAGTATGAGAGCTCGGGGCAAGCATCTGTTGCCAGATAGAAGGGTAAAAAACCCATTATCATATTTTTACTGGCAAATGAGGTCCCCATAGTGATGATGACTTTATGATTCAAAAAGTCGCTATTCAATAACAAATTAATTACTTTATATTGTAGACCAATGTCGCGGCTGCTCGTGTGACGTTAACCCATTGTGTACAACATTAAAAGAAGAAGGAGAAAACACCAATTCTCAAGTACGCAATTTGATGCATGTTTTGCGGGCTTCAGCATCGATATTTCTCCAATCAATTTTGCTCCATATTTCTCTATTAATCAATGCATCGCCAAACCTCTATTATTGGCTCTGGAATTGTGCCAGCACATTTAGTGGTCCATTGATGGATCCTGGAGGTTAGGGGCGGAATAAGCGTATACACATATACATGATTGCCATGCCTTGTGATTTTGTGTTATTTCCTGTTAGTCGGCTAATGCATGTATGTTGAACTTCTTTCGCATCGTATCTAGCCAACTGTGATAATCGCAGGTGTGGGGGAAGAACACTTAGGGGATGTCCAGAACCGGTTATGATATCACTGCTGATGTTTTCCATATCTGGGAATCGTACCAAGGTCACTGGGTTCATGCTGCACTGCGCGAACAACTCCACATCTGCTCCCCACACTTCCCACCCACAAACGCACACCAAGATCCCCCAGTATAGCCTCAACAGACTGTTGGGACGAGTGCCGTTAATGGAGCACCTAATGAAGGCCGGAACGGCTTCAGCTTTGCTGCCAATTGGAAGCTCCGGCGTAGCGTGTGGGTTGGGTCGATGCTCGTGTCGTCTCCTGCCTGCAAGCGTCACGGCGCGAAAGGCCTCTTCTTTGACCACTTGTTGTTTGGTGGGTGCGTGTGTCGAACAGGCACGCTGATCGTTGAGGACGAAGCTCGCAACGTGGTGAACAAGAAGAGCAGGTCGCAGGGCGCTTCGGGAGGTCTCAATCTCTCCTCCATGGATCTCATTTACTTTGGCGGGCTCCCCGAAGGGGTTCTACCCAGGTATGTAAGCAAGGTCCCCCTGTGGCATTAATAGGGCTGTCAAATTTCGGGCCCCGTAATTTCCTTCACAGCGATGGGAGATTGGCAGTGGTGAGCTATTTTTTGCAGCCGCGAACAATACTTTCGGGACACGACTATGCCTCCAAGGTCTTTATATATATTTTAAAAAATTCCATCTTTAGCCTATTTAGCATACCAGGCTTTGTGCCTGCTCTTTATTTTAAAGGTGCACGGGGAGATAAATTTGAGTAGTGACATACATGAAAGGGAAGTGGGAACGTTTATCGCGTGAAAAAATGTCATTGGCAAAGCGAGGGGGGGGATAAAAGGTTTGGCCAATGGGTTTTTAAATGTGTTGCATATATTAAATTTCGATTTAAAGCTTTCGTGACTGCAGGGATTAATCTTCTTGGTTCTTTCGGTAAAGTCACGTAGAAGGGAAGTAATAAAATAATAAAAATATATTACTATATTATATTATTTTATTATGTTTTATTTTTATTATTTTATTACTTCCCTTCTACGTGACTTTACCGAAAGAACCAAGAAGATGCATATATTAAGTTGCAAAAAGCTGCTGTTGCGGCTGCTGCTGCTGCTGCGGCTGCTGCTCCTGCTGCTGCTGCACGGATTTCTCACTGCGACTGACCGCTGCTGTGCTCACAGGGGCGAGGTGAAGAGCCGAACGTTCACCGGATGCATAAAGGGTGTGGAGATCTCACGCAGCTACTTCAACCTGCTCACCTTTAAGAACTCCATTGGGGTTAAAAAGGGCTGCTCACTCGAGGTGACGGAGCCGTCTCTTCACACGTGCATGTTGTGTTGTCTTTTTTTGCTTTTGCGCATTGAGGGAGGGCCCCGTGGCTTACACGGAGAGCTCGTGCCGACAACGTCTGGCCATCCGAAAAGGCCGACTCTGCTGACGCCACCACCTGAGTTTTTCTCGCTTCAACAAAATGCTGCTTCATAATATTGGTCCGGAAAGCCAGTGGGGCTGATGGACTATACATGTTGAACAAGGAGTTCAACATGTGTAGTTGTTGCACGTGCGATCCTCTCGAAATTGCTAATGCGTTGAGAAGAATTTCATGCAATTGTCATTTAGAGTAAACATGATGATTTTTCAAGTTTCTACAGTACCTACAAATATAGAGCATAACTTTGATTTTTAAAAAAATCACATTTAGCATGACTTCACTGCACTGTCCCCGTCATGAGATAAAAAAAAGTCTGTTAAAAAAAACCTCACACATGATGCAGTATGCATCATCTTCCTTTAGAAATTCAACATGTGGAAGATGATAACCACATATCCCACTTGAGGTCCCTTCCAGTGACATCTTCTTATCCACCTTAGGCGGCAGCATTTTCCCACCAAACCCTGCTTTAGAGACGTCAGTCTGCCATGGGGCAGACGAGCCCACATTGTTAATGAAAGAAAATGGAATTGAGCCGAAAAATCAAGTGCAAATTCCAATTTCAATGTCGAGGCGTAGTTTTTTTGCGCGAGGCAATTTGATGACTGGATTGAGATCATAGTTGGGCTATACAAATGTTTAAATTATCGATTACTCTCCCGACTATCAGTTCGATGATTGGACTAATCGGATAAGAAAATATTTTGGGGGTGGAAGTCTCGCCACTGTTCCCACGTGTGACGCTGGACGGGAGGTTTCGATTCCCTTATCTCCCGCCATGTGGCTTGTACGAGGGACCACCGTTTTTAAACGGAGCCCCCCCGAGTAACTGACCACAAAAACAAGAAGTATTTGATTTGGCAATTTGTCAATTGCAACTGACTTAGTCGACTAATCATCCCGGCACTAATCGACGTCACGAAGTCGCCACCCAATTTAGTCACATGACCCAGGATCCCCGTGCCCGCTGACTCTTGAGCCACCTCCAGTCTTATTGTCCATGCTGCTGCTCGCAAAGATGACGACGACGGTGCCAACACTGACGGCTGCTTCTCTGTCACCTGTGTGCAGCACGTTCACATGGTGAGCATAGAGTCGCCCGGGTTCGTGGAGCTGCCGGCAACCACCGCGTCTCTTCCGCCCTCATCCGAGATCTCCTTCTCCTTCTCCTCGACTAACGCTTCGGGTCTTCTGCTTCACGCAGCCGGGGAGCAGTCGCCGAGAGTCGTCCGCAAGCGGAGGCAGAGCGGCGTGGTGAGTCACCCCCCCTCCCCCCCCGTGTCCCTGCGCGTGCTCCGCCCCCTGTCGTCGTGGGCCTGACTTGTCGACAAATATACAGATCCTTGCGGGGATGCTTCCGCACATCGAGCGAATTCAAACTGCGTGGCAGAGAGGAATTCTGTGGTGCGATGGCAAGCAAGCTGGATTTGCAATCGAGAGGTCGTTGGTTCGATTCGACGTCAGGGCTTCGCGACCACGTGTGAGTGAGCACAACCGGAATGACGTCAACTTCGGAGCAGGGAGCAATGAAGTGAGCCTGTGTGCCGGAGCCACGTGAATTGTGTGGCACCGTGAGACTATAAACAGATGGCAACAACAGCGGGGAATAAGATGGCTGATACACCATTGGAACCTCATTTGGCAGTAAAAAATATGATAATTGTTTTTTTACCCTTCTATCTGGCAACAAAACTGACACCTTTTTTTACAAGGAGTCATGTTTGCATAGACCACAATACCTGCAGTCATAATGCAAACAAAACACATAACTCTGATAATGTGCACTGTCCTTGAAGTTGATTTGTCCACACCCGAGACAGCTTTCCTTAGAGCCTAGTCTCACATGGGTTTGACCAGATGACGCCAAAAGGCGCACATTATCAGAGTTATGTTTTTTGCTTGCATTATGGCTGCAGGTATTGTGGTCTATGCAAACATGACTCCTTGTAAAAAAAGGTGTCAGTTTTGTTGCCAGATAGAAGGGTAAAAAAACAATTATCAAGATGGCTGATGTTGACGACGGTTTTCATTTAAATATGTCCATGCATCAGCTTCCACTGCCCATGCCCTGCACACACTCTTTAACAGAAACGCGCAGTCTGCCCGCGTTCAGTTGCTCACTGTGTGCATATCCACGGATAACCACAAGAGGACAGTGTTGGCAGAGAAGCCGGCTAAGTGCGTCTATTCTTTGGGTCTTTCGGTAAAGTCACTTATGAATTCCTGCAGTCACGAAAGTCAAGAAATAAAAATAAAATAAACAAAAAACTACGACGTTTCGATCACAACGCAAGCGATCGTCATCAGGAGGAAAGAGGGGGGGAAAGCCACTGAATGCACACTGTTTTATACTTATCTACGTGACTTTACCGAAAGACCCAAAGAATATGAATTTCTGCAGTCACGAAAGCTTTAAGTCGAGATTTAAGTGCGTCTATCTTCTTGGTTCTTTCGGTAAAGTCACGTAGAATGGAAATAATAAAATAATAAAAATAAAACATAAAATAATTCTCACGACGTTTCCGCCACAATTATGTTTTATTTTTATTATGCTATTATTTCCATTCTATGTGACTTTACCGAGAATATGAAATTTAAATCGAAATCTAAGTGCGTCTAGTTTTGTGATATTTACACAACAGACCTTTCTGACCCCCCGCCCCCCTCCCCCCACTGCGTTTGCAGCCTTACTACGCCGTGTACCTCCTCGACGGGAACCTGGAGGTGCTGTTCAGCACCGGCGATGCCACGCGCAAGATCGTCAAGAAGTCAACGGGCGGTTCCTACAGCGATGGCAGGGAGCACGCGGTGGTTGTCAGCAGGCGGCAGCGGTGAGTGGTACCGGCGCGTGGGACCGGTCGATCGATCGTGGATGAGACGACCGAGTTCAAACTCTTTTTGCGTGACTGTGCAGCAGCGTGGGTAAAGTGATGGATACAAGCGCAACTCTGTACTGTCTCCACATGTAGATGAACGTATTTCTCTCCTAGTTTTTTTGTTCTTTTTCTTATGCCTTTGTAAGTATCCAAGATCACACCTGGGGGCTCCGATAGTTCCATCTGTTTACTGTGGATGTGTTTATCCCGTGTATCCTGATTCTGTTTGTCTCTGTGTTTTTTTTTTACCGTAATGTAGGGTCATTGCCCTGTTGGCTTTTCAGACCAGCAAGCAAACTCCGAACCGGTTTCAATCTTCTGGGGTCTCATCAGCAGACTCAAGCTTGTTAATCAAATGTTGCCGGCTTTAACCGATGCCATTGGCAAGAGCACTCGATCTAAACTATGGGGATGCGTTCACCACAAAGGCAATATTCTATACAAAACTCATTATGCGTTTCCAGGACACCATTGAGTAAAAGCACAGAACACCGTGCTGTTTCCACGTGCAAATAAAAACATTACGATGCGAGTAGCCGTAGTAACATCAAGCGTCAAACGTTGGAAGACGCAGCGTCGGACAGAGAAGTAAAGTGGTGAGACAACTGCAAGCGGATTTTACTGAAGGAAACGGTTATGCCCCGACAGCCCAAACGGACGAGGAGGATTGTAACAGTAGAGGGCAATTGGGAGCAGTGATGCTGCCCAATGCCCGAGGAGCAGAAAGAGAGATCGCCCAGGAAAGGGCAGCATGGAGAAGGTTGGCAAGGCGTAGCAGAGACCCCCACATGAGTGGGACAAACGCGTGGAAGAAGAAGAAGAAGATTGGGCAGCAAGGATGCAGCGGTTCAGCGATTCCCATAGATTGTTGTGCTGGCGATACACGCAGTCATTTGTGTGTCTACAAAGCAGTGCTTTATAATTGATGTAGAGGTTTTGTGCAAGTGTTATGGTTATGCTGATAGAAAACAAACAACTGGAAACAAGCAAAACAAATATGCGAGGATAGATGATGCTTTAGACAGACAGAACATATGAAAAAAATAAGATTATTTGTGTTTTCCTTGAATCCTAACCCCATATCAATGGGTTTACTATGTATGCACAGGTTATGCAACTTACGTGCCAATATTACCTTGACACTCATTAAACAATGACTCAGAACAAACCGGACGTAATTCATGAGATAGAAAATCCAAACCCAGGCGTTATGAAACGGAGTAAAATTGTAATTTATTAGATCTCCGTGAGTTGAAGCATGAGGCCCACATTATTACAACTCATTGAGCTGCTGAGGTGAATCGCTCAATGCCAAAGTGGTATGAGAACCGTTTATTCATTTTAGAACATGTAGCAACACGCAGTTGTCATTCACAATCGTCGGCGTGCCAATACCCAGCCAGAACAAAAACCAACAATTGCCAAAGCTCTGTCATCCTATACTGCGATATTTGGCCAACTCCTACTGCACCCAGATTAATAATAATCTGGGTGTAGTAGGGTGACAATCAATCCCGTGTAGGGACGTAAATGAATCCACTTGCTGTACTGCCATACCTCGGCAAGCCAGGAGATGTCGACCTCTGTGCCCACGGGAATTCCGTGAATTTGCGTGATCCGCCAACCCTCATCATGGGACAAACCTGGAAGCTTGAGCATGGCTGCACCCCACTCACTCCAGTGGAGGCAGTGTTCTTTCGCAGGCAGGCAGCGCTCCGTTTGTTTGTGCAGGCGTTATTGGGTAATGGAAACCGCCTCTAGGTTTTCCACAGGGAATAGGTAAAGGCAAGGGGGAGGGGGAGACTGGGGGTGCGCAAAGGGGTGCACCATTATTTTGCAAAACTCAACGCCGATGCAGTTACATGCCGCAAAGGGCTAGCTTTGCCTGTATTTCTTTTACAGTCTAAGAGTATATATATTAATAATATGGCTTGCGCATAATCATCGTAATTAGGATAATGTTAGAGGGCTGGCTGGGGAAACACTAGCCATAATTTTTTTGTTGTAACTTTCCAAATGTCCCGCGAGTATAATTGCCTCCATTTCCAGCTAATGCTCTCTCAATACCCACCGTAATGCGCTGCATTACGCAACCGAGAGTCGGGTTAAGGTTTTATGGAGTGCGGTGCAGTTGAATAACTGCGAGCCCATCCTCCCCATGGGTAATCAATTTGCACACCCGCAAACACACAAGTGTGCACGCACGCACGCAAGCAGGGGACATGAGCACGCACCGGCTAACCCGAATGTGTTCCGCGTGGGCAGGGTGGTGCGCATGTCGGTGGACGACAGCCCGTCCCGGGACGCAAATCTGGGCAGCGACGGAGAGATCACGGTGGCCAGGTTGTTCGTGGGAGGGACGTCGGCCGGATACAGCCCTCCCAGCAGTGTCCCAGTGCACACATACACGGGCTGTGTGCAGAACATCATCGTCAATGGAGTGTGAGCAACCACCCCGGGACACTCGGCCATGGGCGGGTGGTAGCTTTCACTAAAGCGGGTCATCCATTTCACGTGTTGTACAATTCCTATAATGTTTTGCTTTTGTTTAAAAGCCATGCCCGTGGTGTATAATGGTTAGCATGCTGGACTTGCAATCCAGAGGTCACCGGTTCAATCTCCCAGCAAAGGGGGTGAAACATCGGTATTGTTTTTTAATGCCCCCACCCAGCAACGCATGGGTCCACCCATCAAGCACAGTTAGTTGATCGGCAGGTCACATTGGTGGGGTAAAGTGTGGGTACTCCAACCCCTTCCAAGACGTTTCGCCAGCGTGGAAGATGAGGCCAAATGCCCTCTGATGAGGCTCTCTCTAAGAGCTCCCGCTCATAGGTGGAGGCCCTTCTTGCTGAAGTGGTGTGCGTAAATAATTGAAAAAGCTGCGCGTTTTTAATCCAAATGGCCGCAGTAAACGATATTTGGCTCCTGATGGATTTTAATGATGGGTTTCTTATGTTCACGTTGGTTTTTATTGTCAAGGGTGGGCAATACGCGTAACGTTTAATGTGCACTGTGTTTACGTTCAATCGCCTTGGCATCCATTGTGGTGTGGTTATTCGGAAATACCACTTGCAGTTTACATTATGATTACATTATTTTTCTTCTGAACGTACACTTTTTTGGGGGGCAGTGGTGGGGGGGGGGGCAGTGGGGGGTGGGGGAGGGGTTGCTCATTTACCCTTTAAAAGCTCGAAAAAGTAACACCGCAAATAATCTGACAAACGGCCCGAACGTGCATTGTTATGCATCGCTGTAACAGTGCAGACCTTTCCTGAGAACGTGATTAACTGCGGAGGCGTGGAGCACGAGAAAGGGTTGGTTGGGGGGGGGTGGGGGAGATAAGGTAGGAGTGATGTAGCCTCGTTGCATGGCTACTTAAGCTCCCCGGGGAGGAAAGGCCACGATACTTTTTCTCCCGGTCCAAATGTGCCGCAGCTGCTCGCGACAGCACACAGCCGTGGCCACAGCAGCAGCAGCAGCGGCAGCAGCAGCGGCGCGATCATCGCAGCTCCCGTTTCCTCCCCCCCCCCCTCCCCCCATCTTGGGCGTCATGCAGGCTGCAAGACTTTGCCCACTCTCTAAACTTCGACAACGTGGACATCGGGCGGTGTCGGACATCGGAGCCGCAGTGGAGGGCGACGATGCAGCCCACGGGGAGGAAGGCCGGGGGGGGCTCCGGGCGGGCGGTAGTGGTCCCTGCGCTGAACAGGCCCCAGCCCGGCAGAGGCTTACCCACTCCTCCTCCTCATGCTGCTCCAAACAAGCCCGCCAGCACCACAGCTCAAGTACGCCGAAATCAGTCCATTGGTCGTGCACGCGCCATGCATTCGAAAAGTTTGTCCTGGAGGCCACAAAACAGCCGAGCGCGCTGCGACAAACGGCACTTCAAAATGCGTGAAAGATGAGGATCCGATTGTTTCTTTAAGTCGACGTGGCTATCGGAACTTGGCAAAAAGAGGGAAATTCACAGTCGAGAAGTGTGAGCAACGAGGCAGAAAATAATAGTTTCTGCTTGCAGTGTGGTGGTTGAACAGAGTGTGAATGAGACACCGACAGGGTTTCTGCAGCCCTAGTTGAGCTGTGAGCCACCTCCTGCAGCTACAGGGATGACAAAAATATAGGCAATTGTCTCATTGGAAGCACGCAGACAATGACTGTTGGAAGGTCATGTGACAATTAAGTTCAATCGTTGAGCTCAACAAACAACTCTTGCATGGCGTGAACAGCTTCAAAGATCACACTGAGCTTCGCAGTATTTTTATATGTGCTAATTCCCAAAGTAAAACTCTGAAGTGTTCTAATAAAGCGAAATTAATGGCTGATTACCATGTAAGCAAAGTTAAAAGAAACACTGTTGTTGTTTTATCTTTAATGTGCCCTCATGTAGGCAATTACTAAGTGGAACGTGTTTGTGTTTAGAAATTGAAGTTTATTTGTGCAGCCCTTGGAGCATGCTCCCACTCACTGTGCACGGCATGTGTCTTCAGACTTTGCGTTTCCATTGCCTTGTTATTAAAGTACGACTTAAAATGTTACAAAATTAGTCCTCATTGTGGTTTATATATTAGTCACAACCAAGTTAAATACGTACATCTTCTGAGCACATTAAATCTGCACGAGCCAGCTAGAATATATTATTCTGCTATTTGTGGTATGGGAATGAACAATTAGCATTTCATTATAGTGATGCGTGGAAGTAACATTTTAATTAAAATTACCATCCAAAAAACCAAGCTTTGTTTTGCAACGTTTCATGTTTAATATGAACACTAATTAGAAAGCTAATAACCAAAAATACTTTAACATAAATGCTGATGCAATATGCAATAAATCAAGCACTCCACTGCATCAATAGCATTCGAGAGATAAGTACTATTATGTAAATAGAGTGGAGTGGTAATGCATTAGTGAGCTACACTATGAATATATGAATCCACCTAATCTGAGTTTGCTTCCCAGCCACAGCTAACATCGGTGGCAAATGATATCTGAATTGATAAAGGGCCCCCCTCCCTTCACCAAACCACACTGACCAGTGTGGTGAAGTGCTGCATAGCCCGACATCTCCATGACCGACACAGAATGTGGTTTTCAGCCAGTAATTCATTGAAAAACGGCTGGAAATTATGACTATTATTTTACTGTGAAATAACAAATGAATTTCAAAAATTATACTTTCCATGTGCTATGACGAAGGGTCATTGCGCAAAGAATCGCCTATGCTATATGTTTTTCCCATGTAAGAGGCAGTGTAATTTATGAATGTGAGGTTTTTTGGTTTATTTTGGCTGTGTATCAACACTGCCAATGCAGAATCACCAAATAATGAATTTACTTATTAAACATTGCAATGTGGGATCCAAGTACAGCATCGGAATTGATGAAGGTGTCGCGAGACCCGGCGAGGCTTTTCTGGGTTAATCAGGGTCATTTCTATCGACGCATGGGCGTCTCTTCCAGATGCCGGTGCGGTGCGCTGTCGAAGCTGCGGCTTCTCTCGAAGCCAACAGTCTGCAATTCGGCCTGAAGAAGGACAGCCATGCCGTTCTGACCTTCGACAGGGACACGGTGAAACGCAGGTCAGCCCCTTTGTCTCCGCACAACAGCCCTGTGTGTACAATGGGGTTGTGCTGTTGGTGCACTGCAAAGCCCGAAATCATTACATTCGTGTAACAGCAATTTTTCCTGCCACCTTTAAAAAAACTAAAGTAGCCTTCACAGAAAACCTGCACAACTTTTCTTCGCAGACCATCGAATTTAACGTCGTATTACGATTTTCTTGCACCCACCAGATCATTCTCGGAAATGAGTTGTGACAACGTGCACGCTGATGATTTGCGCATTTTAGTTTTTTGTACAAATGTAGTCTCTCCCTTCCACCGATAGTGGAGGCTGCCGTGGGAAAGGCTTGCTCTGTTTGGGGTGCGCGACGGCGTGTGTGTAGGCTCGCGCTGCAGCTGAGCGTGCGGACACTGGCGAGCGATGGGCTGGTGCTCTACATGGGGAGTGCGAACAACCTCGCAGCGTTGCAGCTGATTGGTGGACGCCCGCAGTTCACCTTTGACTTGGGCAAAGGGGTCATTAAGGTCACGGCGGCACAACTAATCAACGACGGAACTTGGCATACGGTCAGTGCTGCAATAATCTTTTTTCGCGTGTTTTTTTTTGTTAACACACACTTGTAAAATTACCACCGCATTTAGCGTAAAAGAGAAAAATGCACTCATTAATTTCCTTCAGCGAGCGAGTGGTGTGCACCCATTTCAAGTGTTTTGTTTAAATGTTATGAGGGCTTGAGAAGGCACATTGCAAGAGTCTTATATTCTGTTTGAGCTTCAATAATGGAGGTTATTGATCCGTGTGGCTTAGCGTGTAATGTATAAACTGATCGTAGATTATTTTGAAAAAGTAAATAAATTCCCTTTTATCATTTATACAGAAATTTCCACTCAAAAATATATCCTCCCCACAAGATTAATCTTGAAAATGGGATCATTGCATTTTCTCAAAAGTGCTTTAAGGGGATTATTTTTTAAAAAGAAATAAAACTGTTGGTGTGTATGTATATATACACACACAAGTAACTGAGTAATCCTGGACATGTGAGAGAGTCTACGGAGATGGAAAAACATCTTCAAGGGAGCTCTGGGTTGCAAATATCACACTGGACACGTGTGAATAAACAGTAAATAAATGTAGATTGAAAACTCACTTTTTTAGAACTGCTTCTGACGTTCAGTTTGTTGTCCTTCACTCCGCACCTCCAATTAGCACGGTTGGCTACGTACGGTGTGAAATACGTTCAAAATACACATATACATACAAACAAATAAAACTCGCACGTAGGTTTGGAATATCAATCTAAACGGAGACACGGCGGAGCGTGGGCCACGGGTGCAGGTGCCTCCAGCCGCACGATCGATAGCTACACAGGCCACTGACGACGATGATCACGAACGAGGCGATTTTCTGAACCGTGACTCTGCTCTTGCCTGTGTGCCTGTGTGTGCGTGCTTGTTGGTGGTGGAGCGGTGGCGCAGTGGTTAGCGCACTGTGCTACTAACCAGGCGACCCGAGTTATATTCCCACTCATGGTCAACACCAGTGATGGTTAGCTGAACTTGGCTCAGCCTCAAATGAGTACCTGGTGTGATGTGCAAACATTGCCGTGAGGGGGACAAAGGCGGCCGGGCATGGTGCTGGCCACCCACCCCCTCGCGTGCCATGCCGGCCTTAATAGGCGCTCGCTGAACAGCACTTGCCCCGACACTCTGCTGAGGCTACACGGGGCGACCTTTGTCTTTGTGCGTGCAGTTGAGGGTCGAGCGCGGAAAGCGCAAGGTGGATCTGAGTGTGGACACCCGGCAGCGCGCCACCACCAAGCTGCCCAGCGTTAGCTCCAGCCTGGATGTGGAGAAGAGGCTTTACCTGGGCGGGGCCCCTGCTGGCGCACCCGGCATCAAGCGACTGGGCAACGTACGTTTGGCCTTCGGCGCGGGATTGAAGCAGACGTGGTGGTGGGCAGTGAAGCTCGCGGCTTGAAAAGGAAGGAGCCTTCTTCTTTGGCAGGCCATGCGCACGTGCTCCGTGATCAAAACTCCAAAGAGCAAAAGGAATATCCCTTTCAGTACTTTGTCGCATGTGTAAAATTTTACCCGTTGAATATCGCACATTTTGAACAAAGCAAAACAATGTCCTCTAGACCAAAATGTGGGAGATGCACAATCGATACATGTATCATGAGTGCAAGAATATATTGGAATAAATTCGTTATTACATATCTACTTATCACGCAAGTCCAAATCCTGGATTGGGTTGACTCGGCACATTTTATCGACCGCGGATGAATGATGAGTACCATTTTGTGGAAAAGTCAACGGTGGTTGACCTCTAGAGAGACCCCCACCGCAAGGAACAGGAATTTCCACCACTTGCCGAGGAATGTAAACAGCAGATGACCACCACCTTAGTTCTTCATTTAAGCAAGAAATAACTTCTGAGCATAAGAATTTAAATCGATGCATCGACGCATTTTCACATGCCCAAAAAATGTACGAATGACACTCTTTGCACGAACGTTTGTATTGTCTATCAGGTCACACACAGCTTGGCTGGATGCATCAGAGACTTCTCACTCAACGGTGCCAAGCACAGCCTCAGTCCAGCTACGTTTTCGCTGAACCATGTGGAGGGCTGCTATCAAAACGTGGAGCCTGGGTTTTACTTTCAGGGAACGGGATATGCCATGCTAGGTACGTTCGCCGGTGTAAACATTGGCAATGGCGCGTGCGTTTTTCCCTTTCCTTGTGGACCTGTGACATGCTTGCGTGCTGTTGCAGCAGGCAACACAGCTCCCATAAATAAGTCTTCAGTTTAAAATGCTCTAATTTTGGGGGCAAATGAACTCTGTGCGTCTGCCTGTACAAGGATGTGTGTACAGGTGATTCTGTAATAGCCATGGAAATAGCATGAAGAGGGGGGGAAAATAAATCGAAATTTCGTTTAATCTATGAACAGCCGTGTCGTCGATTCGAGATGCATTGCAAGGCTGCCTGTCCAGTGAGAGTGTTGTGGAATGTGTGAGACGAGAGTGGGTCAGTGGGGGAAGAGAGCGGGGCACTCTGCAGTGCGCTAGGTGTGGGGAAAGTGGAGTGAGGAGTGTGGGTAACTCGTGGGGATTAAGTGAAGTTGTTTTTGCAAGTACAGGAGCTGAGACGGCAGTGAGTGAAGTGCTAAGCAGGGGAGGGGCTTGAGCAGCAACGAAGGTATAGGTGCAGCCCTGCAATTGCTTGATCAATCCACTCCTGGCGGAAGGGCCTTAACTAGTGGGGGGGAGCTCTTGAGAGCTTCGCTACAGGGTATTTTTGGCCTACTCTTCCACGCTGGCCAGATATCTTAGAAGGGGCGGGAGTTACCCGCACTTTACGTGACCGACTAATCGATGATTACCGTTGTGTAACCATTACACCGCGGCAGCGTTCGCTGAATAGCGGAGCGTGGGTGAAATAACCAAACCGTGTTGGGTGGGGGTGAAACTACTCCAGAGAGTTTGGGATATTTAATAAAATTTCTAAGTAAAAAAAAAGGTAATTCCATGGAGCTATGCAACAAGAGACAAATATTCTAGATTTGAAGCTTTCGTGACTGCAAGGATTCATATTCTTAGATTTTTTCGGTAAAGTCACGTAGGTAAAAAAATTTAAATTAATAAAAGTAAAATAGAAATAAAATAAAAATCACGACGTTTCGGAGGCAACTCAAGCTTCCGTCTTCAGGTGGAACCGTCACAGCACGATAGCTGTATCTTAATTTTAATTTTTTACCTACGTGACTTTTACCGAAAAAACCTAAGAATAAGAGACAAATAGAACACAAGTATGTCACACAAGTATGCAACAATGAGTGCTAACCTTCGTTTTTGCGCACAGCGGCGGGAGGGTACCGCGTGGGCACGGACCTGGAGATTTCGCTGGAGTTCCGGACGACCCAGCTGGATGGGGTGCTCCTGGCCATCAGTAGCCCACGCATGGATGCCGTCGGCATCGAGCTGGTCGCTGGAAAGGTGAAACCACTTTCTTCCCTGCATTTGCGCGCTCTTCTCGTGTTTCCTTCCTTTTTTATCATTTCGGCGACCCAGGTGACTCTTGCAAATGAGACAATCCCGGTCTCTTTTGAGCTCTCGCCTGGTTAAACAAAATAAATAACGACACACAATTCTCCCGCCCTACATCAACCCTTCGGCATCTGTGCTGAACACCACGGCAGAAGTTGCAGATGATCAATCCTGCCTGTGAGAACTGCCAGGCAATTATTCGCAGAGGTTGTAAACGATGATAAATGCCAATAGGCGGCATTGTCCAAGTGAGACGTGGTTTTCCTAATAGCGTTATCGTTCAGAGGCATGCCATTTAGCGGGTCCTACTTGGGGTGACAAAGCACGTGAAGAATGAGTTTCTTCGCAGCAACAACAAAAAAAGTCGTCCTGACCTAACGACGGACTTACAATTCATCTCTGTTTTACCAATCCTTGAAATAAATGTACCGACAAAAATAATTTCAAGCTTTGACCATCAGCCATTTGTTCATTTACTCCTGAAATAAAGGCATTCCCTGGCCATTTGGTCATTGGGGTTGTTTGACCATACTTCACCATGCTGGTCACTGTGTGTTGGTGGAGGAGGAGGGGGGGTGCACAGGACTAGTGCAGCGATCACCCACAACTGATGTGAGCCATAGCCAGCAGTTGAACTTAGGTCACCAGGTTCATTACACAGGGGGGCAGTGGTGCAATATTCAAGTGCACTGCACTAGCGCACACTGCTATTACTTCTGTAATACATATGGGTGCGTGCATACTTTTATGCTTCTAAATGTTTCGTCTGCCTCTTGGTAGCCGTCACTTTGCAATGAAAAGTGACGGCTTAATTCTCATGAGAGAACAAGTTCTGTCTGTTTCATGCATTGTTTACCACCGCTGTCAGATGTGCACAACTGAGAGTAGAGAGTTCACTCAGTCTAGCATTCACTCACTGCCACAATAGATGTGTTTTACTTATTATTAATATTCGATTCAACCGTATTAGGGCTCTGCACCCACTTGTCTGCTGGCCTAGCTTGATAGGAGGTACGACAGCTTGGATGTTTGCAGTCACGATAATAGAATGTTTTATATTTGATGGATTAACAGTAATGTTAATCCATCAAAATACCCAAAATAATTCATTTAACAGCGCACTGCACGATGAATTTAATGGCCAAAATTAAATTCCCAGTCACATCGATGATGAGTTATATTTGAACCAATCCCGAAATTTCTCCACCGATTTTCCATCCTGCATTGCACAACGTGGTGAAGTATGGTTAAACAACTCCTATGGCCGCCATGGTGTGACGAAGCCTTCATCTGCAGTGGAGCGACAAAGCAGGCTTGAAATTATGATCATTAATACGTAACAGACAAGCATTGTTCTCATGTCCAGACGCGGATTACACTTGTTGAGCTATCATAAGAAAGAATGCGTACATGGGACAAGCATTGGCAGGGGAGGTGCTGGAGGATTTTCACGAGTGTATGCTCTTTTGTTTGTTGACGTATTATTACTGTATATGCAGTGCATTTAATGTGTACACGTGTATATAAACATCACGTAAATAACGGCAGTATGCAGCACATATGCTTTCTTTTGAAATTATTAAACATATCATTTGCAGCCAAACCACTTTTTAGAGTCGAGAAAAATAATTAACAATCCAGTCCAAATTTAATTAGCTCTAAGTCACCGCTGTGTGTGATCAGCCCTGTGGCCTTGTGATGAATGTGCCAGGCTTAGTTCAGTGGATTGGATGTTAGGATTGTGGGGGTGGGGTTGGTGGTTGTTGGTTGTGCTGGCGATGTGGGGTGTGGAGGGCTTCTATTTCAATGCCTGGCATTTATCCAGGCACTTTAAATAATTATCTGCCAAGCATCCGTCCAAATTGGGCCGGCCACCTGCTCTGGCCACTGCCTTGGCAGAATAAGCTTAAACGCTCCAGGCTTTGTTGCTGTTTGGAGAAAAAAAGCGTCGAATGAAGTTAATGTTTTCTCGTGCATCATTTTTTGATAAAGGACACGTAAGATAATTACACGAGGAATGCCTGCCACCTCGTTCGCACACAGTCACACGAGGCGCACATCTGAAATGTGCATTTTGATGATCCTGTCCTCCAGGTGCTATTCCACGCAGACAACGGAGCTGGCCGCTTCTCAGCCGAGCTCTCCCCGCTGGCATCAGCGGAGGCAGGGTCCGGTGGCACCGGTGCCGGCCACTTGTGCGATGGCCACTGGCACCGTTTGGAGGCCAGCAAGCTCAAGAACCGCCTGGTGCTGAAGGTTGATGGAGCCGCAACAGAGGCCGCCAGTCCACACCAATCCAACTCGGCCGACACGAATGACCCCGTCTACGTTGGCGGCTTCCGAGGTACGTGACTCGGAGGGGGGGTGGCACAGGTGGTCCACCGCCATGGGCCCAGATTTTTTTGTTTGTTTTGAGTTTTCTGTTTTCTCTTTTAATAGTTAATGGATCACAGGTGTTGTTATTTCAACTGAGTGCGCACGTTATTTGAAAAAAAATGTTCTGCTTCCACGATAACTACCTGGAAAATACAACGACCTGCAATGTTTAAACGTTTGACAGTTTGTATTGGCTGCTGTGCCTTTTGAATGCCTGACCCCAGGTCAATAGAACCATGAGTGAACGATTTTGTATGGAAGGCAACATTTGCACTCACTGCATGCCACCCACACATCGTAAATGGAAATTAATCTGTAAAGTTTCAGCCCTGAAATGTCTTGCTCATGCCACTGCTGAGACAGCCTCCTCTAGAAAACTGAAGATAGAACCCACTACATTCTAATTTATGCATCCGCACATCCTCGCCTGTGATTCTACACTGTTGCAAAAGCATTGATTGCATACATTTAACGTCAAATGACAGCATACTTTACATGAATTTCGATTGTAAGCTTTCGTGACTGCAGGGATTCATCTTCTTGGTTCTTTCGGTAAAGTCACATAGAATGGAAATAATAAAATAATAAAAATAAAACATTATAAAATCATTCTCACGACGTTTCGGCCACAACGCAAGCAGCCGTCCTCAGGTGAAGAACAGGTCTGTCAGAAAGACAGCATCTGAATGAACACCACCAGGCTTGGCAGCGTATATTTAAACGTCGTGAGAATTATTTTATTATGTTTTATTTTTATTATTTTGTTATACCCATTCTACGTGACTTTACCGAAAGAACCAAGAAGAACATACTTTACATGTTCCGTGTAAACATTTCCAGTTTGTTTGGTTTACTTACATGTGCCTTGATATCTTGTCTAATGCAGAGGGAGTGAAGCAGCATGCACTTACCACCCAAGTGCCTTTCCGGGGCTGCATTCGCAATCTTCGCTTCATGAAGAGCCACCAAATCCAGCCGCAAATTCACCTGGGAGAAGCCTCGGACATGATGGGCGTTCTGCCTCATTCCTGTCCGGCTCAAAGCTAGGCAAGTGGACTGGCTGTGGGGCATGTATGCTAGCCCAGCTATGTGTTTTTTTTTTTTTAACAATCCATTTTATTTAAAAAGAAGTTCAAAATTAAGCTTGATGGTGGTTGTTTCTGGGAAAACTCGTCGAGAAAATGGATTGGATCTATTTTATAACGCCTGAAAAACCAACCGTTTCCTAAATTATCTCACTCAATTTTGATTTTGCTCTTAATTGACACCCACCTCTAATGCATCATGTAGCATAGAATAAAATAAGTTTTGGTGCTCTAAAACAATCCCATAATAAACAAAATAACGTTTTAATTGTTTTATACAAAGAGGGTGCATTTACCCTGCTTACGGGTGATGTATTTACAATTGTACTGGAATATTATGGAATTCTTTTTTCATAGGACAAGAGGTTATTTTTGTTTTGCAATGCAGTAGCATTAATTAATACACATGCACAGTAATGTAGACCCTCACAGCTCGCATAGTTATAGAAAATAATCATCTCCTCGGCCTCATTTGCTCAGCAGCAGTGAAATCTGACAGCCATTCCATACTGCCTCTTGTGTTCTTTTAACCTTTTAATAATACATTGTAAAAAAAAAACATGACAGTATTCACACGTGTGCACAGAACACTGTAGCATCCCCAGAATGCACTGACACTTGTTTTACAGCACCTGCAGCCTCCTATAGCAATTTGCTGTTACACTGCTCGTGGTATTTATTGGTCAACCTTCTTATCAGTATTGGCTGAATTTCACATTCAGACCTGGCGCCTCCAATTGAAATGGTACCATAGTATCCTGCAGCAAAGGCGCGACCTCAATTCAGTGCTCAAAGATTATGTATCTGGATGGAATATGTCATCTGGAGGTGTTACAAGTCTCATCTTTTACATTTCGGGTAGAACAACTTAATCCCACCATACTCAAGCTGCCAATTGGCAGACTATATTACACTGTTATTTTAAGTCAGATAGAGGTTCCTGCACAATGATGTATTGTTTTGGAAATGGACGGTCCAGTGTTCTACGATCACAGAAGCTGCCCCATAGTAGCGCCATAGCTATTATTATTATGAAGTGATGCAGCTAACAGTATCACATGCAATGCCATGGCATTTGCGCTAAAGTTTCTAAACGGTTGTAATGGTACATTATGCAACATTGGAATCAAATTAACTTGTTATAAAATAGGCAATCCTGTAAAAAATATTTAATACATTTAAATAATTAAACCAATTGGAATACAAATATTTTCACCAAAACTCGTGTTCAAATTGCACGTTGCATCTATCGTGTGACCAATTCCAATGTTGTGTTTGGCAGTACGGCTGCCAGCAGTCACAATTTTTTTTTATCAAACTGGAGGCGAAGATGCAGCCCTGCAATCGCTGAAGCTTTCAATTTCAGTTTCATTCATTTATTTGGTATAGCCCTGTGAGCCATTCGGCTCTTGAAGCTACTGCTGATGAAAAGGCCCGTGCTAGGGGGAGCTCTAGAGCCCCTCCTCCAGGGTATTTGGCCTACTCTTCCACACCGACCAGACATCTGGGAAGAGATGGGAGTGCCCACATACTTTAACCCACCTCACAAGATCTGCCGGTCGACTATCTGTAGCGACAACATTGTTGCATTGTTTGTGAACATTGTGAGATGAACGATCAAAATAAGAATACATCACGGATGAACAGCGATTGACAATTTAATGTTTCGTACTTTATCTTCGCGCACACATTAACAAGTGTATGGTGTCTTCTTTTAATACAATGTATAGATGCGTCCATACGTCTTACTATTTTATTGGCTCTGAAACAGGTGACAAATTAGGAAATGTTTGCAAAAAGACAACACCTTGTGTGGATATACGATCACAGCACAATATCTAAGACTTGTGGGTGGACAATACAATAATGGGACATTCAACAGGCCGGTCTGCACGTGGTGTGTATGGTGCTCATATATTGATTTGGTCCATGTGGAGAAGTCTAAACCTACAATGCATATCCTTCACGTGCAAGTTTTGTGTGGGAAGTTTAAACTCTGCACACGTGTGCCATTTTTTATGTTGAGCCAATTTTTTTGAACATATATTCGAGCTACGAGCCATACTGATGGTTTTTTTCAGTGGTTTTAAATTGCCACATTTAAATTGTGCATTACAACTCGAATGTTTTAATGTTATGAGAAAGGTGCTATTTCTTAACTAGTTTTAACAGTGCTTTTAACGTGCAAAATAATCACGACTTGAACGCAATATTCTGTGAAGCCTTCATTTTTAGGTTCATTGTTAAACAGTGTTTTACAAACAAAATGGAACTGTTACACGTCATATCTCCTGTGTGTGTGTGCGTTATGGGGTTTGTTTTTTTACTTTTAGTTACCAAGTTTCATATTTAGTCAATAAACACCATCTTGTCACGAATTCAACGCACAAATGATTTTGTTATGCGCAGACCCGTTGCATATGGCGTATATGCCTTCACCTTTTCACATTACACTTTTATTTTTTATTTTTTTATTTTTTACAAAATGTTCCCCAAATAAAAGATGACTACACACCTACACTCTAAAATGGTTACGTGTTTAAAATAGCTTAACTTACTGCACTGAGACGCGTATCATATAAACTACTGTTACACAACTATTATGCTTTTTCTTTTTCAAAACTGACAAAAGCCAACAACACATTGTCATCTTCTTGGTTCTTTCGGTAAAGTCACGTAGAAGGGAAGTAATAAAATAATAAAACATCATAAAATAATTCTCACGACGTTTCGGCTACAACGCAAGCAGCCGTCTTCAGGTGAAGAATGAGGCTGCTTGCGTTGTAGCCGAAACGTCGTGAGAATTATTTTATTTTATTATGTTTTATTATTTTATTACTTCCCTTCTACGTGACTTTACCGAAAGAACCAAGAAGATGAATCCCTGCAGTCACGAAAGCTTTAAATCGAAACACATTGTCAGTTAGTGGTTGTGTTGCAGCATATACCATCATAATGTAACTCCACTTGCCTGTTCCTGTTGAACCAGACCTCTTGTAATGGTAGTGCACTCTTCAAATTGAAGCCAGCTCCTGGTGGTATTTTTCCAAGAACATTAGCATGGGTCTTAATGCAATGCCCTTGGCACACATAAGACCAAGTCATTCGTTACTATGCGCGGGGGGGGGGAGGCGATGCAGTGCTTGGCACACTGCGCTAAGAACACAAAAAGCAGAGTTCAATTCCCAGCCCTGGCCACCATCAGTGCTGAGCGATATCTGAGCCGATACCCTCCGCCCCCTCTCCCGACCTCCAAAACCCCCTACTACCAATACCGTGGGGGGGCGGGAACTTTCATCCAGCAGTGGACTGCTAAATGAAGTTTTTCCACGCACAGCTGTGCACAACTGCAGAGGAGCACTTATGATCGGCGTATGGATGCGATGTGTTTTTTCCTTCACATGTCGAGTGCTTAATTCCCATCGTATTTCAAGAAAAGGTAGCGTTTGCATGACCGCACCACCTCCCACAATGATTAACGGAACACGATTGCATTGGTACTGAGTGTCAACCCAAACAGCGTTAACTGGCAGTGGTTATCTTCAATAGATTTCCTTTTTTATCAGTTACTTCCACAGCAAAGTCTTTAAAAAATAATCATACTGGTTTGGTACAATACTTAGATGCATATAAAAGAAATCCTTTGGCAAGACATGCACTTCGTAATACGCTCATTGTACTTCTACGCGAGTACAATTCAAAACAGGAAATGTCCATTGTCTTTGTGTATCCTTGATAGCTTGGATATCCGTCTTAGTGTATGTACAGAAGTGGTATCACTGCTCATGATTTGTTTTCGGTTGCATCCTTTGGAGCATTTCTCTTCCGGCCATGTGTAGGGTTGGCACTCCCCATTCGTTCAAAACATCTTTCTTCCAAGTCCCAGTACCTGCAAGCCTTGAAGTGCACTATCCTTATATTTTATATGCAGTCATTTACTTCCAAAACATTCTGCTTGTTCCAACACATGATGAGGTGAAGTGTAACTCCTTCAAACGTGGAACCTGTCAGTGCTGTGCAGGTTCAAATGCTTTGTCACAGAGCAAATGAAATCAACAAATTTAGAGTTAAACTACATTTAAATAATAGTGATTGTCGTAGTAACTTGTAGTGTTCTTCCCTTGCAGTGCTTAAAAAAAAACATTTAAAAAATGCATAAATCACCGTTGATCTTTGTCAATGCTGTTGAAAAACGTACAACTTTACCCCAGCACTTAGCAAAAAACAGGAACATGTTCACGAGTGTCTGTATTTTTTTACTATATACACATCGCGGGCCAATGTTTGCTTCAGCACGGCAAGTTGTGCGTAGCAGCGCCTGCGCCCTCCGTGACCCTCCCCGTGCCTCCTGAGCGATCGCCTGAGGCGCGAGGCCCCCATGAGCAGTCCAAGATAAACGAGCGGCCGCCTGGTCAACAGACGGCATTTGGCGCGGCGGGCAGCCCCCGCGGCTTGATGACCCACTCGGCATGCGGGTTCACACGGTACAGCGCCAGCATGCAGGTCTGGTTGTCCAAACGGCGCTCGCCTGCGTGGCCAGCACAGTTGGAAATGATGACACCGATGGGGAAACGAGGGGGGGGGGGTGGAGAGGATGCCTTTTACTGTAGATCCCACACAGGCTCTGTTGCAGACAGCCCCACGCTTCGCAATTCATTTGAGCACGCACATCAAAACAAACTCTTGCTCTTGACTTGGCGAGTAAAGGTGCAGCCCTGCATTTTCTTTCTCACGCCACCGCTAGCGAAATGGCCTCGGCGAGAGAGAGACCTTAGGGGTCCCCCCTCCAGACGGTATTTGGGCTGCTCTTCCACGCCGGCCAGACGTCAATAGAAGAGATTGGAGCACCCACACTTTTCCCCACCACAGGCAACCTGGCGATCGACTGGTGTACGCATTTATACTGCCCGGTGGACAGGTGAGCGTGCGTCAAGAAACGTGCTCATTATTATCAACTGCAACGCAGGGAGACCAAATTGGCGACCTCCATATCGCAAACCCAATTGTGCTAACCATTACAACACAACAGCGTCGTTGCTATGACTAATTAAGAGTGCAGTTTACGTGTAATGTGAATTATGTGTACATGTTGTGAATGTACACTTCAGTATACATTCTATTATGAGCTTATCTAGTAAACGCATGATATCAAATATGCACGGCATCCATAAAGGTATCCTTAAATAATAAAGAGTTTCAGTGAAACAGCAATTTGAATCGCACAATGTTTCTTATATGCTACATACAAAAAAATAAAACGCGTGCCAAAGAATTGAAAAGTGTGCATGAACAAATCTGGCTGTCACCTGATGTAGCTAGTTGTAATTACTGGCAAAACGTCGTACTCAGGTTGTAAATGTTGTGGCTTGGCTCGCCAACACACCGGTGTGCTAGTGACAAATTGGCATGTGCTGTTTACGTGACAACCCTTTTTCAACGACACATATATTTACGCGATCTAACCCAAAAACCTCTTATGGATGATATTGGTCGCGAAAGCCTACTACGTGTTAAACGTCAAAATCATCTTCTTGGTTCTTTCGGTAAAGTCACGTATAATGGAAATAATTAAATAAAAAAATTCTCACGACGTTTCGGCCACTACGCAAGTAGCCGTCCTTGCGTTGTGGCCGAAACGTCGTGAGAATTTTTATTTTTTATTTCCATTCTACGTGATTTTACCGAAATAACCAAGAAGATGAATCCCTGCAGTCACGAAAGCTCTAAATCGTCAAAATCATGTTACGTCATGGAGGGTGCGATGAGGTTCACCTATGTTTCCACCAACTTCGTACAGACGATGCTCTTCTATGTCCGACTCTTGCCGGGCTCCATTACTGGCACCGTGGGACACGGACACAGACACACACGCCATTATCATTGGTTTATCGCGGGGGGGGGGGAAACCACAAGGTCAGATAAGTTCTTGAAGACTCATTTCGTGAATTATCCTCATTGTGGGAATAGATGAAGTTCAGTTCCTTCTAACAGAAATGTTGTGCTCATATAAATCGATAAAATGGTTGTGAATTTACAATTGGTTTGGAATCTAAACTAAAAAAACATAATTATGATTTATCAATGCGCTAAACAATGTTGTTTTCTGTATAATTGTCGCAGAATACTGCCTACCTTTACGTCTAATAAATAGAGCAGAAAATAGTCCATAATAGAGGTTTTTGGGTTAGATCGCGTAAATATATAAATGTGTCATTAAAACCCAGCACCACCCGACACAGCCAACTAGTAAGGGTTGTCACGTAAACAGAACGTGGCCAATTCGTCACTAGTACAGCACTAACCTGGTGTGTTGGAGAGCCAAGCCACAACATTTACAAACCGAGTACGACACATTTATACATTTACGCGATCTAACCCAAAAACGTCAATTATGGATGATATTGGTCGCGAAAGCCTCCCACGTGTTCAACAGAAAATAGTCTGTTCAGAGTTTGACCAGACAATCGAGCCCGTAATCAAAACTCTTGGCCACCAAGCCTACGTCGTTTGAATTTGCACGGGGAAAAAAAACACGGTAGTTAAAAAAAAAACTGTTTAAGATTTCGCTTCACTTGTACTTAAAATGTAAACTTTGTATAAGTACGTGTTCATCCTTGCGCATGTGTATGGACATGTCGTGAACATATTCAATATTTAAAGAGTCAGCCCACTGTCCACACTCATGCCTGTTGGGCTTTTGAGGTCTAATGGATTCGGCCACATTATAGGTGATTTGGTCACAGTAGGTAGATTTAAGTACATACGTATGCATGTCTCCTGGCCAAACGCAATTTTAGCGGAGCCAGGAGACTGAACCCATGCCTTTGGGGTTCCTCCAGAAACGGCAAAAAGCCACTGCGAGTGGCCACGTGGAACGCGTGTGCCTGCGTAAATGCATACGAGACAAAATAGTTCTCAACTCCCACGCAGCTGACCCCACTGTTTGGCTGTGGTCGCACCTGGCATGTGACAGGTTGCTTTGGAAGCGTTCCACTATGTCACCCGCAGTAATCTGCTCGGTCAGTTGTATCGCCATGGAGACCTTGAGCAACCGCGGTGCCTGAACGCGGATGATGCCCTCGGGCACCTCCGAGTGGATTGTCTGCCGGTGACGATACAAAAGGAGAGACACACACACACGCGAAAAAGGTGAGCGCCGTGCTGTAAACTTAACGAGACCCATTACCTTACCATCGTGGCCGTTTGGTGAGATTTTGTTTTTTCTTTCTGAACACGTTATTATCGTTCTGAGATTACAATGTTAACAACGTGAAAGTGATAATTGTTTTTTACCCTTCTATCTGGCAACAAAACTGACATAGACCACAATACCTGTAGCCATAATGCAAACAAAAAACGTAACTCTGATAATGTATGTAGTGCGCCTTTTGGCGTCATCTGGTCCAACCCATGTGAGACTAGGCTCTAAGGAAAGCTGTCTCGGGTGTGGACCAATCAACTTCAAGGACAGTGCACACATTATCAGAGTCATGTTTTTGTTTGCATTATGGCTGCAGGTATTGTGGTCTATGCAAACATGACTCTTTGTAAAAAAAGGTGTCAGTTTTGTTGCCAGATAGAAGGGTAAAAAACTAATTATCATATTTTTTTACTGGCAAATGAGGTTCCAATGGTGTAAAAGTAAGTGGCTTGTTGTGTTCGCTTCCACGACGTGAATTCTGTTTCCCACATTTGACTTGGAAGATGGAGACACGACAGTATATATGTATGCCGCTCCATCAACACCCCCCAACAGCAAACAACTTGCGCTCGACAACTCAACACTGACGACAACCCAGTGGAGATGAAGATTGGCAGAAGTATGTATGTTGAGCATCTTTCGCACCGTACGTATCCAACCGTGCTAATCAGGTGTGGGGGGAAGGACAACAAACTAAACACAAAAAGCAGTTCTAAAGAAATTCGTTTTCAATCTAGATTTAAAAGTTCATAGCTCCAGTGGCTTCCTAATATCGGAAGGAAGAGCGTTCCAGACGGCCGCAGAAGCGCATCTGAAAGCGCGCGACGCAAGTGACCGTCTTTGTTCGATGGCCAGCCAAAAGCTGCTGCTGCGAGAATGACCGGAGTTCACGTGATGGTTTACACTCCTCAACGACATCAGCAAGGCAGCGTGGCTCATTCGTGACAAGCGCTTTGCGTGCAATGAGCGCAGCCTTAGAATGTTGTCGTTTGGCAACCGGAAGCCAATGTACCTAGGCGAAGCACTGGACGTACACGGTCGGATCTTCTTACCTCTCGAGGTTGACGGTCTTGTGGCTGCCTCTCCTTTTCACTGCTCCCCTTCTTCAGCAGCTTCCTCATGCTCTTCTCCCGCACCGGCTTTCGTTTCTGGGCTTCGTACACATCGCGAATTTGCCGCAACAGGAACGCAGGCACCTGGCGGGCACGGGTGAGAAGATCGTCGACGCCACGGTCAGTGAAAACTTTCATAAGTAGGGGGGGTGGACATCGTTAGTTAATGGCATCGGCCTTTTATGCCTACCCACTCACTGTCCGCATCCTCATCGACATCTTTACGTGTTTTGCCTTCACTGTTCTCTCTGCTTCCATCACTGCTACGACATTATACACCCACCTCTGTCTCGCTGATCTTGCCGTTTCCCTCCTTTGCAGCTTATTTGACATTTTTTTCATCCCTTTACCAAACAACTGATGGATGAAGGCCTCCCTACACTTGACCTTATTGCACCGCGCCGATCAGTGCACATTGGTTAAGGTGTTGCTTAAGTCAGCTTCAAATATTAATCACCAGTTAACTGATCAGGAATCTAACTCGGGTCACCAGGCTCATAGAAAAAAAAATCTAAATCAACTGCGCAAACCATTTATTTTACTCGAGTGGCTCAGGATATGCGCACCGCCCCTGCGCTCATTTGAGCAGGAAATTACTTTTTTGGAGAATTGTGAGATATTCATCTCCCCCCCCCACTCACCCCACCCGACGATATGACCACCGGTGCCTGTTTGTAACTCAGAATAATAATAATAGTACAATTTGTAACGCGCGCAAATTTGCAGACGTAGTGGCCGCAACTCAGAGGCGCGGAGCCAAGCTCAGAGTCGCTCAAAAGCATGATTGTAGAGGTGAGTTAGTAAGTCTCTCTTGAAGGAGGCGATTGAGGTGATGCAGCGAATGTGCAGAGGGATATCATTCCAGACTGTTGGGGCTGCCACCGAGAAGCGGCGCGTAGACATGACCATCCTAGATCTTGGTATCGAGAGGAGGTCGTGAGTCGCGCTGCGTAGGCATCTGCCGTGTGCTGAGCTGCAAGTTGTCAATAGTGAAGAAAGAAGGTGGCCAGCAGCCGAACTCACGGTCCACAGCAGGTCCTGGTGCTTGATGAGGAGCCTCGTGACGCCCACGATGCCGGCGCCGGCCTGCATCACGTGCCGCTGGTCCGAGGGCTGCCCCCCTCTCTGATGCCCCCGCGGCAGGAACAGATTTGGTGCCATCACCATGGCCACGTTGCGCAGGCTCATTCGGTTTTCTCGCTCGTTCTCGCACACTCGCCTCAGGAACTCCAGAAGGGCCTGAAATGGCACACGAGACGGGCGGCGCTCTCAGATTGGTAAAGATGTTTTTTTTTGTTTGTTTTAAGGTAAATGTGCAGCCCTGAAAAGGCTTGCTCGTAACGCTAGAGGGAGCTCTGGAGAGGGCCTTTAGAGACGGTGTTCTTCAATGCAAGACCCGCGGGCCACTGGCGGACCCTGTTGGCCTCTAGTGCGGTCCCCCGACAATACACAACACGTGAAAACACCCCCCGCCCTCCCCCATCATAGTGCTATCAAACCCCGACGGTTTCAAATGTGTGGTGGCTCCTCACACGGATATCTTAACGGCAAAAGTGGGCCCCCCTACTCTGAAAATTAGTGAAGCACTTCTGCACGAGAGTCCTCTATGCTGGTCAGACGTCGTATACTCCTGGATGGTCCAAGGCAGGAGGATCTAAGAAACTTGCCCATTTGTTTGCACTGCTGGATAACTCCAGTGTCCAGTGTGCTAACCAGTGCATCGCAGCAGCATCCACGTCGATGAATGAATTATCTTTATTCTTTAAATTCATACAGGAATGCCTCGACGGGTCTCGGGAAAACTTTTCTCAAGATGTTGCTTAGACCTCCCCCACCGCGCACCCCGTTTCCCCTTCCGATGCTCCCCCTGCTTGCAGTCCCTACTGCGTGAGTGGGGAAGCGAGAGCCCAACCTTCTCTCCCTTCTAGATTTGAAGCTTTCGTGACTGCATTTTTATTGTTTTATTTTTATTAATTTTTATTTCATGTTTTACCTACGTGACTTTACCGAAAGAACTAAGAGTATACTTCTCTCTCTTCCCAGAACCCAGAAGCACCGAGTTCCGAATTCGGTCGATGGAATTTCTGTACTCCCCCCCCCCCTCGCCCGCTCCCTTGTTACGGTTTGTACCTTTTACCGGGCTCAGATAAAAAAAAAATTTAAGGATATTGCTTAGACATTTTATCTGATTTTTTTTTTTAAATACGATTACACTGATGAGGAAACTAAAGTACACTGAGAAACTCCACGCATATACACACTAGGTGCCACAAAAGGTACGTTCACTCAAAATATCTCTGATTCCACAACTCGAAGAATCCTGGCCTTCCCCCCTCTGTGACGGCCAGTGAGGTTATAACGAGCTGGAGCGATGTTATCGTTGGGTTCGACTGTTCAAATATACGTCGCGAAAAACATTGTCTTTAAAATGATGTAATAAAATGTTTTATTTTTTCAGAAACTGAAACATTTTCGATAAAAGTCTGAGCAGCGTGAGCTTTGTCATTGGCACTTCAGCTGTTCCTTACGAAAACAAGCCCAGCATATGCGACTGCTCTGCAGAGTTCCTGCTATTGTGTTACAAGCAGCTTTGTTTTAAATCCCCGCTTGCAAGCTCTGTGCTAAGGCCTCCTGTGCCTGCGTTTTATCATCGACACATTAACGGTAATGCATGTTCTTGGGTTTAAATACCCTCGAGAAAATGTCTTTTAATGCTCCACCTTGGTGCCATTTACTGTAGGCAAGGTGTCCAAACCTTTTGCATCGAGGACTGGATTGACACACGCGCAGAGACCCATGGGCCACGGACAGACAATACAAACGCACATGGGACGGACGTGGGATGTGTTCAAAAGAGCGACGTGAGAAACGTAGGCGATTTTTTTCATGTGATGAGAGGAGAAATGAGACTGGGAAGGCAGAGAAGATTAATAGAAATAGAAGCACCTGAGTACGACACTTAAGCCGGCAACTGCTTGCAGTCCTCAGGTGTGCGTCCCCCACCACCGATCTTCCCCACACACTCCCCCCAAAAAATGTCATGATCGCAGAGCCGACACACATCCCTTTATGGTTCACTTATTTATCTCGCGCAGTTTTTCGTGAAATAATTCACTTCATGAAGAGGATTTCAATGCTGTCGCGGGCCGTTTTTTTATTGCAAATTCGAGTGACACTTGGGTTCGGGGGGGGGGGCCGAATTCACCGAGAAGTTTGGCGGGAGCCACATTTGGCCTGCGGAGGGCTGTAGTTTAGACAGGCCCTGCTTGCAGACCGTATTTGTTCCTTCACAGCGTTCAGAGTGCTTGTTATGCTTAAGACATGAAGCGCGCGACTTTGTTTAGAAAAGTGTACAATTACCGTGGCTTGGAAAGTCGACCCCCGCAAAATATCTTAAAGCGTGCCGTGAGGAGGCTTTGAGGATGTTTTTGATACATGTAAAGGAAGGTTAATTGTGCTGGCTACCGTGTGGCATGGTGGTTTTCCTTGCGAGAGATAGTGCAGTCGGGAATTCTCTTTCCTTCCGGCCGATACTAGAGTTTAAAATAATTGGGCACCCATTTTTCCACTCGCCCCACAATTGCAACGCGGGTGGTCTCCGTGTCACACATTTCAAGTCATCCTGCATCAGTCTGCTATAACTTGCATTCCATTTCTTCAATTATCAAAATGTATAAAGTTAAACGGTGTAGCCCCGCAATTGCTTGCTAACCCACCACAAATCCCCGCTAAGGGGAGCTATAGAGAGCCCCTCTCGAGGGCATTTGTCATACTTTTTCCACACTGGTCAGATGCCTTTGACGAGGTGCCCACATTGTACCCCACCACGCACAACCTGCCGATGGCCTCATTGTGATGCACCCATTCACATTGCTAAGTGGAAATACACAAATGGGGGGGGAGGATTTAAGCCGTATATGTCCATTGTCCGGCAATAACATTTGAACAAATAGATGGCTGTTAAATATTTTGGATTGGCACAACTGCAATGTACATTGCGGGAAGGCCTCGACTTCGCCAGACATGTGAACGTCAATCCGGCGGACGAAACAGCCGAGGAGTTCCCCAGTAACTGTGGCTACCAAGTGTTGCTAATAAGCCTTCACATAAAATAATTTTTCTTTTTTTGGAAACAGGTTAAGCTGCTTTGCCTTGAGCGTATCGCGGTTTGCGTCTGGCAGTAGCAACACCAACAGGTTCAGAGCTTGGAGTTGATGTTTGAGCAGCGTAATGCCTGTTGGTGGTGGGGGGGGATGAGAGAAGAGAGGGAGTGGGAGCTTTGTTACATTCGCTGAAAATCAACGGTGGCATTCTTGGTAAAGCAAGCCGCCAGTCTCAAAGAATCGCACACATCTATGTTAAACATATGTATGGCAATAAAATCAATAATAATTTTCAGCGCTTTGTTAACCCACTGCAGGATGAAGACCTCCCACCCTGTGCCATGTCGGGTCATGTGGGAGGTTTTGACCATACTTCATCTTCTTTGGCAGTTTGGGTGGGTTAGTGAAGGGGAGTGGTGGTGCAGCGGTTAACGTACTGCTCTTTGACCCGGTGACCTGAGTTTTCTCCCCGGCTATGACTTGTATGTGTGTATGTTGATCTTCTTTGGCACCGTACGTTAGCCAACCATGATAATCGGAGGTGTGGGGGTGGGACAACAAACTAAAATGTGAACTGGTCCCAGGCCATCCCATCACCAACCGACACTGTCCGTGATGAAGTATGGTCATATAACCCCACGACTGACACTCTAGTGGGGAGGCCTCGATAAAACAGTGGGTTGATAAACGGCTATAGCAATGTGCACACCGTTTTGAAAGTTAAATGTACGTAAAAACAAAAAAATGTAATTCCACAAATACCTCAAACTATGATATAACAATTTAAAATGCACGTATCGAAATAGAAGCTTAAATTTCCGACGACAAATATTCGCGTAACATTTATTTTAACACTTGCATCCATTCAAAGGATTTAAAATGCTGATGTATGAATGTATATTGAAGTTCTTTCACACTGTACGTAGCCAACCGCACAAATTGGAGGTGCGGGGGGGGGACAATAAACTAAAACGATGACCAATTCCACACCATGCAGGAAAGCAATGTGGTGTTTTCTGAAGAATAATTATCACTGTAACAATTTCGCAACCAACTTCCTACAGCCTTGCGAACCACCGAGAGCCCCGCGACCACGGGGTCGCGAACCACACGGCCTTATAGAATACACTCATCCACTTAAAATAAATATTTCGTTCAGTCGGGTAATGCTTGTGTGTGTGTGCTGGCAGCGGTAGTGGCGGTGAGTGCACTGCGCTATGAACCCGGCAACCCGAGTTCAATTCCCGCCGACGGCGGGAATTGAACTCGGTGAAAATTATCCGAACCGGTTCTGGGCCTTTCCTAGGTCGACTCAGCCTCAAATTAGTCCACTATGGAGACAAAGGCGGGCCGGGCGTGGTTCTGGCCACCAACCCCCATGTGTTGTGCCGGCCTTCATAGGTGCTACTCGCTAACAGCACTTGCCCCAACAGTCTGTTACGGGCTGTCTTTGTCCTCTGTGTGTGTGTGTGTGGGCACGGTGTGCGTGCATCGGACAGGGCAGTGCGGCTCACTCTGCACGCAGGCGAAGGCCGGCTGGTGCTGCTCGGTGAGGAGGGGCGAGGGCAGCTCTCGCACGTACAGCTTGAGCAGGGCGGCCGCGTCATGGGGCCGCAGAGACCCCCAGTCGAGCCGCCCGCTCTCCGGGCTCCACTCCTCGAGCTCGCGCCGCAGCTCCTGTCCCACCCAGCACGGACACGGCACAAGCAAGCAGCGGTCGAGCGATCCATCTCTTTCAACTACACGCAGCACCTACATTTCGATTTAAAGCTTTCGTGACTGCAGGGATTCATCTTCTTGGTTCTTTCGGTAAAGTCACGTAGAAGGAAAATAAGAAAATAATAACGCACAACGCAAGCAGCCGTCCTCACCTGAGGACGGCTGCTTGCGTTGTGGCCGAAACGTCGTGAGAATTATTTTATTTCACCTGAGGACGGCTGCTTGCGTTGTGGCCGAAACGTCAGGTGAGGACGGCTGCTTGCGTTATGGCCGAAACGTCGTGAGAATTATTTTATTTTATTATGTTTTATTTTTATTATTTTCCTTCTACGTGACTTTACCGAAAGAACCAAGAAGATGAGCACCTACATTATTAACCCTTTGTCCCGTTCAGAGACGTCTGCAAAGTCGCGTGGTGGGTCCCGTTCACCGCCGAATCTTGGAAAGCGCAAGCGGTTCAGCACATTTTTTTTTATAGAGGCATTATTTCGAGAGACGACGTACTCACCGCAGAGAACCATAGCGACACAACCACACTCTATGATAGCTGGTGCTAAACTGTACAACAAACCCTCCCGCATGGCCTTGTGGGTGCCTCAGTACCGATAAAGTTATTTTATTTTATTTTATATTCTTTGGGTGTTTCGGTAAAGTCACGTAGATAGGTTCAAAGAAAATAACAAACCTATTTACGTGACTTTACCGAAAGACCCAAAGAATATGAATTCCTGCAGTCACGAAAGCTTTAAGTCACGATTTATTTCATTTGAGTTTTTCTTCCGGAACGGACTCCGAATAAAAACCGATGATGTACACGTACATCATCGGAATGGGAGTGGGTTAAGTCATCGCCTAACGCGTTTTCACGCAACGCGTTTTTGCGCTATAACGCCGTTCTTCTATATGGCAACACTTTTCGTACGAGGCCGAACGCACCCGTTGTTATAACGCCGTTTTTTTAGTGGTCGACTCTGAACGACTTTCTTGAGCCAAGTGCTCTGAACCCTGAACACCCCCCATCAAGCCACTGTGACGAAACATAAACCTTGCAGCTGAAGACCTAAATACTGGTAATATCATTACACAAACATCAGCGTTCTGTGGGAGTCAAAAAGGTTAGGATTTCCCCACTGCACAAGCACGGCGCATCGCTCTTCTCCATGTGACTCGGAGGCAGTCGTGGATATCCTACACTGTTACGGCAGAGGCCTCTATGGGAGTAATGCTCCTACTGTTGTGGAGTGACTCATGCAGCCAGCTGTGGCTGCAGAGTTTGGTAGTACATGTTGTTTACGTCGTTGATTGTGAAAATTCGGTCACAGTTCCTATGACCTGCACTGTTTCATTGCTTTTATGGCTTTATTTTGGTGATTTTCGATACGTTTTTTGGTTTGGCCATGTTTGTTTGTTGTAGTACAGAGTTAGACTGATGGCCTTAATCTAAGTTGTCTTGTGGTTGTTGTTGTTTTACTTGCATCCCACTGGGATTTTTGCACATTTTTGTGTACGGTGCTTTTTCTGCAATATTTTACTTCTTTTCTTGGATTTTCTGTTTGCACTCAGTCACATATTCACTTTAAGATGTTTTTTGTTCATGTTTGTTTGATTGTTGCAGTTGCACCCGATTCAAGAGCCGAATGGCTCACAGGGCTATACCTAATAAATGAACTTGAACTTTAATTAATGTTGTTATTTTTATATATACTTATTAAATTAATCGTCTTGGTTCTTTCGGTAAAGTCACGTAGAAGGGAAGTAATAAAAGAATAAAAATATTATTTTATTTTTATTATTTTATTTTTATTATTTTATTACTTCCCTTCTACGTGACTTTACCGAAAGAACCAAGAAGATGAATCCCTGCAGTCACGAAAGCTTTAAATCGAAACTTATTAAATTATTGAGCACTTTAAATAGTCACAAAAAAGGAAGTCTAAATATATTTCAAAACACCGATGTCAAATATTAATATGCCAGTGAGATAGCAACGGATAAACCAACATATGCAAAAATCAATGATGTGAAAATGATCCGTCAGAGGGCCCAGTTTCACAACGTCGTAAAAACAGAGCCACGTGAGCAAAATGTCTCATTAGAGGCCTCCAACAGGTGAACTTGGTAACCTATAGGGATGGAGGACCAAAGTTTCAGCTCCTTCTTGATATTTAATGGTTGTGCTGTACAGGTCTCCGATAGGTTTTCCAATTGTACTGCGTGATGCTCGACATGATGTCGGACATTTCCCTCCACGTGCTGGAAGTTTGTTCAGGAACTGACCACATATACGCAAGTGAGTGATGAGCTTGTATGCATAAGTGATGAATATATATTCTTGGTTCTTTCGGTAAAGTCACGTAGCTAGAAAAATAATAATAATAAAAATAAAGTGAATAAAATAATTTTCTATCTACGCGACTTTACCAAAAGAACCAAGAATATGAATTCCTGCAGTCACGAAAGTTTAAAGTAAAAATGTATAAGTGATGAAGTTAATAAGTCACATCAGCTGACCTACATCAAACAACATCGGCAGCAGGCAGCAACCCTGTATAATCGAGAGAGAAAGTAAGCTGCTCCATTCTATTTAAACTAACTCAACTCTTTGTATTTTATCTCGACGTAAAGCTTTCATGACTGCAGGAATTCATATTCTACGACGTTTCGATCACACCACATCAGGTGATGGATGACCGTTTCGATCGCAACATAAGCTTGTGTTGCGATCGAACCGTCGTAGTTTTTTGTCATTTTTTTTAACCTCCCTATGTGACTTTACCGAAAGACCCAAATTATATTTGTATTTACCAGGTAAGGCCCACTGAGCCATATAGATATTTTTCAGAAGCGACCTGGCCACAAATGGTAGCTCAACGAAGTGGCTTATCACGTGGACATTTATAGCAGCAAAAACTCCAAACGCATGTTTATAAACGTGGTGGAAAAAAAACGAGAGGACCTGGAGAAAAGTCCACACGACCACGGAGAGAACACGCAAACTCCAAATATACAGGTGTCAGGGTCGGAATCGAACCCACGACGTCCTGTATACCAGGCGAGGTAGCTAACATCTCGCCACTGTGGTGCCCCATGTCGTTCTGGATGACGCTGCCAGCACGCGGAGCGAAACGTCGGGCCTCGTGCCGGACAACATGCGGTACAACCTGAAAGCACATCGCAGAGAGGCTCAGCTCAGCTCAGCTTGGTTGCTTCCATATAACTCGAGAACAGTTTCACCTCTGAGTTACTGCACTCCACGCCAGTCAGGACCCTGTATCTCTTCGGCCTCGTTGTTTGGTGCAAAATGAGTTCCAAGCATGAAATAAATGACGCAAACAAGGCTCTCTATATTCTTTCGTGCCCTGCATTTACACTGAAACATGTATCATAACTGCTGATACGTATAACTACCGTGGGTGCATTCCCATTGCGCGAGATAGTGGTCATAGCAACCAGTAATGCAGGGAAGAGGTGTTTTACGGCATGGATTAGGAAGCAGCGGGTACCTGTGAATCTGCTTGAAGTAGCAATCCTAGGGGCTGAAGAATAACATTCAGCTTGTGTGTTTTGTTGCAGAAATCTCCCATCTTTCCAAATCCTCACTCGTCCGAGCACAATTGTAAAAGTCATTGGTAAACCTTGGCGTCGTGGACAGGCAAAAAGGCGATTCCCAAAAATATGACATCCTTACCCCCGAGAGACGGGTGCTATGGAAGGTGTTAGATTGAGTAATATGTGAAGGGCAGGAGGTAAAGAGACATGCTGGAATTTTCCAAGGGGCTAAAGCAGCTTTCATCAGAGTGCAGTAATGTTGAGAGAGGTACTCTAAAATGATCTGACCTTGACGAAAGAAGGTGTACTGCACAGAGGACAATTCAATCCCACAGACCACTACAATGCCCCACGGGTCAAATTTTCAAATGAATACATTACCATTCAGCCACCTACATTTTCTTTTTAAATCCCATATGAATTATGAGTTCCTATCACCGTGTAGAAATAGCAAATTCAGATTAAGATCTAACTAGACATTTGAAACTTCATTCCTGAAATACCTGGCCACAAACATATTCCAAAAGTATAGTTTATCTGGCTGTTGCCTGATGAAGCTAGTTGTAATTACTGGTGAAACGTCGTACTCACATTGTAAATGTTGTGGCTTTGCTCTCCAACACACCGGTGTGCTGTACTAGCGACGAATTGGCCACGTTCTGTTTACGTGACAAACATTACTCATTGGCCATGTCGGGTGGCGGCGGGTTAAACGACACATATATTTACGCGATCTAATCCAAAAAAAACTGTATTATGGAGTGCACTTAATATTGCTGGCGTGGTGCACACACTGGAACTTTGATTTGAAGGTCGCCAGTTTGATTTGATCTCCCAGCTCAGACAGCATGGAACCATAGGCCAAATACCAAAAGCGATCTTCTTGGTTCTTTCGGTAAAGTCACGTAGAATGTAAATAATAAAATAATAATAATAAAACATAATAACATAATTCTCACGACGTTTCGGCCACAACGCAAGCAGCCAGTCTGTCGGGGCGATGCTGTCATTGTACGTGACTTTACCGAAAGAACCAAGAAGATGAATCCTTGCAGTCACGAAAGCTTTACATCGATACCAACAGCGATTTGAGGAGGTTATTGCAGCGCCGCCACTTTTAACCCCTATCTTTTTACAATTCATTTTAACCGATGTTTTCGTTCATAGTTTAAACTGCACGTCAGTGGCTGGCTTTCGGAACGAATTTAATCCTGCAGAGTTCCTCACCGTTGAATTGACGTTTGAGAGTGATTTTTTGTTGTTGTTGGTATCTTCAAAGGGCTTCTCCTGCCAAACATGTGACGCCAATGGTAGATGCATAATCCATCGTGCTTGGTGTGTGTTCAACTTAAGTCAAAGGCAAAGCAGAGGGCAATGGTATTCACATTCTCACAAGGGTGTCGCCAGTG